ATTAGGTAATTTTGAGTTTTATAGAATTTATATCAATTAATAAATAAAAACTGAAACTTTTTGCACAAAGGCCGAAAAAATAGTACTACACTTGATCTTAGCCAAAAGACCAAGAAAAGTTAGCCAAAAGGCCGACCTAAAAAAATTTAGTACTACACTTAATTTTAGCCAAAAGGCCGAGAAGGTGTGATTATTATTTCTTTACCTCTATAGTTTTATAAGAGGATTTCATGTAATCCTTTCTACTTAAAACTAATGTGGGACTTTGTAATTTGAATTAAACTCTTTTTATATTTTGTTAATTTGAATTTTGTTAGGTAATTTTGAGTATTATAGAATTTATATCAATTAATAAATAAATACTGAAACACTTTGCACATTTAATAATAGTATAGATATATATATATACACACACTTGCGGATTAATTAGGTTGAAAAGTAGTGTAGCTCAACCACACTATTTACACAATTACAACTCTCTAAAAGTCTCTCATACCCTCCGAACAACTCTAAAAGACTTTACCACCTATAAATTCTGAACTTCTCTCATACTTTCCGAACAACTCTTAAAAAAGAGATAATGATCCTCTAAGTTAAAAGTTCTCTACATTGTCATAAGTTAAATTACTTACACATTAAAATATGGCATTTTTAAGTAAATCTATGGCTAAAATTACACAAATCCGCCAATTTAATAAGACTTAAAATATTGCGTCGTTTTAGGGATCCAATAGATCTAATATTTTTAATTGTTTTGATATTCTTAGTTGTTGTAATCTTCCGATTTTCCATGATTTTTTATTTTTTATTTTTCATCAAATCCGGTAGAGTACATAGAATGTAACTACATGAACGTGTTATATGATTCAACAGATAATTCAATAGGGAGTTTTCACTAACCGCGTTTCTTCCTATAGCCCTAAAACGACACAATATTTCAAGTTTTATTAAATTGGTTGATGTGGTGTAATATTAGCCATACATTTACTTAAAATGTCATGTGTCAATGTGTAAGTGATTCAACTTATGATAATGTAGAGGGCTTTTAACTTGGAGGATCCTTGTCCGAGACTCTGGGTGGAAGGAAGACCCCCTAATTTTTTGAATTTTTTTGAAGTATAGGTAAAAATAAAAATAGTATGGCATATATGGTATAAAATCTATACTTGGACCCCTAAAAAAACTTCTCTCTTTTATTAACATTTAACAAAAGAGATTTAATTGACTACTATAGAACTTTGATAAAAACTAATTCACATAAAAAAAAATTAATTTGACTATCTTAAAATTTTAACTCAAACACATTTCTTTCGTGACCATCTTAAAATCTTTCTAACTCAAGCATGATTATTTCCATAACCATCATTTTTTTTAATTTATTTTTATTGGAATGCTTTTATAAGAATTCTATAAGAAATTAATTTTTACAAAATCTAGAACAAAATTTTTATTTGAAGTTTTGAATATCAACCAAAATCGACGATTGAAGAATCTAAATTCTAATTTTATTAATTTGTTTGTGTTTTTTTTATCATAGTTATTGTTTTGTTAAATTTTCAATTGTTACCTTTTTTTTAAGTTATTTTTGTTTTTCTTAATTTTCGGTAAATAAAGAGAGTGATTTTTGTTAATTTATTTTTGGAGAGTTTTGGTTTTGAAAGGCATTTTATATTTTGGTTTCAAATTACCTATTTTCACACTGCCATTTAATGCTTTTCATCCATACTTTTGACCTTTTTGTTTTGTTTTGTTTCCTACTTGAATTTGTTTGCCGTTTTTCTCCCTAGAGAAAAAAGAGTGTAGAGAGAAAGTTTCACACATAAAGAAAGAATTATCCTTATAATCTCTTATTTCAATGTAACTTCGGGAAAAAAAAATAATAATATCTCTTATTTCATTGCACACATATCACTTACTTCATTGCATATATATATTGATTTGACCTAAAGAATCACTTCTTTCTCATCAATGTAGATGATTTTTATGCACACTGCAACCCAGGTTAATCCCAAAGTTATTTTTGTTCCTTTCTTTATAAATTTTGTATGTATATATGTATTTTTGTGTGGGGGTATGTCTTTTTTTTTTTAGCTTTCTTAAATTTGGATTGGATTAGACTAATTAGTTATGATTTTCTTAATCTCTAGAAAAGTTGAATTTCTCAAAATTTTACTTGGTATATTGTTATATTGATTTTTAGTTTATAAGAATACATAGCATTATTTTCAGATCCAATATATGCATTTTTCAATATTAATACTGTATTATAGTTTTGTTTTGAATTTAAAATAAGTTTCTAAAAAAGTAACAATGTTTATTTATCACTTTTTTTTTTGTTTTTTCACTTGCCAATATTCTTTGATTTTTGTTAGTCAGAAGCGATTTATTGTTGTTTGTTTTTTATTGATATATTGTGTAATGATTATTAATTTGTGCAAGTATTACATGGATTTTTTTTTTTTTTTATAAATTAAAATCTAATTGTTTAATTGAATTTTTTTATAATTTTGGCATAAATCTTATTTGTATTTGTTCAGAAAGTTTATTAAAAAAACTATTTTTTTATTTAAATAAATTGACAAAAGTTTCGATAGATATATTTTTGTACGAATATAATAAATAGTAAAATATTTTTGCCTAAGTAATATTTTTTTTATTTCAAAAGTTCTAGCTAGGCAATGTTGCTTGTAATTTTGGCCACCCAACCTCAAGATCATGGCTCCGGCACCTATAAATTCTGAACTTGCCAAGAAGATATAATATAAAGTCTCCTCAAATTTCGTATTGTAGCATATTTTAAAAAAATATCATCAAATACCAAAAGGAAGTACCAATTAATTGACATTAAGTGAGGAAATAAAACTTTGTTTAGAAGAATTGTGTGACTTAACTATAAAGAGATGATTTCACTTTATTGTATCCAGGAAGCCAAAATCATTTTCCAAATCCAAAATATGGATTATAAAGCATCTGCAGCTGCCCTGAAATATATGGGACATTGGGACAATGCTTAGATAAACAAATATGTGTGTGTGTGTGTGTAATAAAGAAATAAATGAAAAAAGTCACAACGATGAAAAGAATTGGGATTATTACATTATTATTTCAATAACTTCAAAGGGACCTTGCTTGAAACTTGCTCTCATAAAGGGACCTTTTAGATTAGAAAAAAAGCAACTAGTGAGATAACAAGGTGCAACTAATTAGAAAATCAAAGCCAAAGAGAGAGAAAGGCACTAAAGAAGAATCTTTATAAAAAAAAAGCTCTTATATTAATTGGCGATCCTTGTCCATCGTATTTATATTCATTTCGCTTTTCATTTGGATTTGATGTAGGATATTTTTTAACATCAACGATGATCGACTCTCGTGTTAACCTTCTCTAATCCGAGGTTGGGCTAAATCAAGGCTTAAGCAGTTGTGCAAACAGTGTGGTTGAAGTAGTTGTGCAAATAGTGTGGTTGAGCTACACTTATTTCAACCTAATTAATCCGCAAGTGCCCCTGAAGAAAGCTAAGGCCCACTTGGCTCAATTTTTTCAGGAATGTAAATTGAAAAACTATACAAAAATTTGCTTGATTTTTTAAAACTTAATTAAAAAAATGTTTGCTTTTGAATAGCTCTCTTTTATATTTCTCTCAAAACAATTTTAAACCATCCTTAAATCTCCAGTATCAGGAGTTCTGAACTCCATCATTGATTCCATTCGATTTTGCATAGAGAACAATACCATTGCAAAGGTTAGTTGGTTTGGATTTGGGCCATGGGCCTTCTTTGACATGCTTTTGATCTTTCGTTTTCCCTTTGGCTTGTGGCCATTTTTGTAGTTGTTTATGGGAATTTATTTTTTTATTTTTATTTTTTCTATTTACAAGAAACACTCACTCACTTTTGTTCATATGAGAATTTAAATCTGGATCTATTATTTTAAAAGATGAGGAAATACCATTAAATATTGGATTCTAGGTTCTACACCTTTCTTGGCCAACACAAGGAGTACACATATTGCCATGTGAAGAATGAAACGTAACTCTTCTGTCTGTCTGTCTCTCTAATCACCAAATTGAGAATTTAGGACAACTTAAGTTAGTGGGTAAAATTGGTATTTTATAATTAGGTTTTTTTTTTTTAATATAATTTAATAAATAAGGTCATTTTGGTCATTTCAAATCACACAAGCCGGAAAAGTTGATCCGGTGGATCTCGAGGGTATTTGCAATTTGGAAGGTATTTGCAACAAAGTGAAGTTCAGGAGTTTTTTACACTTTTTTTTTTTTTTTTTTTCTTTGGTGCTAAATTTGACTGTTTGTTTGATGGAGTTTGTATTGGAATAAAGAAGTTAGGGTTTTGTCTTTTTGTATATTACACGAAACTATCGAATTAGATTCTTGATTTTTTCTATTGAAATTAGGGTTTTGATTTTGTTTGAATGGTGGTGGCAAAAAGAATTGCAGAGGAGAGAATTGTTAGGGTTACCGGATTGAACGAAGGTTGGGGGAAGGATACCAATTAAATACAGGTAAACCTACATGTATGGGTTAACCCATTAGATATGGGTATGCCCTAAGTGTCATAAAGGGCAGTATTATCTTTTAAAAAAAATTGGTTGATCACATGATCGTAACAGTTGCAGCTTGGGGGATTTTGCCAATATATACATATATGTAGTTTAGGGGATCAACTATCAGAATAGCACTTCGGGGGTTTAATGGGAGAGAAGATAATTCGGGATATTGCACTCTACCCTACTTTTAGTGATGATGTTATTTTAACATACAATTGGATATAAGGATTACATTAAAATATATGTATATATATATTTCTATCAATTTTGGAAGTGAATCATATTTTTTATTTTTGGAAATAGATATAGATTTAGGTTTAAAATGGTAACGGTAAGATTTAATATCAATTCATATCGATCACAGATTTCTTAACAATTCATATCCATCAATTATCCATTCCATTTTTAATACCGTCAATAAATATTAACCCTCTTGTAACCTAGTACCCTCTCTTTTCTTCTCTTTTCTTCATTTTACAAAATCGGCGCGCAAGTGATTATCAATGGAGTCCTACGCAGACATGGTCGGTCACACACTTGAATACCTATATTCATTTCTGCTCTCTCTCTCTCTCTATATATATATATTTGCATTTATATATGTGTTTATTTCTGTATTACGCATCTAAAATACTAATTGTATCTACTTGGACTCTGATTTTGCAGAGTTGTGTTCTGAAAATAAATTTTGAGTGTGGTCTATGTAAGTCTAAGGTGATGGAAGTGCTAGGTTCCATTTGCGGTAATTTTCTTATCTCATATATTTTTCTTTCTCGGAAGTTAAAAGCACCATATCCTCAATGGAGCTTGGTTGTAATGAGACACTCACACTCGTATCCATGGGACCATTTTAATTATTTTAATACTTATTCGATTTAATCGGAATCTAAATAGTTAGAAAAAGACTTTATTAAATGAATTAAAATAATTTTTTTTGTAGGAGTGTATTCGGTGACAATAAATGCAGAGAGAGGGACTGTAGAGGTTGGGGGTGAGGTGGATCCAAATGTGCTACTATGGGCTTTAGCAAATTCCGGAAGTCATGCAGAGTTAGTGTGGGTCAAGTTCAGTAGTCCGAGGAGGAGTTCGGGCTATTCGGGTTATTCGGGTTACTCGGGTTACTCGGGCTATTACAACGATGATTATAGTAGTTCATATGGGTATGGATCATTAGACCAAAGTTATGGTTATGGAATGAATTTACAGTACAACACATCAAGAAGGTTGGATCCATGGTACAATGTAGACTACGGCTACCTGCCACCGGCTAGGTACGTCCCCGGGCTGCCACATATGGATCCATATGAACATGGCAAACCTATCAACGTTTGCAGTATTATGTGATTTTTGGGGGAATATATAGCTGGCAAATATTAGGGTTTCAGTAGTCGATCAACCTGAATGATGGGTTTGAATTTGATTATGGCCCTGTGGGAATGTTGGATAACTTATTATAAATAAATAAACATTTAGTATGGTTTTAATTTACAATTCTTTCTTGTATATATGCATCCTTCTTTAGCATATTCACTAGCACATACTTATATAATCATTGTGAGAATCACCTCAATTAGCCTTTTTCACTTACACTAGATTTGTAAAAAATGTGAATTTTTGGAGTTGAAAACACAAATTTTGTTAAAGCATGCATCAAAAAGGAATAGCAGAATTTGGAGTTCAAAAATAGATCTTCGACAACGTTATAGGGTGGTTTTTCTCTATCAAATTTCCCAAGTGCAAAAGAGCTCTAGGAATATATTGTTGCGTAGCACTGCCAATTAATGTTTCTCTTTGGATTTAGGGTTTTAGGGTTTGTGGTTTCTATGTTTTTGTTGTTATCATTTTGGGTAAGTATCTTAGAATGGAAGCTTGTGGCTCAATTGAAAAGTACAAGTATCTCTGTGTATATCAGTATATGCCAACAGACATCCTTGGACCTTTTTAGCAAACATTTTATTCATTTTTTTTTATTATATATTTTTCTGGATACGAGGATAAAAGAATATCCATCCATTTTCAGCGAATGAGTAACATCTTCCAGAGTTGCAGGTGCAGATTGGAATTTTGCTTCACATATGTCAATTACTAGCCATACATTAAAGGGGCAATATAGGGATTTTTGTGCGTTGTGAGAGGCCAATTGCCGGGGCAATATAGGGATTTTTGTGCGTTGTGAGAGGCCAATTGCCAGGTCAGGTCTCCATTCTATGATACATTCACAGATATATATATATATATATATATATATATATATATAATATGAATTGTTGGACCAGTAGCAATATATTGATCATAATGCCATTGACATTAAACCATTATAATAAGGAGAGCCAATCTTCTTACACTAAGGTTATTTCCTCTCGATTGTCAAATGATTTACTGATGCCTACGTAACAAATATTCAAAATAACATGTTACAAATAAATCGAAACTGATCGAGATTTGTGAACTCATATAAATTTTAAATTAAATTTGTTAAAAAAGTGAAAGAGTCAAAGTTTAAATCTCAATTTTAGATCAAATTAGTTAGTTTATTGTATAATTGTGAAATGTAATATACATGTAAGTGAATAATTCACCCAATTGAGAATGGCCGCTGTAAAAATAAAAATAATAATAAAATTGATGACACTTTGGTCTCACACATTGTAATGTGTTCATACTTACTTTATGAGACATCGAATTGATTAGTAGTTAGCGTCAAGCGTATATTAAACGTTCTTTCTGTTACTTGACAAATTAAGCAATGATGGTGATTGGTGACACTGAAACTATTATGTTTGTTCTTTTATTGACTGAAAAAACTAAGAATTTGGGTGGATCTACTCCAAGCAATCGATTGATTGAGAACAAAATAAAAGGAAAGAGATAAAAATGAAGTAACATGTCGGCACTCTAATCATATGTTACTGAATATCCATGCTATTGATTATATATATATATATTCGTGATCCTACTTTTGTGTTCCACACTCTAACCATGATAATTTAATGAAAATCAATGTTATATAAAAATAATTATGTTTTGATGCCATTATCTTCTTTAGGAAATATCTCTATTCTTCTTAATTTGGTGAGTAAATAAAATACGAACATAATGTGTGGGAATGGAATGGTTATTTCCATTCTACGGTATTACAGATTATGTTGATATGGTGGTTTTTTATTTTTATTTTGGGTGAATTGTAAAAAACCTTTTTATCATGAGGGTGTATTTTTAACTGATTGTGTAAGGAAAATTTTTAGACAAAATTACACTTAACATGAAACATCTGTTTGAGTGATTGTGTAATAAAATTTTCGGACGAAATTACTTTTAAAATAAAAACATTACATTAGTATTACTAAAGTACCCACCATTCACTTTTTTTTTTTTTATTTTATTTTTAATTGCATAAAATACTAAAACGAGGCCTCTGATTTTGAAACGAGGCTTTTGATTTTTTCTTTCCAAATGTTCTTGCATTTGGAATATATATAGTAATATGATAATTATTTATCAAATGTCAACTTAAATTGATTTTGGTGAAAAAAAAAAAAAAAAAAAAAAAAACTTGTACAATGATTTTTTTTATAAAATAAGATAAAGAAAAAGATATATACTAAACGCTTTTTCTATAGAATAAATATATAATTAAAGATAGTCCAAACAAATATTTGTTATTTAAGTGAAATATCTTTTAACTGTAAAAAAATAAAAAATAAAAAAACAAGTGTGACATATGTTTTTTTGGGGTGGGAGAGGGGGGTTTTGTTTTGATATTATGGTGGACATCACTGGATTTTTTTTTAGGTATGCTATATCTATAATTTTTTAGAATCTTATAAATTTCTATTTTTAAATTTTATAAAAAATTATGATACTGGTATTTTTGGATCTCTTGTATATGTATATATATCTCTTTCTTTATCTTATTTTATAAAAAATCATGGTACAAGTTTTTTTTTTTTTTTTACCAAATTCAATTTAAGTTGACATTTGATAAATAATTACCATATTAGTATATATATTTCAAATGCACGAAAAAATCAAAGACCTCGTTTCATAATAAAAGGCATTGTTTTAGTGTTTTATGCTGTTAAAAAAATAAAAATAAAATGAGTGGTGGGTACTTTAGTAATACTAATTTATTGTTTTGATTTTAAGGATAATTTTATCTGAAAATTTTATCACACAATCACTCTAACAAAGGTTAGTTAAAATGACTCTCTCATGATAGTCGAGAGGGATTAATTGTTAGAGATATGCATAAGAAATATCTTTTGCAAACAGGTGAAAGTTAAGAAGTTTTTTTGCAATTCGCCCTTTTATTTTTTCTCTTTTGATTGGATTTTTGATATTTTTATTTGAAAGGGTTGGTTCAAGTTTCCCTCCCTCAAAGATTTTACAAATTGATAATGTGGTTAACTGATTGTTGACCATCTTACAGCTTGTTAGTCATTTTAATTTTATATTTAAAAATAAAAATATTTAATATTTAATAATTTATTTTAATTAACTATTTATCTTAACATTTATGCATTACTTTTAATTAATTTTATATCCCGTTACTCTAAAGTGTCTTTAGGTTTAAATATTGGCCAGCCGAAAAAAGGATTAATTTTGTTAAAATAGTTTAGGACATGTTTAGTGTGCAATGTGTTTTAGACGTTATATTTTTTGTCAATAATAATCGTTTTGTTATAGAAGTACTTTGGATAGAAATCCAAATAATATTTGGTAACAAAAATTTGTTTTGAGAAATTAAAAAATTTACTTTAGTTCATCTGTTAAAGTACCAAAATACACAATGTTACCATTTTGGTGATATGAGTTTGAACTAAGAAAATCTAATATGTTATAAACTATTTCAAATCAATATCAAGTCTCAAATATGATATAAGTCCAAAATTAAATACCGATATCAGAAAAATAATATCATAATACATACCAAACAACCCTTAACTTAAAGTTTTATAATTTAAAGGGTTCATCTCAAATTTCAAACGTTTTAACAATTTAATGGATGAATCAAATCTAGCATTATGCATAAAAATCATAAAATGGAAGTGACTCGACCTATCACTTTACAATATTCCCTTCAACCCTTCGAGTGTGTTTAGATTTTTGACAAATACTTTTGAGATGTGTCAGATGTATGGGGAATTGTTTTTAATTTTAATTTCGATTTCGTGACTTTTAAGCTACAGTAAAACACACACATATATATATTAGTATATATTTTTGAATAAAATGGATTGATGATAACACTCTCTCTATGTATATATTTAGCACTAGTATAAATATATTTTAACCTAATATATATATATATATATATATATATATATTTTAACCTCATTAATGCCGGACATATTTTGATATATATATATATATATATATATTTTAACCTCATTAATGACGGACATATTTTGATAGTCGGCACGTGAGTTGGGTGGGTAACTTGGGTTCTAAAACAAAGTGAATGATATATAATGTGAAATGAGAAACTTATGGTATTTAATTTACTAGTAATTCAACCTTTTATTTTTTTGAATGACAAATTTGTCCCTGTGAACTCCACGTGGCACAACTTGGTTCCTCGACAGAACTAAACCCACCGACCATTCTCAACCTTTTCTTTTTCAGAACAAACTCGTTACATTCGAAAAAGAAAAAAAACATACTTTGTTCATTCCTCTCTCTCCTGTCCTCCATCTCTCCCTTCTTTTTCTTTTGACCTTTTTGTAATTTTTATTTCTAATTATTTCATTTTCTCAAAATTCTCCTCTTCCTATTTTATACTAATTGAATATATATACACAAATATAAAAATATATATATATATATTGTAGTTCAGATTATTGATATATCTAGGGTTAGGTTTGTTGATCGATCTGTTGTTTGATATGGGTGCTGAGGGCGAGTCAACCCAGTCGGCCACAAGTGTTGTTGGCGGTGAAGAAGTTACCGTTAACATTAGATGTTCCAATGGTTCCAAATTCTCTGTACGGACGAGTCTTGGATCGACCGTTGGGGCGTTTAAATCTATTCTGGCCCAGAACTGTGACGTTCCGTCTGATCAGCAGAGGCTGATTTACAAGGGTCGGATCTTGAAGGATGACCAAACCCTAGATAGCTATGGTACGTGGTTGGGTATATCTACTGTTTACTAGTATTTTCATGTTATTGCTTTTCGGTATTGGTGTTGATGTTGTGTTGTTAAATTTGATCAATTATTGATGGCGTTTATGGTGACCATTCTTAATTATTTGGGTTTAAGTTTTTTTTTTTTTTTCGTTGATCTTAAATCTATATATTTCTGCTGTGTTTCATTATCAAATGTTAAGTTTTGATGGTATTTTGTTTTTGATCAAGATTTGTAACTTGAAGTTGCCATTGGAGCAGTAAAAGGGGTGGTACTTTAAACTGAAAAATTGTGTCTAGATGAGTTATGTAATCTTTGTGGGTAAGCTGTGGTTGATGTTGGACTGTTCGAACTATGTGGCATTTGCATTTCGCCTTTAAGTTTGGCAGCAAGGAATGAACATAATAAGAGTATACTAGGAGTACCCAAAAATTTTGGATTTATATAATTTTGTAGATTTGTCTTGCATTTTATGACACTGGTGTTTTGAGTTGAATGACAAACACACGTCTTGTTCGTATACTGCTCCCCAGACACTTTTGAATCAATTCCCGAACACAGTGTTGCATTTGAACGAGCAAGGTCAAGAGGGAATGCCAAGGATTAACTGATTCAAGGTAATAAGAAAGACCGGTTGACCTGTGATTTTCCTGAAGATATGATACAATATATAGCTACAAAAAAGCAAGGTTTATGTAACTGAGTCTAAGTAGTTGAAGATGAGGATGCAAATGGCATGCAAAGGATATTTCTGAACTCACTGGTTTCGTTGGTTTGGAAGGCTGTATAAGGTTGGTTTATGTGCCGGGGCTAAGTCACATAATTCGCGTGAACAATCACTGCTTTCTCGCTTCACTCGCCTTACCGCGTATGAGAGCAGATTCATCTGTAATCTGCTCTGGCGCACTCTCAGATTTTGCAATTCGCAGCATTCAATTTTTGGATTTGCGAATTCAGATGTTTTCAAGTGTTCCGACTTCTAGTAGGGAATGGAAGGTTTTGCTGGCACTAAATACTATAAAATATGGAAAGTTGTGTAAGGTTGTTTTGCTGGCATTAAGTACCATACAATGTAGAAAGTTGCGTTGCTGCATTAAATAGTTTATAATAATATGATTGACCTAAGTTAAGGAAGAGAGAGTATTTACCATTGAAGTAGGACAGCTGTATGAGAATGTTTCACTAATTTTTATATTTTATATTTTATATTTATAATGGTTGATAAAATTTCGCACCAATACACTTATCAAAAAAAAAAAAAAAAAATTCACACCAATGTAGCAGATCATAGAATTTATATAAACTATGGACTCGTTAAAGTGAAGAAAATTATATTAATTATATTTATTAAATTAATATGATTATATTAAGTGACGTAAGTACATATAGATGTAACATACAGACGCTCCTGTTCTCAAAGCATGATTAATGTTATCACTTTATTACTTTTCCCTTTTTGATTAATTTTTTCTTTCCCCCTTTTTTATATTGGAGCCAACTGCTTGCTTGTAGTGGCCTAGGAAGCATGGACACACCTAAAATGGCAAAGAATCCGTGTCAGACACGCCTCGACACGTGCTGGACTTGGCACGTGTTGATCTTGCCAAAAAAAACATGTCTATTTTTATTTTTTATTATTATTAATTTTTTTGAATATTCGAACGCTCAGTGGACACTCGTGTCCCGGTCTTGGGGATTTTTTCATTAAGTAAGGCATTCTTGGGGGTTTTAAATAAAGTTTTAGAAAGAAAGCTCGGTTGAAGTGTAAAAATGATAAGTTGTTTAATAACTTTCAATAATATGATGGTCATTGCATAATTACTTAAAAGTTGTTTTTATAAAACAGTTTTATATTAAAATAATCAGATATTTATGCTTATATTATAGTTCAAAGGTTCAAACTCTTCCACGATCATCTTTGACGCTGTCGGTGGATGGTCTCTCTTGCTCTCTCTCCCCCCCTCTTTCTCCTATTTTCTCTTTTCTTCTTCATCCTCTTTTTTTTCTTCTTCTTCTTCACAAATCCTAGATACTTCTTTTTTCATTTGACAACAAAATTCTTTTTGTGTCTCCTTTTCATTTTTCCTCTTGTTTCCAAGAACTTTTTTCTCTTCCATGGTTTCTTACCTTTATTTTAATTAAGCCCTAATTTTTTTTTTCTAACAAAACCCAAGTCCTCTTTTTTATTTTTTGTTGTTCCCCTCTACCTTAATCATCTGTCTATCATTCTTTCTTTTTCCCAGCAAAACACATTTTTTTTTTTCCATTATTAGGTTTCCGTTTCCTAATTTTTTAGGATTTTCCTCGTCGCTGTATCCGTGTTGTGTTGTATATGTGTCCCATATGATTGTATCTGTTTCCGTGCTTTTTAGGTAGTGTCTAAATTATATTTCTTTTGCTTGCAAAAAAGATTATGATATTTTTTTATCACCTTATACGTTTCACAAGTCGAATCTTTTAAAGATTCTCAAAACCTATGGTCTGGAAATTTTGTTTTGGTATTGTGACTATGCTGTTTTGCTTGTCACTACATAACTAGCATAGGCTGATAATTAATCTGTCAATTATGAACTCCCAAGCTTGTGGTATGTCATTACTGAATTAGTAATTTAATATTTAACACTTCTCAACACTTCTTGTGGTAGCGTTCATTTATCTCGTCATATATTTTTAGTCGAATGTTAGTGTCTGGAATTTGCGTCCAATATTACATGGAGTAATTGGCCTTCTCATTGAGAGATTGGTTTCTAATTTAGTATTAGTTGTCCAACAGCAGTTGAAAGCCAGTGATCAATACACTTGAGAGGCATTATAGGCAGTTGTGATTGTATGAGGTGCAGATTTTTTCTTTTTATATCTCTTTTACCCGAGTAAGTACCACCCGCACTGTGGATGAGGCCGCATACTTGTTTATGAAGAATGTGGTTAAGTACTTGGGGCTGCAGACCAGCCCTTTATATTCTTGCAATTCTTTTTCGTATTCACTGCTACGTTGTTAAACCGTAATAGTTAGGTTTGTGATCGGTGTAAGTTGAGCATCAGAATTTTTGCCATGCTTGCCAATGTTTTTAGATCCTTTCTTTTCATTCTTCATTTTTTCTTATTAAGGTTTACATATTTTTCTTTGTTCTTTTCTGCCACTGAAGGTTTACAGGCAGATCATACGGTTCACATGGTGCGTGGTTCCGCCCCTGCTGCATCGACACCCACTGCTGGCGGAACCAATTCTGGAATTCCTAATACAACCCCAGGTGTTGTACAGGGTGTTGGTTCCAACCAAGTTGGGAGCGTTGGAGGTGCTGGTCTTGGAGCATCTCTATTTCCTGGACTTGGTTTCAATCCGCTAGGTGGCACTGGAGAATCTGGTTTACTTGGAGCTGGACTTCCGGAATTTGAACAGGTGCAGCAACAGCTGACTCGGAACCCCAATATGATGAGAGAAATTATGAACATGCCGGCCATTCAGAGCCTAATGAATAACCCTGACCTACTGCGTAGCTTGATAATGAACAATCCTCAGATGCGCGAGATCATTGACCGGAACCCTGAGCTTGCTCATATTCTTAATGATCCTGGTATCCTCCGACAGACATTAGAAGCTGCTAGGAATCCTGAGCTCATGCGTGAAATGATGCGAAACACTGACCGGGCAATGAGTAACATTGAAGCTTCTCCTGAGGGATTCAACATGCTCAGACGAATGTATGAAAATGTTCAGGAACCTTTTCTGAATGCTACAACAATGGCGGGAGGCACTGGAAATGATTTAGGCTCAAATCCATTCGCGGCCCTTTTGGGCAACCAAGGTGGTGGTGGGGCCCAAACAAGGGTTGGGTCTAACGACCCAAGTCCTGGGTTTGGAGCAGCTGCAGGGCCTACTGCTGTTCCAAATACTAACCCACTTCCTAATCCTTGGGGTGGTAATGGTGGTAAGCTTTAATAATTTGTCCTTTTTATTAAGACATTTTTGTTGTATGACTATTCTGTTTGATTCTTTTTTTTTTTTTTTTTTTCCAATGGTCTAAAAAGAGGAATTTTCACCAGCTTCATAAAAGGAACTATTCCAAAAATTCATCCTTCTGCATTGGCAAGTTGACTTGTGCATCCGTACGGTGGCATAAATTATAAAAAATGATAAAATAAAATAGAAATAAATGGTTTATTGTTTTATAACAGCTTTGTTCAATATTTTAAGGGAGGTATTATTGCCCTTTATCAATTGAGACATCTATCTTCTGAATCAGAATGCTTGAAAGAAAACTTTTAGATCTCTGGTGAGTAAAGCCCTAAAAGGAACTCCGAAATTATTTTCTTGGCATGATTGATAAGAATGTGGACTTCTGTTGCTGTGGGAATGGAAGGTCCGACCTTATAGTAAAACCTGGAAGACTCTATCTGTCTGTTATTTCTAGTGATTTCTCTAATTGATCAACTTAAAGTGGTTCTAGAGGGGGATGGTTTTGCAGGTTGTAGTTGTACCTAGCCAGAAAGTTGACTGGTCAATGACTTTGGCTGTTCTACCAGGCAGTCCAGTCTTGTTATTAAAACACTCATTTTAGAAGCCATATGTTAGTTCTTTTAAAAAGGAAAGGTATACTGACAATTGTAAGCAAAGTATTATATGTTAGAAGATTTGGTCATGCAAACTTAACAATAATCTGGAATTTTAATTATATATAATTTTGGAAATAGTTAACAGGTGTGCCATAACAAGAATTTATATATGTACTTTGAAGGCTCCCTTGTAAGATTGACATACACTATCTAAAATTTGTAAGTAATAAGACTTCACAAGGAACAGCTAATTAGAGAAAGAAGGCTTCTCCCTCTGATAACCTTGAATTCTGCAATTTTGGTCATTATACCTAGTTGGTTCCATATGAAGAAGTATTTTGTCTTTTTTGTTTTTTATCTCCTTATTGGTTAATTTTTATTTAGATTTTATTTGAAACTTCTGTCCATGCTTACTCTGTTACTAAAAGTGTGATTGCTTGGAAGGTTCTCAAGCAAATACTACTACAAGGTCTAATCCTAGTGGGGATACAAGGGCTCCAGGTATTGGTGGATTAGGAGGGCTTGGTCAAATCCCAGAGTTGGAACACATGTTTAATGGCATGCCTGATCCCTCTGCAATGAATCAGCTTTTGCAAAATCCAGCTGTGTCCCAGATGATGCAAAGCCTGCTTTCCAACCCCCAATACATGAATCAGGTATTGCTAAAACTACACATTTGAAGAGCTGGTTGGATGTTAGAGTTCTTGCAGATATGTATACTTATATAACATCATTTCTTGAATTGTAGTTTCTTGGCACTAATCCACAACTCCGTGCTATGTTCGATTTGAACCCTCAATTAAGAGAAATGATGCAGAACCCAGAAATTCTTCGTCAGTTAAGCTCTCCTGAAACAATGCAGGTATATTACTTTAAGCAGTCTTGTGTGTGTGTGTGTGTGACAATGGACATGCGTGATAGTTAATGTAAGTCTCTGAATTATCCATCGGGGTGCGTCTGGATCCCTCTGTCTGTTTTAAGTCATCCTATTTTAAGCAACAATTTTCCAGAGCGATACCATGACTTCAGCGAGATTGTCTGAATTTGATGCTATTTTTATAATGGTTCAATAAATATGGTGTTTCTTGATGATCTATGCTTGACCTTTCTTTTTTACCTTTTCCATTTGATGCTGCAGCAAATGTTGGCTTTACAGCAATCTCTTTCATCCCAAGTTAATCGGCAGCAATCAACTCGGTGAGTGATGATAAATATCTCCCTTAATTAGGTGGCTGAATCCTAAATTAAGATTTTTATTTCCTTCAATTTTGAAAGATTTGTATAGTCTTTGCTTCTGTTTTGTAGATTAATTATAGAAATTTAGTTGAGGTGAACGAGGCATATGGCAACATCTGCTTCCCTCTCCTCCTTTTGGGATATATAAATTGCTCTTACTAGTCAAAGTGTATTTTTATGATTGTGTGTGCATGTCTATTCAATATTATGTCCATGTCCACTGGCCATTAGCTCAAGTGGTGTCTCCTGCAAGTTGTACCCCAAAGAGGGGAGTTGTAGAGTTAAAGTTCTGGTGGGGTGTTGGTATATGCATCTTACTTATTAGAAACACAACACACACACACACAAAGAAAGAGAGTGAGAGAGACAGCAATGAACTCTTGCTTTTGAGTGATGCGAGGATGTGTTGAGAACAAGTAATCATCTAGGGGAAAGTTGTGTCTTTTCTTTTACAGGAGAAGCTCATGATGTATCAAGCCATGAAATTTAAACTGCATATGTAAAGTTGAAGATTGCTCACATTTTTTAGTTAGATAACTTAATAGTAACTGACAAAGATGCTATCTGGAATCCAAACTTAACTCCATGGAGAATAAGGAGTATGGGATCTTTGGATCAAGCCTCTGATTCCTGGAAGGGATCCAGGAAGTCGTTTGTGTCATAGACTGTTATAAACATTCTTTTAGTTCAACGTATATATTCCACCAAAAAGTTGGTCTTTGTGTCTTCTATTTATTTCAATGTCCCTACAACTTTTAACTTTTGCCATATTTTTTATTCTTCTTTATTTAAAATCAACTGATTGTGAATGATTCTAAAGCTTTTGTAGCTGCATTTGTTTTTTTACTTGGAGCTTGGAATTTGTCTAAAATCACATTTGTTTTTGTTCTCAAATTTAGTACTATAGATACATAATTGTTAAACAAAAATGCAATCATCTATCTTTCTGCTGTATCTTATGATTAAATTGGTAAATATTATTTAGGGTCAAGTGCAGCAGCCCCCCTGAACTTTTCAAGAGCCTAAGGGAGTTACAAGTCCCCCCTAGAGTATAACAAATGTTGCAAATAAGGCCTTGTGTTCATTGCAAATAATTGCAGAGTAAAATTACAATTTTACTCTATGAAAATCAAGGGAATATGTGTGTGTGTGTGTGTGTGTGTGTGTGTTTGTTTGTGTTAATCTAAAATGCCATTAATACTCCTTTATGTGGAGTGATGTACTTTTAGCTAAATATAAAACCTTCTCACAATCACATAATCTCAATCACCCCAGCTCTCTCTCTCTCTCTTGCTCTGAAACCCTAATCGATCTGGACCTTATCTCTCCCTGGAAGATCTAAATGGTACAATATATCACTGGTTGAAGTGCTCTCATCTCGATCTAAGGTAGAATCTCTAATTTATACAACCACCCTAATATATATATATATATATATATATATATATATAGAGAGAGAGAGAGAGAGAGAGAGAGAGTTGTATGTGCATCTCAAATGGACACCACAACTAATTTGCCGAGATTCGTAGTGCCTTGTACTCTGGTGGACATTGCATACTTGCATGTATCCGGCCCCATAGAAGCTGCATATAGAGAAAAGCACTATGATACCTGTCTCCTCAGTAATTGATCCACAACACTTGAGCTGTCAAATTATAAGCATTTTTGGCCTGACAGTAAAAGCGTTGCAGTAATGCAGAGTGGGTGCATTCTTGCACTTGTTAGCTTGAACTTTAGATGCTGCACTAAGCAGCTATCTGTTATTGTACTTTTAACACGTATGTCTGGCACATTACATTCTATTGGGAAAGTAAAAGTTTCTTAGAACTTGCACCTGGGGTTCACTTTTTCTGTTTTTCTTCCTTTCTTTTATTTTTTATTTGCAATAGGTATATTTTAGAATTCCCGCTTGAAGCCCAAAATTTCATCCATAATACGTAGGGATGTCAATGGTGTGGGTTCGGCACAGGTTGGCCTAAACCCTATCCTGCCCCGCAGGCATGATGCATTTATTTATTTTATCCCTTGGGAAGGGTTTTCAGTTACAATACCATCCTTGCCCTGAGAAGAAGGTTAAGAGCCAGTCCCTGCCCCCTCCCAGCCCGTTTAGTGAACCGAGAAGGGTGGGTTATACCAGGGAGTAATGGGGTGAGGTTGTCCCTCATTTGGAGGTGGTGCTTTTACAAACTGTTGTTGTTCGGCCCGAAGATAAAATTAAAACCACAAGAAAGCAGAAAAGTTTTTGGTTCTCCACGAAACTGTACCTTCTCTCTCATCATTTCAATTTTGAATAGTTAGAAAGGAACAGAACCCTAATTTAGAAGGAAATACAGATTCAAGGTCAGTTTTTGCACTTCTTTTTGGATTTTTTTTACTCCAGTCTCGATTCCTAATTCTTACATTCTGCTTGAGAAAAGAGAGGACTCAAGTTTTTGAGTTTTGTACTTTCTTGCTGTTCATTGTGTGTGCATCTGAAGGCATTTTCTTGTGTCAGTGTGTGCAACTGAAGGATGAGAGAGAGAGAGAGAGAGAGAGAGAGAGAGAGAGTATTCACTATTCACAGAATCACAAGAGAAAAGGGGGGGGGGGGGGGGGGGGGGGGGCGAGGATTACTTTATATAACCCCGAACCCAGTTCAGGTTAAACAGCATACTATCCCTTTGCTGTTAGTGATGGAGTGGGGATTTGCTGGGTCAGGCCAGAGTGCCACCCTTGACTTGGTCTACCCAAAAGGATCTCAGTTCAAGGTCAATAAATAAGAATCGGAGAAGCTATCTCGATCTAAGGGAAGAAAAGACTGTTCTGAGTTTAGGATTCTGTTTTTTACCAATCTAGTATCTTGAAATGATGGAATGAGGTTCCTGGAATAGAATGTTTCATGATTTCTTATTACTGGAGTGTGACTGCACTGGTCACTGTTAGTGTGCCCTTTTAACAGGCTGCCATTTGGCTTCACCATGTTATCCATTCTAGTATGTACACATGATACTATTTGAAAATTTATGGACTGATTTAGATTTCTCAATGAACTTTATGACTTTGTTCTCTTTTGGTGTTAATTATATCCATAGTCGGTACACTTTTTTGACCAGCTGTTGCATTTTTTTTCCAGGGAACCAGATCAGACTGGCAGGACTACAGGTACCTAAGCAACACAAATGCAAATTTGTTTTCTAATTATAAGTCAATGTTCAGTCTATTATTGTTCCTCAATCCAAGATTCCAATAATATCACTTCAACTTACAGGAGCACAAAGCAATTTGGGGTTGGACTTGATGATGAACATGTTTGGTGGACTTGGGGGTAGTGGCTTGGCTGTTCCAAACACCCCAGATGGTTACAATTCTCTTACCCTTCCATTACATATTTTGTGTTATCCTATAATATTTGATTTTCTTTCTTTCGTCTGCTGAGAATTTCTTCATCGTTGTTGTTTACAGTACCTCCTGAACAATTTTACTCAACTCAACTGTCACAGCTTCAAGAAATGGGTTTCATCGATACCCAAGAGAATATCAGGGCACTTCGTGCCACATCCGGGAATGTTCATGCTGCTGTGGAGCGACTTTTGGGGAATCTCGGTCAGTAATTTGTTACACCTTCGTATTTAGGGGGGCCTGATGTGTGCGTGTAAACTTTGAAGTAGTTTTTTAATGATGGCACTTCCAATTCCATTTTGGGGGTGTGAATAAGAAAGTACGCACTGTGATAGCGAGAGCTGTGAATTGGTGGATAGAGGCTTTTGCATTGCGAGACTGTTAGACCCTCGGCTCCCCTTCCCTTTTTTTTTTTTTTTTTTTGTCTCCCCTCCACGGGACAATGTACATACACATTCAAGTATATTTGGGTGAAATATTTGCTAAATTTATGGTTCTTCAGGACAATGTTGGCATTGTTACTGTCAGATTCCGTTTGTATGTCTGACTTGAATTATACTTCAGGTGTTGAACAACTTCTCTGTTAGAAATACATGTGCTTAAACATGCAATTTTTCTCATTTCTTTTTCTTTTCCCCTTCTTTTCATTATCCTTGTTAATGTGCTTGTTAGATATTAGGTTTGTTCATTAAGCAAATGAATTGTTCTTTCAATGTACCGTTCTTGAGCTATGGTACTCATTGGTTCTTGAAGGATTGAATAGTGGAACTCTCGAACATTTGGCAATATCAGACGTGTCGATATCAATGGTGACTTATTATTTCGATGAATCATTTCTTCGGACAGGAGAAGAAGATTATGTAAATACTTACTCGAAATCTCACTTATCCAATTCCATTGTGGAAGGCACAATTTTTTCTGAAGAATTCGCCATGATATATCTGATTCATGCATAATATCATGAAAAATGGATACAAATTTTTGACTACTAATAGGTCCGAAAAATATAAAATAGCTTTGTTTTTAATGATTTTTTTCTTTTCCTTTTGTGTTCTACTAAAATTTCTAGTGTAAGACTCATCTCGCCTGATGAAGGAGATTGTTATGCTAAAGTTACTGTGCGAGACTCGTCATAGAGAGTGAATGAAACCCCCTTATTTCACATATCAATATCCTTTTTATAAAAAAAATGAGAGTAAATGTCTTTACTCGTTATTTATTTATTTTTAATACCTATTCAAAACTGTGTGTGTGTGGATGGTTTTAAAAACAATATATCTTCACTTTCTTCTTATTTATTTTTTTATTTAGTGCGAGACTCGCTACAGAATTCCAACTCAAAGGCAAGGGAGGCATAGAGGAGTACTCTCACCGGAATGAGATTTAGGGTTTTGAAAGGTGTGAATTGAGATAAGAGTGAGAAGGAGAAGAGGATAGAGAGGATGACGAGAGAGAAAGCAAAGGCAAGGATGGAAGATTTGAGTCTAGGGTTTCCCCAAGAAGAGTAATGTTTTCTGGGATGCGCACACGGTTTTAAATGTGTTGAAGCATCAAATCTATATACGAAAGAGAGAGAGGAGTGCAAAATCATCTACTATCATTTTTTCTTCTCTTTTTGTTTCTATTTTTAAGGTTTTGTATTTAAATATATTCATATACGTGTAGGAATCTCTGAAATTAAATATTGGTGAGGAAATAAGATTTAAGAACCAAGGGCACGGCTGAACCCCTCCTACTTTAAAGTTAAATCGGAATTTTTTTTGGTAAATATGATTTCAATTTTAATATTTAAATTCGTTTTAAATCATAATTAAAGCCTCATGAAATTAGTTACTTTTAATGTGTGTTAGTTGGTTGTTGATTTGAGGGTGGAAGGGTAGAATTTAGTTGGGAAAAAAAAAAAAAAAAACAGAAACGTGCTGTTTGTAGTGGGGAAGAAGACGACTTTGGAGCCTCTTATGAGAAGTCCACCTTCGCCAGCGATTCACGGGGGAGAGATGACTCACATTGGAGGATTAATTGATCGATTTTGTTTTTTTATCTAAAGTGTAACGATCCAAATTTTCATTGATCCGGATCATTAAACGGGTCTTTACCTGACTCGGAATTGTTCAAGGGTTATACGGTCCTTTCACGTTAAATTCAATTATCATGGTCCAAAAAAGGCAAGATGGTAATTTGTTATAATTCAAGTTGTTTGAGATTCAAAGGGTATAATAGTCATTTATTTGTATCACGTAATAAATAAAATAAGGTCCGGGATAATATAGTCTTTTCGGTGGTTAAAAAATAATTAATGCATTTTATTGGGTCATAAAATAATTCTTCGCAACATTAATTTGGTGCTAGAGAGTAATTGGGAAAGCTAAATAAAAAAAATTATATGTGAAACAGGAACCGCTCACGTCAATTGGTTTCGGTTATGAACAGTGAAAAAACCACTGCCGAGATACCGGTCAACGTCGACGTGTGGGAAGCTACACGTCGACTTGGTTTGGAATGTGCACAGTGAAAAGCTTACTACGTGTGGTTCATGCAACTCGGTCGACGTATGGAATTTTACGTCGACTGGTTTGGCTCTTCCTCACTCACTGTTATCGGGATGCACCAACTTTGAAAGCCAATCATCCACACCACTACACTCACTTACATACATAAGTACATTTCAACATCCATAATAACAACAACTACAACGTTAACATAATTTACCACACGTTACCAAAATACAGTAAAGGATTAAATGATGGTAAAACTTAATTACATTACACCACTGGCCATGTACATGCTAAAATCTAAATATTTTACGTGTTGCAAAAGTAATACATCCTAAGTCAACATCTTTACAAAATAAGTTCAAGCTCTACAAAAATACATCCAAAATGCTTCCTAAGTGCTCTCAAGCATGAGGTGGATTATCATCCGCCAACTCCTTGCCGTGACCTGAAAAAAATTTAAATGTGGTGGGGTGAGCAATTTGCTCAGTAAGTGGCGCTTAAGACGCACCTCTTGAGTCCCCGTAAATCCAAAACAAAGAATAGAACCATGGAAATCAGGGTCATACAATGTCGGAAATTACAACATGGTTTCCAATCTCAACATAAATAATATGATGCAATGGGGATGCAATGTATGCCGATGTCGCTCCCCATTTTTTTCACATTTAAAATCTTCACTTTCAAACTGTTAATATAACCCGCGTTTTGGTGACCCCGTAGCAATACGAGAGAAGGATTGGCTAGTGTCCCTGACCCTTGGTATTCCCACGGCGTCATTATGGGGCCCAGCTAGCTCAATCACGCTAGGGCGATTCCCTAGTTCCCTCTAGGCTATATTAACACTCCGGCCCTTTGGTACCCCCGCGACGACTGGGTTTCTCAAAACCGATTCAAAATAATTTTCTCCCGAAAATCCTCTTTTTTACTTTATCCAAAACATTACCCATTATGAAACCCAATGACTTACATGCATGTCTCTTACTTTTAATGCTTTAACAATAAGAGATTTTCACATAACACAACGAAACATGCCTTCATCCATCATACATAGCATATAAATAACGTAATAAGTATAAAAATTCATCATATAAGCATGCTTTCCACATAATACATTTAATACATGTCCTCACATAACCATATATACACAATTCAATCATTTTAAACTACAATTAGCACAAATAAGCATGTTAAGTCACAATTCAAGTAATTTGACTCACAAAAGTACAAGAGTATGCGGATTAGGAAGCCCCTACCTCAAGTTTGTGCAAAACCCTCAAAATGGATTCCAAATTTCGAAATCCCTATGGAGGCCCTTTGCTGAAATTATTGGTACTCACGCGTAGAGCTCGTCGTGTTCTCCGTTTTGCGTCAAATGGCACATAAAACTTCCAAGTAGAGAGAGAGGAATCAAAGATCAAAGCTTGACACAAAATAGAGAAGAAAAAGTAAGGAACTAGAAAGAGAGGAGGGAACTTACAGGAGAGAGAGATAAGAGACCAAAAATGTGGTTTCTAGAAATAAATGGGATAGTGGTGGGTCCCGCCACCACTTTTGTTTTTCTCTTTTCTTTAATTTACACCACATGAATACATGTAACACATCATCATACAAATGATACATAGCTCACATAATTCAAAATGTAGGAAAGGCAAATGGACTCAACTAAAATCTCGTACGAAAAACGTGAAAAGACAAAAATGCCCTTACGACGATGAAATTTCTAAAAAATTAAAAAATGTTGAAAATCAGAAACATCACGTAAAAAAATACACAGTTTAAAGAGAGACATTAAGTTTCAAAGAATTAAGATAATTCAAGACACTTTAAGTAGTTAAATATACTTTAAATTTTAAGGATCTATAATGAACTATTATAATTGATATCTAAATGATCGAATAAGCTAATTAAAAAGTTAGTTTTTTCATTTGGTTGTTTATTAGCTGTACTCTTTAATTATTCTTTGAGATCAACCAACATCTAGTCAAATAGTCTTGAAGCCTTACCAAATATTTATTAGCACGTGTCAAAAGCAAGTTATCAAGCGTGTAAATAAGAATGATAAGAACATGCAAATAAGATGGTAAGAGTAATATTTGATAAATTGAAATATCATAGCCAATCGAAATTGAGGTTAAAATTTTAATTTCACAACGGTCAATGTGATTTGGGCTACAATTACATCCTGAAAAAAAAAAAAAAAAAAATCACCAAAGAGGCTGAGAAGAAGTTTTTTTTAATCCCTAAAATGCCCTTAGTCAAACGGAGTGCTCCGTTTATAAAAAAGAATAACATCGGGCTCGGGGCAACTTTATATTACCAGATTATGGAATACCTCCTTATATGGAGTACCAGATTTAAATGATGGGTTTATTTTCTCTCTGTCAATGTTAGAGCCAAAGCTCTCGGCTTTTGAAGCTCTCTCTCCCCTACTCTGCGTTTTCAGCGGTCCAAGGTAAAATGCTATTCTCTTTGTGGGTTTGATTCTTTTCTTTCGCCTTTCCTTTATACATACCTACACACGTATATATATTTATATATATATATAACATGTGTTTTTATGTATACATGATTACAGAACTTCGTTCTTGTATGCGTTTAATTTGCGGTGGATGATAATCCAATTTAAATTTCTGTTCAATTTTGGAAAAATCCTGTGGTTCTTTGGCTACCCTTTTCCATTTCTTGGCACATGTTTATTGTTCGCTGTCTTTCTTTCTGTGAATCTGTGATTATATCTCGCGATACTCAACTCTGTCCACTAGGGATGAGATGATTCTAAATTGTTAGAAAGTTATGAGGGATTAGGTCTCCGTTGGCTTCTTTGTCATAAAATTACCCCCATTTGATTTCTTGTTATTAATTACAATAATTTTGGTAATCTTGCTCATTTGACAAATTTTGTTAATGGCAAATTAACTGTCCGGGATTGGCCTATAATTTATCTGAATTCATCTTGGGTTTTGTTGATGCATTATTATACTAATTTAATATCAACATCGTGAAAGAGGCATTATAAATTGGATTTGCATGTGCCCTTGTATTTGTACCACTGGAAATGGTATCCATTGGTGTTCAGAGTGTGCCAAGATAATTTTCAGCTTGGGCCTGTTGATTGAATTTTCATCAGTTGGGTTGATAAGGTATTAGAGTGGAGAACTCAGAATATTATGTCTTCTTGCATTTTTTACTTTGTGAACCGAGACATGAAAACTAGGTTAATATCAATGCAACAAAAGAGGCATTATAAATTGGATAGGCATGAGACCTTGTATTTGTACCAGTGGAAATGGTATCTATTGGTGGTTCAGAATTGTCTCGAAATAATTTCCAGCGTGAAGCCTTTGAGTTAATTTTCATCAGTCAGAGTTGTACAAGGTATTAGAGTAGATGACTCCGAATATTAGGTCGTGTTGCATTTTTTACTTTGTGATAGGAAGAAAAGTGTTTATTAATGCACTTGGGTGCTTAGTTGTTAAAAGTGTGCTTAAGCCCCCCAAAATGACAGACTTGTCAAGTCATAACCATAACGCCTCAACCTACTACAGTGAGGCTACTTCATTCACGTGCACATAAAACTCTCAGGTGCATGCTTTTAACTAGGCTCCAGCTAAAAGGAAATGATCGCTTCAATATTTTAATCAATCAATCATATCTTTTGCTTTTCTTTTTTATTTTCCTTTTATTACAAGCTCTATATTATATCGCAAATCATATCTGAGATATTATATTCTTTAATCCTTTTGGGTAATTTGTCTTTTTAAATTCATGAGATCATGGTTGAATACTTTACATTAAATGTGTCTAGTGTTTGGTTTTTTCAAATAATGATGATATATGTTTAAAATCTATATGATTATAATACTCATTATTGCACATTTACAACTGTATGATTTTGCGGATGCATATACATATCAAAATGATATTTTTACATTCATTTGGCCTCTTACTTGGTATGCAACAAAAAAGTATGACTTAATTTGTTTAGACTCGCATCTTATGTTGGGTCACTCTTAGATTTCAGGATGGTGAACTTTTGCTAACTATCCTTGAAAGTTTTTCCTATGTCATTGTTACCTTTTTCCCTTCAAAAATATATTTTTCCTTGAATTTAGCATACGATTATGTACCCGAAGCAAGAAAAGGAACCAAAAGAATGACAAATTTGTTAAGATGTCATGAACGTGTGAATGAAAATTAATGACTGAACTGCAAAAAAAGAATTATGTGATTCAAGTGAAGGTATATCAAGACAAGGGAGACTAGAAAGGATGAGCGTCGTGGTAGTGAAAACCCATCTTGCTGTATTATTTAATTGGGAGTCTGGACATAGATGGAATGGGATGGAGAAACACAACTAGCATACCTGGCTCTCTGACCCCAACTAATTGGGACAAAGGCTTCCTTGTGTGTACATGAACTAACACTTGTTACGGTGAGTGTTACTCAATTTATTGGAGATGCAGTACTTATCAAAAAAAAAAAAAAAAATTTATTGGAGATGCAGTTATATTTGGTTGAAAATTCCAATGTTACGGAACGTGTTACTCAATTTATCGGAGATGCAGTTATATTTGGTTGAAAATTCCAATGTTACGGAACGTGCTACTCAATTTATCGGAGATGCAGTTATATTTGGTTGAAAATTCCAATGTTACGGAACGTGCTACTCAATTTATTGGAGATGCAGTTATATTTGGTTGATAATTCCACCACGTGCTAACACTTGTTACTTTTCTGTACATGAGTTGTCTGCCCTTATGCTTGAATCTTCATTCATGCGTTTGATAATCTGAGCTTCCATCGCAACACCAAATGATAAAATCGAAGAAATCTTAGAGTCAGATTCACTTAATGTTTAATGATTTTGTTTCATTCACATTTTTATTTTGATAAATAAAAAAAACATTAGAAAAATTCCTAAAGGGGTGCAACTTATGTATACACAGTTAGTATAAAATGTTACCTTTACTACTTCCAAGTAGCGTTTAATAATGGCATTTAGCACTGGTAATTGATCTGTAATCTGTGATTACGTGTTTATAAAACTATTACTAGGATTTGTCTTGAACTTACCAAATGATTGGAACAAGGTTTTGAGTTCAAGTAGCATTTGTCTCATAAATATTTACTCTTGAAGCTGTTGAGTTAATTTTCATCAGTCAGAGTTGTATAAGGTATTAGAGTAGATGACTTAGAATATTATGTCATGTTGCATTTTTTACTTTGTACTAACCTAGAGAAGAAAAGCATTCTCAATGCACTTGGGTCCATAGTCGTTAAAAGTGTGCCCAAGCCCCCAAAAGCGACAGACTTGTCAAGGCATAACCATAGCGCGTCTGTGATTACGTCTCAATCATTCATATATATATTTTTTTCCTTTTCTTTTTTGTTTACCTTTCATTACATGCTTTATATTATATCATAATCATACCTGAGATATCGTATTCTTTAATCCTTTTGGGTAATTTTTTTTTTGTAATTCATGGGATTGCGGTTAAATACTTGCATTATATGTGGGTAGTGCTTGGTTTTTACATTATGATGATATATGTTTAAAATCTATATGATTATAGTACTCATTATTGCACATTTTCAATTGTATTTGATTTTGCTGATGCATATACACACACACACATATATGAATGATTTTAAGCTTATATTTATTAAATTTTATCATTTGGTATTGTGATAGAAGCACAGATTATCAAATGCACGAATGAAGATTTGAGCATAAGGGCAGATAACTCATGTACAAAGTAAGTATATAATGTTACCTTTATTACTTCCAAGTACCTTTAATAATGGCATTTAGCACTGGTAATTGATCTTTAACCTGTGGTTACATGTTTATATAACTATTTATGGCATTTGTCTAGAACTTACCAAATGATTGAGACTAGGTTTTGAATTCAAGTAGCATTTGTCTCGTAAATATTTTCTCTTTTTCTTTCCCCCGTGCACACAAAATCTAAGGCTCGCATCTCTTTCATTTTTCTTTTCAGATTCTGTGACTAAATTTTTTTATATACTCAATGTTTATTAACCTTTAAACTTGATGGCATGGTTTGTGACTTTTCATAGCATAGCATAATATTAAGGGTAAATTACACCGACACCCCGTGAGGTTAGGTCATATTTCACCTATATGAAAATTTTGGTTTTAACTTTCACTTACACCCCAAATTGCTTTTTGAACTCTAACACATGTGAATTGACCTATTTACCCTCACTTTTTTCAATACAATTTAATACAAAATTTCTAAAAACTAAAATGGTAGAAATACCCCTATGTAATACTAATATTCCAAATCACTATTTCTCTTTTCTCTTTCATCTATCTAAAAAAAATGGGCAGCAGCGCAGCACATCACCATCGCCTCCCCTTCCACTGTCATTCAAGTCACTATCGCCATCACAGGTTGGTCGGAGATTCTCATCTCGCCACGGGCGAAACCAGGAAGCTTGTTTTATGGTGAAAATCATTAAGAGCAAATCACACACTCCCTCTCCCCGTCAAAGCTCCAAAACACCTTCCTAACAATCACCACACCACACCACAGAACGATCCGACGACCATTGACGTAATTTTTGGCGGCGGCGGCGGCAACAGTGACAGCAATTTGCAACAATGATGACGGCACACCACACCACACCACAAAACGATCCGACAATCATCGACGCAATTTCCAGCGGTGGTGGCGGCAGTGACAACAATCCACAATAATGATGACGATCTGCGGCAGTGGCAGCCTCCAAATGGGAAAATGTATCCTCGTCGCAACTGGGGCTACGGCGGCGTCAATTTTGGTGGCGACGGTGTAAATGGTGTCGCCTTCGAATTTTGGCAAGGAACAAGTAATCTCGTTGAACTTGCTGCTGTCGGCGGGTATTATGCTGCGCCGAGATGGGAGCTGCGGTGCGGCGTTGGATTCACAGCCGTCGAAGAGCAGTGATTTGTGGGTTTTGGGCAGAGTTTCCCTTCCGGCAGAGGTCCAAAGTGACCTGCAGTGTTGGATTCATAGGCGTGGATGATGGAATTGGGATGCGATGGGATGTTTGTCGGGTTGGGTGTGTTCAAAAGCAGTGACCCGGCGAGGCGTGCTTGGGCAATTGTTCAGATTCGGCTGCCCCGACTTGCCCAAAGGCGCAGAAGGCAGTAGTGGAGCGGAAGATGCCACTGACGACGATGGAGGAGGAGGAGCCGACGATGCCGTCGACGGGTCAGAAAGTAGACGGCACACAACCACCACATAGATATATAGTGTGTTAATATAGATATAGATATATAGTGTATATATGGGTGTTTGACTGTATTTATTAATTTTGTGTATAAATTAAGGTTTGGTAAGGGAGGGGAAAAGATTGTATATGTGTGCAAGTGTGTATATATATGTATGTGACTGGTGGTGGTGACTGGTTTTGGAGGTGGCGGCCATGGGTCTATAACATTCTTGGTTTTGGAGAAGATGGGCGTGTGTATACCGTTGTTAACCAAATTAATTTTTGTAGAGAGCGAGACAGAGAGAGTAGAGGGCTGAGTTGGGTGAAGGGTATTTTTGTCCTCAAAAAATTTAAACATCATTCTTGTAAGTCAACAATTAGTCAACAGGGGCAACATAGTTATTTTGCATGTAAAAGTACTCTGCCACTCATGAAAAATGACATTTGGGGTGTGAATGAAATACTAAACCACTAATTCAAATATAAGTGAAATCTAAAACCAAAATCTTCATCTAGCTGAAATATGTCCTAACCTCAGGGGGTCTGAGTGTAATTTACCCTAATATTAAAGTTGCTTTGAATCTTGTTTTTCATTTTGTCATGTTTGAATAGTAGCTAATCACATACTTGTGCATGTACATGATTTGAAATAAGTTGGATTGTGTCCAGTGGTTGGTGATTAATCTGTTGATTAATATTGAAGATTATTTTATTGTTTAATCATGGAAATCTAGTTTTGGTATCATGGTTATAAAAATGTGCTCTTAGTAATTATGTTTTGAAAAAATAAGAACAACGCATTCATGTAGTGAAAATGAGAATGTTAAGATGGATGATAGGAGTAGAAGATTTAATATTAGTAATGAACAAGTGAGGGAAAAACTAGGAATATTGCCTATTAATGATAAAATTAGAGCAAGTAAACTTAGGTGGTATGGTCATATTAACTAGGAAGTACAAACACGCCTAAAAGGGCAAAACGACACGTGTTGGACACGGACATGCCCCGACCCGTGTCGGACATGCCAAAAAACATGTCTGATTTTTTTATTTGTTTGAATATTTGGACACGGCTTATTTATTTATTTTTTATTTTTAAATCGGGCACTTGGTGATTTTAAGAAAGTTGTAGAAAGAAAGCTAGGTTGAAGTGTAACTATGAGGAGTTGTTTAATAGTTTTCAATAATATGTTGGTCATTATACAATAATTATGTAAAAGTTGTTTTATAAAACAGTTTTTTATTAAGGGCCTGTTTGGCTAGTGCTTTTGTTTCGTGTTTTTTTTTTCTTTTTCTTCTTTTGTTAGTGTACTGTAGCAAAACAAAAGCATGAAACATGTTTGGTAATATTTGCTGTGCTTTGGAATACTACCGAAGCGCTTCCAAAATTGAGGCTAAAATCGGAAGCATCAAAATGATGCTTTTGTTTGCTTCCGCACTGTTTAAAAAAAAAAAAAAAAATCTAAAATAACATTTTTAACTAACCATTCAAATTTTCAAACTTGCAACACTTTTACCAAACATGCTTTCATATTTTTGCTTTTTAAAAATCTTATAATAAATTTAAGTTACCAAACAAGCTTCTAAATAGTGTTGAACACACTCTAAAGCAGAAACATTACTTCTGCTTCGGGTCAAAGCAAAAACATAAAGCAACTGTGGTTGCCAAACGGGCCCTAAACAATCAGATATTTATGCTTTTATTTAGTTCAATGGTTCAAAAACTCTTGCATATTTATGTTTCTTTGTTTTCTCCTCTTTCTTAAACCTCTTTCTATCATTCTCTCTTTTCCCCGGCAGAGCACAAATTTTTTTTTTCTTTATTAAGTTGATAAAAAATAATATTACTCTTACAACATCATATATATAAATATATATTATTATTATTCGTCGTGTCCCTGCCGTGTCCGTGTCCTAATTTTTTAAAATTTGCCGTGTCGCCGTGTCCATGTTGTGTCGTATCCGTGTCCTGTATCCGTGTCCGTACAAAAAGACTCACCAAAACTTACATGGGATGAAGTATTTAAAAATTAAATATTAGAGAGGACATGGTGTATAATAGGAAAAAATGGAAAAAGAGAATTCGCTTGGATGATAAAAACAAGGATGGTGATGATGAGTAGTTATGTTTTGATCCACCATACTATGGTTCATTTTAAAATTTAAAATACTGCATTGACAAGTATTATCCCTTCTGTTTTGAATTCAATTTGTGTTCTACCACTATTTATTTTGATGATTGAAGAATACTTATTAAAAAAAAATTTGATGGTTGAATAATAGACTTGTGCATTGTTTTCGATTATTAAATATTGTCAATAGGCTTCTATAAGCCAGATATGTTTTTAAGAGAAAAAATGTCAGTTCTCTTATTTTTAAAGTTGACCATATCCCTAGTTGTTATGTTGCTCGTTGGTCAAGACGTATTTTATTCCTTTCATTTTCATCTACCAGCTAAACTATTTTTATTAGGATTTGTTCCAGTGATCCATTTGTGGCCTCTATAGGTGACTTTAGTTTGCTCAGCTTCGAACATTTATCAATCTGATCCTCTTTTATTACCAGCCATCGTGGTGATTTTTGACTGTAACACGTTATGGCTTTGGCTTTAGTTTACTTGAATTTTCATTGACTGTTGTAACTGTTTTTGCTCTTAACAAAAAAGGATGTTTTACCATGAAACTTGGACTTTAAATATTATTTGTTTCTTTTGTACTTTTTTCCTTTCTAAATGCATACCTTATTTTCTATATATAAACGTCTCTGTCACCTTCTCTTCATTTACAGTTTTTTTAGCAAGAGATGAGTGATCATTTGGGCTATTCCTCATGCACTATTACATTAGTTGCTTCGCTCTTTTATATTATCATTGCTACCATTAGTTGGTTTGCGTCTATTCAGATAAACAGAAGTATTAAGTCGACATCATTTGATAATAGGCCATGATTTCTCACCTTGATAATCTTTGGAAACTCCAAGATTGGTACAAGGAACATTAGTCCTTTATTTCCATCATATCCATCAAGGTTAATTGATTGTCCTTTAACTTTGTGTCCCAAAGTTGCCATTAACAGAGTTTACTTGTTAGATCTCATGCTGAAGCCCACGCATAATGTGTGTTCTTTGTGGAACTAACATAGCCGGGACACATACTCAGGGAAGGCTGTTTACAATAAATTTTTCATGCACCCACTTACACAGACACACACACACACACACACACACACATAAACTACCATTTTTTGTTGCAGTGCTGTTGATTTGATTTCTAATTTTTAAGAATGCTCTCCTGAACTTAGGTATTATTGCAAGAGTTTGAATTACATCAAATGGTTCAACAAACGACTGATTCTAAGTTCAGTCACTATGGGCCGATGAATACTGAAACTGGCTTGCCTCATCATGATAAGCAACAACCGGTGCCGGTAACTGCAAAGAAGGCAGCACTAAGAGATTTGCAGAATGAGAACAGAATTTTGGTTCCCAAAATTACAGGAAGCTCTGAATTTTCAAAGGACAGTGATGCCATTAAAGTCTCTGGCACTAAAAGAACTGCACCTGAGTGCCTGGTTAGCCCCCCTCATCAACAATCATCAATCAGTAATGCTGCAAGTGGACATCTAGTGTATGTTCGTAGAAAAGCGGAAGCAGAATTAAGTAAAAGTAGTACCTATGATGACACATGCAGGAATGATAATTGTCCACAATCAGGGAAACTTGTTGACCAGGATGAGACGACACAGCAAAAATGCCAGATGAAAGAAACTGAGAGTTGTAATTTTGAAGCTGCTCCTATTCCTAGGGATCCTTTGATGTGCTTCTCGTCTCAAAAACTTTCAGTCCCTCCTTCTCTTGGAAAGTCCGGTAACATTATAACATCCGCAGATTCAAATTATGTTACCATTACTTCTGCTATCCCTTCATTGGCCTATCCGAAAAGAATGAATAATCAACATTCGGAAGAACGATATCGCCAATTGCAGATTTTACTGAAAAATTTGGACCAAGCAAATCAAGACAGTTACATCCAGAGTATGTCTTTGAATTTTAACAAAGCTGCTTTTAGATACTCTTTGTTTCATTGCTGTCTTTCCCATATTACTGATTTTGCTCTGGATTTATTTGATTTATTAGTGCTTCGAGCCCTCTCTTCAGTTGAACTTAGCACACATGCTGTTGAACTGGAAAAGAGAGCAATTCAGCTTTCACTGGAGGAAGGTAACATGTAATGTTGGCTTGTATTCTTTTTAAATTATGGAACGATACAGGAAGAAAAATATCAACATGCAGAAACTTTATAATTGTAACGCATATAGGAAAACATCCACATGCAAGATCTTTTTAGATGGGACCTCTATTGACACCAGTGGGTTATAGCAGCAACTAGATGTTTTATGGTGGGGATATGATGTGATTTTCCTTGGTGAACTTCTAGTCACAATTTTAACTACATTAACCTCGTGCTAGTCTATGAATCTTATGATAATTTTACTTACCGAAAAAAAAAAAAAAGCTTTTTGATAATTCTAATATGCTTTTATATATATTTTTCAATACGAGCACTTCTCAGGGCATATTAGTTGAAGTCAGTCTGCTAGGGTAGCACTATTTGGTCAATAACATTTAGTTCATCCTGTTACAACTTTTTCTTCTTGAATTCATACTCTCTTGGATGTTCTAAGTATTCACCATTAGTTTCATATTCTTTAAGGTTTTATGTAAGAAGGGTTTATGTGTGTCTAGCCTGGAATGAGGTTTCTAACATGGTGATCTCTTGAAATGTAAGTTGCGATGCTATTTTGGTTACAACATGAATGGTAGGTCTGACATGGATACTTGGTGCCTAACGTTGTTGGATGGAGAAAAAAACTAGTGTCATCTTAAGTAGATTCTTTTTCTTTTTTCTTTTTTTATGTTGCCATCCTATGTTTCTTGTGAGTCACAGTTATGTACTTCATAAATATTGGAATTATGTAAAGTGAATTATAGTATGGGGATATGCCATTATTTTGGAGCATCAGCGGTATGTTAGAATGTAGAATCAGTGCTGGCATCTAACATGTATGTTTCATCTCAGTGATGGTTCGCACTCCCTCTTGGCATATTCACATTGATAAGACTAAAACTAGTAGATATAGTGCCCGGTAACCGTATTTTAATGTTCTCCATAAAAAGTATAGTGCAGTTACTAAAATTATTATGGATGTTTTGAAAATGAACAGTTGATTATTTTGAGTTGAATCTACTGATTGAAATATTATTTTCCATATAAATTATGCTTATATCTATCTAGACTATCATTTTTGGGACACTGGTCTGAGGCCGTCTTGGTCCATGCGTGGTCTACATACAAATTATCCCCACTACAATAAATATCCTATCCTTGCAATAACTGTTTGCTCCTTTCTGCTAGAAAGAAAAGTAGAAATGGTATTGCAGCCTTATAGTATACACAAATGTTTATTGCCTACTGGTGTTATATTGGAGTGACATCTGGTGGTGTATTGTGACGGACCTAGTGTCACAAGGGTCTTGTCCCACATCGAATATAGATGGGGAGAGTTTTGGACTTATAAGGGCGGGTAGGAGTAGGACCTAACAATTTAAGCTTTTGGCTCGAATGATAAGCACCCGACCCGAAACAAGTGGTAAGCAGGCCCAATCCCTTATTTGGTGTTATGCCAAGTTCCCACATGATGTGTCCGGGTCGTTACCAGGTCCTTCTGCCGGTAGGGTGGATGGGTTGGCAGGATGGTCCGATTGCAACAAGGGCATTGTAGGTTTGGATGGGGGAGAATATCACAGGGGTCTTGTGGTCTTGTCCCATATTTGATACGATGGGGAGGGTCTTGGGCATATAAGGGCGAATAGGCTGCACCACCTAACAACTTAAGATTTTGGGTCAAATGACCAGTGCCCGGCACGTAACACCTAACTTTTTGGGGTATCCTTTTGTTGTTCTTTCTGGTTTGACTATCCAAGCTGTGGATTTAGGCATGTTTCACACTATTGCTGTGGCAGTAACAATGTGATTGGAGGTTTTTGCATATGTATGTAAGAATATTATTACATTATTTATAATCATGTCATTAGCATAACTATGGTTAAGAAAAGAGAGTTTCGCTTGGTTTATTATGTTTCTTGCTTTATATCTTTATAAATACTTATTTGTTACTGGATTTTGGTTAGGATAGATATTATATTTCTGATTGGAAGTTGTTTTATGTGATGATTATTGTTGAGGACACTAAAAGAGCCATGATATATAGGATATATAAGAGAACTATTGTTTCACTCAACTCAAAAAACCTGGCTAACTCAAGCTAGCCAGGTTGGCTTGAGCAACAAGCTACTGTTTGAACTCGTAGGCTCCATTTTGTTGTAATATGACATGGTTCCTTGGATAAGTTTTAAGAATAATAACACCTTTAAGCATTTATTTATCTTGAGGAACATTTTGTCAACTCTTGGGGAAATATTGTGTTTTCCTGTTAGCTCCACGGAATAAAAATTTATACTTACCTCATTATTTCCTCTCGTAAATTAATTTCTTTATATATTTATTTAATACATGTGTCTATTGAAACAAATGGAGCCTTCAAGTTGGTTTGAACTAGCCGAACCCACTTGCAGAGCAGATCATTGTACGGATTACCTTGCTGCATAAGACCAGCCACAAAGACTTGCATGTGGCTCTGCAATGCACTGAGTTGGTAGTCTGCGCGTCAATCATATGTTAGTTTGTTACGTTTACCTAAATATGTGGATGTGCATGTCTGAGGGTGGCAGGGGAAAGTATACAGTAGGATTGACCTACTGCAGGGAGGTTGGATTCTGTTTATTGTGCAGCAAGGTTGAAAAAATAAATAGAAAAAAGAAAAAAGAAAAACAACGAGTGTCTAACGTTGTCCATTGCTCCATTGCCGTCTGCCAGTGGGGAGGGCCTACCATCTCGAGGGAAGGCTTATCCTATTGGATATTTCTCTAGGTGGTAGGCAAGCATATACAGGTCAATGATGAAGTTCATTGCAAGGTTGCCTGTCCATCAAACATCAACTATCCCAAATAAATCAAGGGGAAGGAAGGGATGTTGGGCTGTAAAGATCATGGTTTGAAATTGCTGTTACAAGATTCCAGGAATGATTTCTATTCCTATATCATATTTAGTAGTCTGAACTTCTTTACCGGGAAGCTATTTCTATTACTGGGTAGTGGTTATACAATTTAATGACTTACCCTGTTGATTACAATTCTGTTGAATGTGATATTTTTACCTTGTAGTGCATTGGTTACAGGTTCTCATTGGGCATTCTTTTGCGCCTGTTATGCTGTAATCAACTCTATTCCTCTTTGGACGTAGTGCAGCAAGAGGAGGCTAATTTGTTTATTTATTTGTTTTTATTGTTTTACAGCGAAAGAGATGCAACGTGTTCAACATTTGAATTTCTTGGGAAAATACTCGAAGAATTCTTGAGACTAACAACTCATCAGTATCATTCAGAGGATTTAGAGGTTGCAATGATCAACCTGGGGGGGTACATTGTGTTCTGCAACTGACTTATTTTTCCATGTCTTTCTGCATTGGTCATCATCCCTTTGGTTGCTGGTAAATTACTGTAATATTCTGGTTACTCTTTCTGCTGTTTTCTTGTAGTGAAACCTGTTGAAGGTTCCAAATAATGATTTCTTTTAACTGTCATTTGTCCGTTCTGTAAATTTATCCAGTGCACTTGTTACTGTAGCTTCTGTTTTTAGTGTGTGTGGTGTTCTATAATTTCATTTGGTCATTGAAAGAGTGTCAACATTATTATTATTTATTATTATTTTTAAAGTGTGTCAAGATTTGCATAACAAGTATTATAGAGAAGGCAATACAATAATGGAAGGTCAAGGGTTGAATCTCCAATGGGACAAATGTGTGCGTGTGTGATTTATTCATCCGCAAAAAATTAAAAAAAAAATAAAATACATATATATATATATATATATATATATATATATATTAACACAACAATAAAAATATATAATAATGACCTGACTATTCTACATTAGGATTAACTCTACGAGATGAGATGTTATTGAATTGAATTTGTTATTAGAAGGGTAAAAAGTGGGTGGGTGTATGAATATGTTTTATGCCATGGAAAAGTAATAATAATTAAAGAAAATATATATATTTTTAAAAAGATGTTATTTCCACAATTATTTGATTTTTATCAAAAGCTTAAAGCAAAATGACACTTTAATATTATAATTTAAGTCACATAAAGCGGGAGTGAAAACGAATTTGAGAGCAGGTGCGCACACAGAGCGTGAAAATAAGGATTGTATGACTTAAGTTATAATTCTATATAAAATGTTTATAAAAAAAAAAAAAAATGCAAATAAAAACTTGTCTCTAAAAGTCAAGTTATACAAGTTGATGGGTCGATGGTCTTCACATTTGACTTCATTTTTCAAAATTTCTTCACTCAATTTTTTTTTTTTTAAAACCCCACAAGTAAAAGAAAGAAAATTATATACTTCGTATAAAAGAATATTATATACTCTGTAATATATATATAAACATTTAGACTCTAGAGTGGTTGTGGCCCGTGGCTTAATCGAGAGTGGTTCACTCCAGGTGGGTGTGGGCAACACCCAAAGGTTGCAATTAAAAAATAGAAAAATAAAAAAGGAAAAGAGGAAAGAGGAGAAAAGGTAACAAAATCGGAATTTTCCTGGAAAGCGGGGTTAATCAAGGAAAGATTTGGTGTAATCATGTTCCCAATTGAGGCCGTACAATTACAATCAATCTCTTTTTTCCCAAGAAAATCAAGTGTATGTCACAGTGCATCTCATTACTTTCATCTCGGTGCACAACATCCCTTGATCATCATTCATCATCCTTTAGTGATCAACTCGAAGAAAAAATCAAACAAGTCAACGGCCAAGATAAGCAAATCTCTCTCACCATGTCTCTGACCCCACATAGAAACATTCGAACATGTTAGTGGCACCTCACACGACGCCATCTCTTCAGACGATAAAGATCCATAACTGAAAATAACTACCCAATTTCAAAGTGGTCTCTCTCTCCTCTCTCTCTCTCTCTCTCACACACACAAACCCACACACAAAAACATGGTAACTGCTCAAACTACATAAGACACTCATCGGTCACTATTCAACTTTTTTTCGCGAATCTGTTCTTTGTTCTGAAACCATTGAGTGATGAACGACAACGACGAAATAACTGGTTTCCGATTGTCTCCTCTGGCCGGCGAAGCTTCTCAGAGTGTCACCGGAGGCAATTTTCCGGCCGCCGTGAAGAACCACCACAATCCCAGAAAAAGGCGCACCAAATTGATGCGAATTGATCATAACCCAGTTGGATTGAGTTCAATCGGCGGTGGTTCGAAGCCCAAGTATGGAAAAAAACCAGACCCTGGTGCTCCAAAGATCACCAGACCCTGCAGTGAGTGTGGAAAAAAATTCTGGTCATGGAAGGCCCTTTTCGGGCACATGCGGTGCCACCCGGAGCGTCAGTGGCGGGGAATTAACCCCCCGCCGAATTTCAGGCGGCCCAACTCGCCGGAAACCACCAGGGACGACCCTGTTGAAACAGAGATGTTGACAGAGGAGGATCATGAGGTTGCTTCTTGTTTGTTGATGTTGGCTAATGGGGGTGGTACTTTTGAGACACCAAGTGGTCCAAGTGTTACTAACACTATAACTAGTACTGCCAATTTGGGGAATTTGGATTATGAGACTGGTTTTAGGGATGCTGCAATGGGTGGTGATGGGTACGGAGATGGGGCTGGGACCGGTGGTTCTTCGGCTCCGAATTGTCGATTTGAGTGTTCGAGTTGCAAGAAAGTGTTTGGGTCTCATCAGGCCTTAGGGGGGCACAGGGCTAGCCACAAGAATGTGAAGGGTTGTTTCGCGATAACCCGGTGTGACAGTGAGGATGTTGAGCACAATGCTGGGCATGTTGATGAGAGGAATGGGGAAGGGGAGGTGAAGGAATGTGGGGAGGAGAAGATGGTGATGGTTTTAGGGCACAGGTGCAGTATATGTCTTAGGGTTTTCCCAAGTGGACAGGCCTTGGGTGGACACAAGAGGTGCCATTGGGAGAAAGGGGATGAACCATCATCATCTTTTGCAACAAGGGGGGAGGGTTGTGGTTTGGACCTCAACTTGCCTGCTCCGATCGAGGACCATTCGTCGTGCTCTTATTCTTCAGGACTGGCTTTGGATTTAAGGTTGGGACTTTGAAGATATAAATGTTGTCTTTTGTTGGATATATTCTAAACTGATATATGTTTTCTAACCTAGGGTTAGTGATCTTTGTACAATTAGTATTTTGACTGGGGAAGGAGGGTTCTTGTTAGCTCCAAAATTGGGAGAAACAAGAAATGCTGTTCATGAACAACTTGGATAAACACATATTTCTCAGTAGTTACTACTCTTATATTGAATAGTTATAATGTGAAGCTGGTGAATATTGATGTTCACATTATTGTTGTTACCATAACTTTTCTATCATAAATTTAGCACATAATGTTGTGAGGTTTGAATGCTATGATATCTGTGCATAAATACGTCTATCTGTATCCGCATCTGTATTGTACGTGTTTTCCTCATGTACTTTTTTTTTTTTTCGGATATTCTGTCAGAATTGAGTCATTTGGGCAAAAATCAAGCTCATGGTTGCTGATTGACAGAACATGTAGAATGTGCCCTAGTAATTGAATGGTTGTAAGGCCCCATCTGACACCAGTATTGGGCTATCCAAATTCCAAACTGATGACGAAAATGGATTCTCTAAACCTTGTTAATTTTCAGAGGAGAAAAATGTTACAAGATTTAGGATTACTTAGCCACAAAAAACACATTTAGACTGTTCATATTGGAGGACATACTTTACTGTAAGTTGATTAAAAGCAGAAATTAGGTCCACAAGGAGCACATAATTGAAACAAAATATACTGATCTTAGCTTCTAAAATTTTCTGTAAGAAACAAAGCGATATACTTGTATGCTATTAAGAACTTGGATTGTTACTTCTTTATCAAAATCTAAGTCCTGAATCTGACAAACTATATGAGAATCAAATGAGAGCTGGTTTGACAAGTCTTAGTTTGCTCTTCCATGTGATAGATTCGAAGTATATTATGTAAGTTTCACTTTTTACTGCATTTAGACACATTCTTAGGTTCCATTTGCTATGATGAGAACCATAGTTTGCTCTTCCAGAGATATAAATACTTTTTAGGCTGAGCATAATGGAAGATTAGCTTTCACTTAATTAGGAAAAAGGAGAGAAAAGATTAGCTTTCACTTCAATTTTTGAGAACGACATTCTCCACACTAGCACTGAACAAGCATATTGCGAATTCTGAATTTCATTGGTTTTTCTTAGGATTCAGCAAATTTTAAAAGAGAAACTGTAAACATTTTCCATTCAAGTGAAATGGTACAAAGATCAATTAGTCAACATGGTAGTTCAATATAGAGAAAAAAAAAGAACTTTATTATTCTCTTGATAGGTTGAAATGTATAAAAGTATATTAATAGAGAAGATCTTTATGGGGTATATCCATGGACTGTAGAGTTCCCTTTTACTCTTCCTCTCCCGGGGGAGTAAGTAAAATCAAGATAATAAATGGATAAAACATGAGTACTATAACTGCTCATCTCATCAAATTATATCAGTTCAGATTTTATCAGCTTAAATGGCAAACCAGTTCGGAAATGTCTCCAAATCAGAGCTCTACTTCTTAAAAACCTTCTATGACATAATGAGTTTATCGGGGTTTCTAGGAAAAACCTATGGTTCGGATTGGTTCCACTAATAACAAATTCTTACAGTTAAATTATGAATTGCTAGGACTAAGTGAGTCCAGTGAGGTGAATTTGAGCAGAGTATGATATTTTCTGCAAGTCCGAAAATAGTTTATTACCAGCCAACAAAATTTTCCAATTCGAAGGCTGTAATGAGTCAGTCGAATTATCTGATATTTTGAAATATTAAAATGACTGTGGATTAAGTTTTCAACTTCTAGATACACATCAGATTAATTCCATTATAGTTCACCTACAAACTACCAGTTCACAAGCAGTAAGGGATGTTTTATGATTTTTAATAATTCTTTTAGACAGTCCTAACCTAAGCGTCCACTGAAAACTTATTTGCCGTTTGTTCTACAATCAGTTCAGTAAATAAACCACCATCACAGACAGATAATCTCCACTGTAACTGTCGAATCAGCGGTTGAAATTCAAAGAATCTGCTTTTTATGTTTTTCCTATCACTTCTTTGAACTGAATTTCAGTACAACATGAATCCTCTTGGTATCTTCCCTAGATTCAATCAGTATATGTGATTATATTGAAAGTTTGAGCTATTCATTTGTTGTCTATAATAATGAAAACCAATTAGTCAACCATAATCGAACTGTGACTTTATAAGGTATATGATGTGTAACCTCTTTCTGAATGTTGGACTAGCTTTAATGCAGAATCATTAATATAAAGCAATTTGTCAACTATAATTGAGCTTTGACTTTACAAGATATATGATGTATAACCCTTTTCTGAATGTCGGACTAGCTTTGTTCGTGTAAAATGCATGAATGAGTACTTCTCTCTTTCTCAGAATGATGTTTCATTAGTAGTGACAAATATGATGAGAAGCAATGTTAGTAGTAGTTGTGTGTGTGTGTGTTTTCACACATTTCATTGGGGAAAAAAACGCAATCTGAATGCAGATAATGCTTCATATCTATCAAGTGACAGTGGATTACAAAACTTTTGTTCAGTCTTGAGCGCATTAGGTGTCATGATATTGATGCAACTGGACTGCATTGATGCTTTTATGTTTTGCTGATTCACTTGTGTGTGCCTATTATTACATGAACAATATATAATTTGTTTCTTCTATAATAATTGTAATGTTTCGATTTATACATCTTGGTGGCGATTTGAATTATGTCTTTAAACCAGTTTGTGGTTTAATGCAATTGGATTAGACAACTTGATATAAAAAATTTATTGATATCCACGGAAAATGGATAAGTATAATTTCTTTCCCTCTACATTTGAAGCCATGGATATATCAGATATTTCCATTGAACTGTGTAATGGTAGAATTTGATCGCTTTCAACGACTGTTTTCTTTTCTCTGTTTGAGTTCCATTTACTTTCATGTCGATGTATTCATGTTACGCGAAGGGCAGCAGACGGGCTACAGATTTTGCCTGTTTGGCATCCGAGAAAATAAACTATTCTCTCTCACCCTTGATATTTTTTCGACTCTAGAACCTGTTCTCCTACCTGAAGGTGACATGTTTGACAATTGACATGACTTTGCTCATCTGATCATGATCTTGCATGGCTTGAATTGCTGTGATTTATTCTTAAAACTTGCTTTACAATTTAATATATTGCTCTGTAGTTTCAGCTGTGAATTTCCAACTGTATGTTAAAATATGCACCTTTCTTTCTTGCAACTCCTCCTCAATTATAATATAACTTTTAAAATTTTAAATGAAAGTGTGGAAGTATCTCCTTTGTAAATTTAAAATTGTTAACAGACATCCATAGTGGATCCCCTTGGTATCATGGATTGTTTCAATTGGCTTGTGTGGTCCATGGGCCACATCTGATATATATATATAATATTGAGATGATTCATCTAATAATTCAGGTTTGACTTTATAAATAGCTGCTGGCATCTAAACTGGTTCTAGCGTAATCATGCTCCTAAATCTATGACTAATCAATTCTGGTGGTTGTGTGTGTGTGTGTGTTTAGGACCAACATCAAGTGTGACTTTAAACATATTTAGATTAGAGTGATCTAGCATGGCCTGTTTGGAACACACATCCTCATAATCTAAAACTACAATCTAGAAAATAATTGAACTGTTTATTGTGAATGAAATTAAAAGGCAATTTTTGTTGGGTAATTTCACTAGTCTTAGAAATAGGTGGTTATATGAGTATCTTTTAAGCGTCCTTCTGATCACATTGATGTTGATTATTATTGAGTTTCTTTGTAACTTTTAAATCAATCTTTTTTGTACGGTTGAAGGCAATTTTGCTTTATACCTGAAATATTTATGTTTTGTTTTGGAGTATCGAATCAGCGATTTTGGAATTAAAGAGATTTTAATTAAATTTTTTTAAGTTTCAAATTCAAACCACCAAACTCCCAAATACAACATTGGCGAAAATATAAAATTAATAGATGCAGCAACACGATTAGAGTTTCCAAGTTTTCTTGTTGAACATTTAGTATTTTTTTTCTTGAGTTTGGGTCCAAAACTTTGATGATCACATCAAGAAAAACTCAAACGGCCTTTGCAAACCATAAATTAATACACTGCCCTTTTTCCTCATACCAAGAACAAAATATATATATATATATACATATATATTAGTTTTAAACATAAAAATAAAAATAAAAATAAATAAAGTACAGATCCTGATTACACAAAGTTTCCAATTAATCATTTTTAATTAATCACGCAGTCGAGTCTGACATTTTTGGTGATGTCAGAGAAAAGAAATCATTGGTTAAGATTCACTAACCATAAGTAATTAATGAAACAAGTGGGATGCGTCAGTCTCAACTGATCCATCATTAGATTAACCACATTATATTAGAGAATAATTAATTGGGCATTATTAGAGTTAATTGTGGAATGCACGTAAGAGAATCCTTAATATACAACATTTTTTTGGACTCACTAATTCGGGTTAGTCACATATTTTAATCACAACCCGTACTTGACACCACTTAAATATTCAATAAGTTGAATCAGCATTCTGACTTTTATAATCAAGCGTGGCCTGCTTAATTAATTAACATTTTTTTTTTCCATTTTCAATGTCTAATTAAAATTATTAAATAATAATTATATTTGCAATTGCGTAAGCATGCTCGTCACGTTCATTGATTAAAGTCATTTATATTTATTCTTGAGTTGATTATTCGTACATTTTAATTAAATAGTAATAAACTCGTTAAATATGGAATTATTTTGAACGTAATTGGTTGTGTTTCCCCATCAGCAACATACATGGGGTCTGTAGGTTTCGTACAAGCAGTGATAAAACACCATGCTCCAAAAATCAAAATTATCTCTCTCTCTATACACACACACACACACACATATATATATATCCGTACTATTATTAGAAGCGCAAGCAAACAAACAATATTTTGATGAGTTGTGGCCTAACACAGGTTGGATGCGGCGGGTGGAGAGCAGATTAAAAGGGCATGGTCCATGGACCCCATAATTTTGAGAGGTACATATTATATAAATGTGTATAAATGTATAATTGTGTGTGTGTGTGTGTGTATATATATATTAGTGTAAGGTGGTCCTTAATTAAGCCAACATTTTATAATACAGAGTGACCTCTAAAAAGAGATTCCGTAAGGATGATGTTAGCTTGGAGAGCTTAACTTTAACTCTAGCGTAATGATGCTCCTAAATCTATGACAATTTAATTTTGTGTGTGTGTGTATGTTTAGGATCAACATCAAGTGTGACTTTAAACATATTTAGATTAGAGTGATCTAGAATGGCCTGTTTGGAACACATCCTCATAAACTAAAACTACAATCTAGAAAAGAATCGAACTGTTTATTGTGAATGAAATTAAAAAGGCAACTTTTTCCAGAAAATTTGTTTTTTGTCGGGTAATTTCGCTAGTCTTAAAAATAGGTGGTTATATAAGTGTCTTTTAAGTGTCCTTTTAATCACACTGATATTGATCATTACTAAGTTACTTTGTGACTTTTAAATCAATCTTTTTTTGTACGGTTGAAGACAATTTTATACCTAAAATATTTATGTAATGTTTGGAAGTATCGATCAGCGACTTTTGAATTAAAAGGAAATTTAATTAAAAAATTAAATTAAATTTTCTTTAAGTTCTAAATTCAAACCACCAAATTCCCAAATGCAACATTAACAAAAATATAAAATTAATAGATCCAACAACACGGTTAGAGTTTCCAAGTTTCCTTGTTAAACCTTTAGTATTTTTTTCTTGAGTTTGGGTGCAAAACTTTGATCACATCAAGAAAAACTCAAATGGCCTTTTTCGTCCTACCAAGAACAAAATATATACACACAGATATATTAGTTTTAAGCATAAAAAAACAAAATAAAGTACAGATCCTGATTACACAAAGTTTTCAATTAATCATTTTTAATTAATCACGCAGCCGAGTCTGACATATCTGCAGATGTCAGAGGAAAAAATCATTGGTTAAGATTCACTAATTATAAGTAATTTAATGAAACAAGTGGATGGGTCAGACTCAACCGATCCATCATTAAATTAACCACATTATTATATTAGAGAATAATTGGGCATTATTAGAGTTAATTGTGGAATGCACGTAAGACAATCCTTAATTTACAACATTTTTTTGGACTTACTAATTCGGGTTAGTCATCACGACCCGCACTTGACACCACTTAAATATTCGATAAGTTGAATCAGCATGCTGACTTTTATAATCAAGGGTGTGGCCTGCTAATTAATTAACATTTTATTCCACTTTCAATGTCTAATTAAAGTTATAAAATAATAATTATATTTGCAATTGAGTAAACATGGTCGTCACGGTTGATTGATTAAAATCATTTATATTATTTATGAGTTGATTATTCGTACATTTTAATTAAATAATGATAAACTCTTTAAATATGGAATTATTTTGAACGTAATTGGTTGTGTTTCCCCCATCAGCAACATACATGAGGTCTGTAGTTTTTGTACAAGCAGTGATAAAACACCATGCTCCAAAAACCAAAACTATCTCCATATATATACACACACATATATATCCGTACTATTATTATTAGAAGCACAAAGCTAATAAACAAGATTTTGATGAGTTGTGGCCTAACACTGGTTGGATGCGGCGGGTGGAGAGTAGATTAAAAGGGCATGGACCCCATAATTTTGAGAGGTACTTATTATGTATACATATGTGTATAAATATATAATTGTGTGTGTGTGTATATATATATATATATATATATATTAGTGTAAGGTGGTGCTTAATTAAGCCAATATTTATTCTCCGGTTAGTGTAAGGTGGTCCTTAATTAAGCCAACATTTTATAATACAAAGTGGCCTGTAAAAAGAGATTCCGTAAGGATGATGCTAACTTGGAGAGCTTAACTTTAGATTGGAGAGTCAACAGAAGCGACACCATTGAAATTTAAATTACCTTGCAGAGAGAGAGAGAGAGAGAGAGAGAGAGAGAGAGAGTTATGAGCCTGTGAAATTGAAGCTGATTAACATTTGCTGCCCATGCGGTTAGAAGGATTCTTCCTATCTGTACAATTATTCAATATAGATATTATTGTAATTATATATTACAAATTAAGTTATTTCATGAATTTAGTCCTTTTTATATTCCTAGTTGTGAATTTAGTCATTTATTATCTCAATATATATATATATATATATAAATATAATTTTATACTTTAGTTTATAAATAGATTACATGACCTATTTAAGTTAAATAGGTTAAACAATTTATGAAATGAGTTGTGTCGTTAGATGATGTGTGTTAAATAGATTATTTAGGTATCATGTTCCATCATTTCATACATGTTCAATAAAATGACAAAACTCGAAAGTTCTTGACAGATTTATTAAACCGGTCACGATGGACATATCAAATAGAATATTCTAAACTTTATTTTCTTTTCCAAATGTACTAATTAAATAGAGAACTCCTTTTTTCTTTTCTTTTTTTTCTTTTTTTCTTTTTTCTTTTTTTTTTTCAATTGCAGTCTACAGTAGTTGACCTTACAAAAACGAAGGGACGCAAATCCGCGGTGGCATTTGTGGGTCCTACCTCGAGTAGATTCTTCACGATTCACCGCTTATAGACATTCCCAGATGCCCAACGACAGAAACAAATCTACTTCAAAAACAGAGAGTTGAGCACATCCAAGAACAAACTTGGGGATATAGAGACAGAGAGAGAGAGAAAAAAAAAAAAAAAAAGTGCTTCATGTTCTTGTGGATGGGGTTAATAGGAAGGAACAAGCAAACCCATTCATCATATATGAATTACACTTTACCAAATCTTTGTTGCTGAGGCATATGATACGACTTACAACATGCCCGCTTAAGAGTTTTACAGAATCTTCACAAAAGTGAGTCACTTAAACTTTCTTCTTCCTTTTCCTCTTCTTTTATCTTTCTTGTTTGTAGCTGTTGTGGTTTGTGCTACGAATAGAGAAGTGGTGATGGAAAAGTTGTGTTCTTATTATGGGTTTTTGATTTTAAGAATTGGGTCAGCTTTATTTTGTGTAAATTTTAATTTAATTACTTTCCAGGTCATGTTTGTGATTCTTGACATCACAGCAAACTTGATGAACTTGGTTTTTTTTTTTTTTTTTTCGTAATGGGTTTATACTTTCTTATATTGGTAATGAGATCAGTATTTAAAATATTTCTCTTTTGATTTCTATAACGCTTGCTGATGCTGGAATTTGGGTATAATGGTGGTTGCTATCCATTCAGGGTCAACCATTGCTCAATTATTTATTTATTTTTTGGTTAGCAAGAATTTGTTAAAAGGAGCCAAAGCTCTCAACCCAAAAGGTTACAGAGTAGAAGCAACAAAAAAAACAACCCAAAAGTGTCTCAGTTTTTTATTCTTAACGGAAGTGTGTTTTTTTTTTTTTTTTTTTTTTTTTTGAAATCCCTTTTTGAGTTGGTTTTGTTCCATGAAATCTAAATCTTGAATTTTGGCCAAACTATTTTTTTTTTGTTATATATGATACTGCGTTGGATTTTTCTTCTTTCAATGCTTTATCTAAGTATGGTATCTTTCTCTTCCATGCTACTATGCTAATTTTTAAGTTATAATCATGATGTATTGAGCTTTTAAAGATTAATATGCTCACAGATCTCTATGAAGTGTGCTTGGTTTCTTTCCTCTGAAATTTTTTTCTGATTGCAGTTTCAAAGGGAAATCTTTTTTGAAGATGTTTTCGCAGCTCAGATTGTTTGGGTTTTTGAAGACCGGGGAAACGAATCCTTCCTGGAAGTTCCTCTTTTTGTTTTTCATATTTATGCTTCTACGTTTTGGGTCTTGATTTTTGTCTTTACAGATGATTTAGGCTTTTTATGAGATGGGGTTCTGAAGAAAATTCATTATGGAAGATGGTGCCTTTACACCTAATTGCGTGTCGGTAACACTTTCAGAGAACAATATGGATTTTGATCTTATGGATGACCTCTTGTATGATGGATGCTGGTTAGAGACTCCTAATAATGAATCTAATTTTTGGCAGCCTTGTCCATCTACTTCCAGTACTTCAAATTTCCCTGATTATTGCTTTCCTACTTCAGAGAATAACATGGATGATTTGAATACAAACCCGCATCAGAAAAGCAATCAACAACAAAACTTCGGTGACAACCCCCCACCTGTTGTTTATTCCAAAATTGTGTATTCCCAAATAAAAGAGCCCGCTGGAAGTCAAATGCAAAGCCGGGAAGCAATCCAAACTGCAGCATCTTCAGGCCAATCTGAAAGTTTTCAGGTAGAAAGCACTGAAATGAGCAGAAGATTATGGATTGCACCAAGTAGAAATCTAAGTTCTACTTCCTCTGTTAAAAAGAGATTGAGGCAGGCAGTTGAATACCTAAAAGAATCGGCAAGGGATAGAGATGCCCTTATTCAAATATGGGTGCCTACAATTAGAGGAGGTAGACGTGTCCTTTCCACCTACAATCAGCCATTCTCCCTCAATCCCAACTGCAAAAACCTTGCAGATTACAGAGAGGTTTCCACAAGCTATAGCTTTGCAGCTGAGGAGAATTCTGAGGAGTTGGTTGGATTGCCTGGCCGGGTTTTCTTGAAGAAGTTGCCTGAGTGGACTCCTGATGTTCGCTTCTTCAAAAGGGAGGAGTACCCGCGTGTTAATTATGCTCGGCAGTACAATGTTCGTGGGTCTCTTGCACTTCCTGTTTTTGAACGAGGCAGTGGGACATGCCTGGGTGTTGTTGAGATTGTGACAACTACCCAGAAAGCCAATTATCACCCCGAACTTGAAAACATCTGCAAAGCTCTTGAGGTCTCCTCTTCTTTTCATAATATATAACTTATATTTGTGTAGTGTTTTTCTTTTTAATGTATTTAATGTAGAGTTTAGAATGTTTATTTGAACTGTGAAGAACTAAATATTATCATTTGTTTGGTTGAAGAATGAAGAAAATCACACAGTATCTAGAAACAACTAGCTTAGAATCTTGTTCCTGTCATAGTAAGATTAATTCTTGGACCAACATGAGTACCGTCTAAATCATCTGTCCATGGACCTTTCATCATTGAAGAACATTCTTAGGAACCCATCCAGAGATACTCCTGGTCTTCAATTTTCTTTTTCTTCTTTGGTAATAGCCGATGCATGTCAGTAACTACTTTGAACCTCATTTTCACCTATGTTACCTGGACTCCGCGGGGTCCAATTTTGGACAATAACAAGCTACAAAAAAGTTCTTCAAGCTAAAAACTGAGGTGTCTTTGATAGAAAATTACATTTTCACTTCACAAAATTACTCCCTCACTCCATATATATGTATGTGTGTGTTTAAAATGAAATGATACAATTGTCCCTAAAAAAGCATTTTCACACTACAATTATTCAAAATGGAACTCTTACATCCTACTTTTGAGGGCTATTATGTGATGTGAATATTACATGTTGAAAAACAAATTGATGTTGGAAATTCTATAGTAATTGAAATATATGCATATAGAATTAAAATGAAATTAAAAATTGAGTTCCACTGGGCCTAAGGTAGCTCTGCCCATGGGTGTGTCTGTCAGGTGCAGGTATGTGTCTAAGTGTCAGAATTAGTAAAATTTTTATACCTAAGGACATGGGAACATGTCTAAATATTTATATATTTTTGTTATTCTTTTGTTTTTTGAGTAAAATAATGTTTTCATATAACATTGAGTGTCTGGCATTGGCACTTAACTCGTTTGAAGTAATAATGTAACAAAAGGAGAATAATAGGAAAATTTTATATAACAAACTTGAATGATTTGATATAGTGCATCTCCAACTAGATGTGTTTGACATATATCCCATACTCATGTGGACTTGTTCTATTCTGATATGGTGTACAGATTTAATCCGAGCTTTCTTATTACCTCATTTATTTAAAAAAAAATCCATGGTAACATAGATGTGCCCAAACACCATCAGTTGCAGTAAATTCATGAGCACTTACCATAATTCTAGTCATTGGACTGCACAATTTACTTTACTAACAATTTTGATGTCATGATCTCGGATCTCCTTTCTGTCTTTCCTTGCACATGGCCCTCTATATCTATTTTTTGTCCTTTTTTCTGTCTTTCCTTGCATAATTTACTTTACTGTTCTTAACTCCCATTTATGTCCTCAAAATTGCTTCTAATATCCTCTGCACCTGTTCATCGTGACCATGCTTACCATATTTCATCGAATGAATTTCTCTGATTTTTTCTTTCAACAAAACCAAAGCAAAGAAAAACCCACCAATGGTTACCTTCATTCTGTGATAGCCTTACAACTCTGTACTATAATGCAAATGTCTTTCTTCTTGTCTTAACATTTTTTTTTTCCTTTTGCAGGCTGTTGATCTAAGGAGTTCTGAAACTTGCTGTGCTCCCAAAATAAAGGTAGAATTATAACATCTCAAAGAGAAGTCATTTTATTGTTTGAAATTCAAATTTCATTCCTGACATTGCAGATATGATTCTTTATCAGGCTTGGAATGACTCTTACCAAAATGTATTAACAGAGATACAAATGGTTTTAAAATCTGTCTGTGACATGCACGGGTTGCCGTTAGCTCAGACTTGGGCCCCATGTATTCAACATGGTAAGGGTAGGTGCCGGCACTCAGATGAGAACTATGCTGCTTGTGTATCCACCATTGATTCTGCTTGCTATGTTCCCAATCCACAAGTTTTGGGCTTTCATGAAGCATGCTCCGAGCATCACCTACTCAGAGGGGAAGGCGTTGCTGGGAGAGCATTCATGACAAACCAACCTTGTTTTGCTGCTGACGTTACAGTCTTTAGCAAGGCTGAATATCCTCTTTCTCACTATGCTAGGATGTTTGGATTGCATGGCACTGTGGCAATACGTCTTCGGAGCATCTATACTGAATCAGCTGATTTTGTCTTGGAGTTTTTCTTGCCATTAAATTGCCAAGACTCTGACGAACAAAAGGGAATGCTGAATTCATTATCCTCTGTGTTGCAACATGTTTGTCAGAGTTTACGTGTCGTCACAGGCCAGGAGCTAGAGGAAGAAACGATATTGCCAGTTAGTGAAATGGTAGCCCCTTCAAGTGGGATACTTAATAAAGAATTATCCCCAAAACATGCATCCTCTTCCTCGAATGCTCTCTCTCAAGAAAAGTCTTCCTGGATTGCCCATATGATGGAGGGCCAACAGAATGGTAGTGGCGTTGCTGTCTCCTTGGGGTATCAAAATGAGGAGCCAAAAGATGAGTTCAAGGTGACAACTCATTGGGATAATAACGAGGTGGACCTACATCATGCATCGATTCCAAGCCCCAAGAAACTCCAGCAAGATTCTGAACTCAAAGGAATTGAGGGTACTGGAGATCTTTCTTCTTTTGGCAGGTATTGCCCAGCAGGTGCCAGAAAAGCAGGTGAGAAGAGACGGGCAAAGACGGAAAAGACTATCAGCTTGCAAGTGCTTAGGCAATACTTTGCTGGGAGCCTAAAAGATGCTGCTAAGAGTATTGGGGGTAGGAAAATATCGTTACATCTAAAGCAAATATGTTATTCTTGTTTGAATTTTTTTATTTGACTTCCAAAAAAAGCATCGATTAACATTTCATTTAGGGACCTTCAGTCTTTTTTTGGCCAGGATCACTCAGCAAAATATTTAGAAATATGTAAAATCCTTAAACCATTTCCATTTTCTCCATTATGCCTACATAAATGTTTCTTTAGAACTAAAATTAGTTTGAGAAGTATGCATGCAGATTTTAACTATTGTAGATTATTTGCAAAATTCCAGAAATGTTTCCAACAATTACTGATAATGTAGAATAGTTTATGGCTAGTAATCATTCTTTATATATTTCTATTTCTTCTGATGTCTTGCCTTTTGCTGTTATTATAAGCTCCCAACATGTTATGATAAAATCCTGATGAATCCAGGACTTTCAATTATTCCTGCTGCATACTTACTCTCGAAGTTCAAATTTTATTGTTTCTAATTACAAGATGCAGTGTTGCATCTTTATCAAAAGGGTAGTTTGGTATGTTAATTTTGGTCAGGGACCATCATGGCAACAAGTCTGAAACGTAGATCAGGTGTACCTACTCTAATTTTGTCACCTATAATTCAGTGTCACAAGATTACTCGAAGCTATATTGTGGATAATAGCAACATAGTTAATCTAGAATCACTATTTGTTCTTCTCTATTTCTTGCATGTTCTGCTTTCCCAATGAAATAACCCCTGATTTTCCCAAATTTCTCATCAAATTTGTTTGCTGCCTCCAGAGTACTTTTTTATGATTTATTCTGAATATTTCCCTGAAATTTCTGAATTCTGAAATCTGCACTGCCACTGGTCGCTACCCTATTTCTCTGCTCACTAGTTGCAAGGCGGTGTCTTCTCTTAATAAAGAGATTCACTGACCTTGTCAGACCTATAGCTAGCTGCTTTGCTTTTTCTTTACTATACGTTATCCTTTAATTTTGGGTTTGACTTCATTGAATAGGATCCTTAATTGCATGCAAATAAGCCATCCTTGCTCACTATTTCTTACTCAGTCAGTTCATGCATTTGCAGTGTGTCCCACTACTTTGAAAAGGATATGCAGGCAACATGGCATCACCAGATGGCCTTCTAGAAAGCTCAAGAAGGTAAGCCACTCATTAAAGAAACTCCAACTTGTTATAGAATCTGTCGAAGGCAGTGAGGGCGCTATTCAACTTGCCTCCTTCTATAACAACTTCCCAGAATTAAGATCTCCAACCGTAACTGGTACCACTTCCTTCTCCACTTCAAAGATAAATGATGATTTGAAGGAGTTAAAGACTGAACCTGAAGGCAGCCTATTGAACCCTGACTCCACTTCTTCAAAATCACCTTCCTCTTCTTGCAATCATAGCTCCAGTTCAAGTTTATGTTTTTCCACTGGAGCAAAGCAGCCACTTGTCACTGCCAGCGCCTTCGGTAGTGGAGATGCTTTGTTTGCAGAAGAGCCAACTGGGTTGCTCAAGAGAACATGCAGCGAAGCATACTTGCATGATTCCTGTCAAGAGGAAATGAAAGTTCTTGCAAGATCCCAGAGCCATAAACTTTTTGGTGAGCATCCTAGTCTTGAGGCTCTACTTCCCTCACTGAAAACAAGCAGCCAGGTTGTACGAGATGCAGGGATACTTAGAATTAAGGCCACTTTTGGGGAAGAAAAGATCCGTTTCAGCATGCCACAAAATTGGGGTTTTGGAGATTTACAACAAGAGATTGCAAGGCGTTTCAGTATAGAGGATGTCAGTAGAATTGATCTCAAGTATTTGGATGATGACTCGGAGTGGGTTCTTTTGACATGTGATGCTGATCTTGAGGAATGTATAGACATATACAGATCGTCTAATATCCGCACAATTAAGCTTTCCCTCCACCTAGCTTCCCATCCGAATTATGGGAGTTCGTTTGGTAGCAACGACCCATCCTAATGCCATGGCCCATTTTAGTAGCTTGTGATGGGTGACTAAGTCACACAATTATTCTAAACTGATGCCACTCTCGTGTTCTCCCCATGCTCTCGCTCTTGTTTTCACTCCGGTGACTTAGATTTTGCCATCTTTGCTCTCACTCACCCACCCACCCAAGTGGGTGGGTGGGTGAAAAAAATAAATGGCTAGTCTCTCTTTGAAGTTGTTTTGTTTTTTTACAAAGGTAACAGCTTGTCAAATGGTGGGAGGTTCTACACGGCAGGAATCTGTTCATGATAACAATGCCAACGTTGCATCTTGATTTCACGGATTCTGGAATAATGATGTAAAAATTCGCGAATGTCGGAACTGTGAAGAAGATTCACCACTTTATCTAGAGTCATGTAATTACATCACTAGCAAGTGATGTATCCTTGAGACTGAACTTGTACATTCAGTTACAGAGTGGTGATTTTAACAATTTTTGGAGCTCTCCATTCAATTGTGCTTGCTTGATTTTGGTTTTATCTATTCATAATTGTGATTTGAGGCATCAAAGTTGAAATTCTGATAAAATTTGCTTAGGAGGCTCTTAATATATAATGGGTAGGACCGTAAGAGGAGACATGTCTATTTTGCCACCAAGGAGTCGAGAATCCTCGCACTTTCTTGAAGTGAAACAAAGAAATGCCTTCTACTGTTATATGAAAGGCATCTCTTGTTTTTTCACCACAACCTCAGGAAAACTTTAAAAAAAATTTGTTGGATAAGTGGACTATGCTCGGACACCTTTGGTTGGAGACCAATTGTAAACCCACACTAAAGCTGACTCCACAAGATATAAGAGGTTAAAATATATATATATATATATATAGCAAAGGTTAACACAAGACAAAATGTAAAATAATTTAGAGAATCCTGATTGAATTTCATATTTCAGCACTGCCTGAATCTAAAATCCTTCCAGTTGGAAAGGGAAAAAGAGAGAGAACACTCTTCAAAAAAAATTCACATTTACCTTGATGCATAATCTTCCAAAGAAATTTTCAGTGTTACGAAGCTTCACGAGATTCAACCGATGGAAAACTTCAGAAAGCTGAATACAGTCTTTCAGCTATAGGTAACAATAGTTAACAATGCGATGGTATAGAGAATACCTTAGTACAACATAAAAAGAAATTTTCTATTACTGAAACATATTGATTTATACATTCTGATGTAAATGATTGTGAGATGTATTTTAACTCCAAAATACAACCAATATACAGTAAAAATTAAAAAGGGCAGATGTTCTGATTTCAGCTTCAGCTTCAGCTTCAGCTTCGTTTTTCAGCACTGTGAATTAATACCATATTAAAACTGCACCCTTCAACACCTATACCACTTTTCCAGACGGATTTCATCCATTAGCTCAAGTGCGATGAAGCAAAATCTTCAACCTCTTGCTGTTTCTCAATAGATACACATCTTGACGGTGGCCCAAACATGCTCAATACCACCTGCAATCCGCGAAAAGAGACCACTGTAACAAACAGATTATTAAAATGTTTCATTCAATTTTAATGGGTTTCAAAAACTTTCCTGAAATATTTTCCCATCATGTAATGGTTTAAGTGGGCACATGGTGAAAAGTGCCAGTCAAAGCACGGTACAAAACCAGTGGATAATTGGAGAGGCACTACTAAAGAGGAAGTATACCCCACTGCATGATGTTGACCACCTAATATTTCTAATGGATTTTAATTTTTTGTGCCTAATGACGCTGGCACTTGGACACTTTTAGACACGTGTCCAACACATCAAGAACAAGAACGAGAACATGTCAATATCTTAAAAAGAAAAATTCTTAATTTTGAATGTACTAGGCCCAATACATCATTGACACTAGTTAAAATCGCATGACTACCTTTAATGTCAGATATCTTTCTTTTAGCACGAGAAAAGGCGAAATTCTAAGCAAAAATCAAATTATATGTTCACAATAAAGTTCCAAAAAAATCAACCACACTAAAAGAAGATAAAAGAAACTGCTTCCCGTTGAGGAAGTAGGGAGGGAGGACATACATACACATCACATACACTCAATAAGTCTCGTCCTTACTATGCCATTGTTTAAGTGCAATCTTTGTTAATCAAGGGCGCTGAAAGGGGTGAACTGGATATGTCTAGGCGTGGTCTCTGTTAATTGAGGGCGCTGGAAAGGATGAACGGGATGCAGACTAAACTTTTGACACTATTTGAACAAAGTGACTGCTCTCCAAGTAATGGCCCCTTTGTCTAAGCAACATCATTGATTCTTAATTATTATTACACCTGACTGACAAGATTTGATATTCACTATGAAGTAATTTTTGTCCTATGTATTATTATTTTATATGTGAGAATATATTTCTCTGTTGCTATGTCCATATCCTGTGTCAGCATCCCCGTAATGTCTCATAGCTGATAACTTGTATTAGAGTATTCAAAAAGCACATAAAAGATCCTAGAGGGTCCTGATAATAGTCATAATACCACCACCTTGTGTGGGAGGGATGCTTCAATTAGCTTACCGGTAAAAACACGAGTCCATGCAAGAACCCAATAAGAACCAATGCAAGATACATTTGGAAGTAATAAACCTGCAACATGCAGACGCACAGGTTAAAAACTGGTAAAACGTACGGACACATAAAAATTAGAGGTTGAGGGGGTAGGATTGAGACCACAAAAATTTCTGATTTTGAGAAGAAAAGAACAATTACTCCAACTAGCTTTGTAAGAGTTATTCCACTGCAAAATAAATAAGATAAAATAATGTCAGTGAGCCCATTTTTTGGTACACAAAAGAACTCCAAAGCCATCAGGGCTATCCTTGTTTTGGCTTAAGCACCTGAGTAAACCTCAAATGGTTGCCAAAGCCCAATAGGTAATGACGTGATATTGTAGATAGATAAAAGAAAAGTACGAGAAAAGGAATAAACAACAAAAATCTGGGATTTTCTCTCTAACTTCTTGGAGAAATTAATAGCAAGGCAAACTATCAAAATTTATAAGATCATTCAAGGCGCAATTGCATGCATATCAAAACACAAAATCCTACAAAATTCCAACATGGATTCTCCCATCATGTTTAAATTATTTGCAAAATTATGTTCTTCTGATATGGCATCTTGATTTCTGTCAATGGGGATGATAGACACACAGCATTTGACAATGACCTAGGTTATGGAGCTAGTTTTTGTTCCTCAAGATTTTTTAGGACACTAAATGAATGTCTGAATATGTGCAACCTTAATTTTGGGGGAATAGATTTAATTTTGAAGCAAAAGAACACTCCAGAGACACGCTGTCAATAGGTAACCATGTTGGTGTCTCCACTAAGTTCTGTTTGTCCAGGGGATTTAAGCAAACCATCCCAAAGACAATGCAATGGTGCATCCATGACTCTTCAGGACAACAATGCATTCTTATGCACATCTTGACAATTAGACTACTTTTTGGATGTTATCAGAAATACACATCTGACACTTCATCTTATCAAAAGTAAACATCAACTTATCAAGTATTAGTATCAACTTTTCACAACATGCTTATGGCCCAGTAGTGAAGTTTTTTTTCCCAACTGATGTGATAAGAATTAAACCCATTGCCAACCTCCCTGTAAAGATGCCATGCCAGCACTTTCACCACCGTGCTACAACAGCTTTGTCATGGCCCAGAAATGAAGTTTGAATTAGAAAGAAGTCTGCACATCAACAGGAAAAAATATGGTAATTAACCTGAAAACAGAGGACCCCATGGTACGCAGAGCCTCCTTTGCCCGTTGGCCCCTATCTCCATGGCTAACCTGCATAAGAGCAGCAAACAAATAAAATTCTTTTATCAAACCATAGAAACATATGCAGATAAATGGAAATGGATTGGATACTGACCGAGAAGGCATGTGATATATGCACACAAAACTCAACAGCAATCCCAATTGACATTATAAGGTTAACCACAGAGACTGCATTCAGTTGGATATCCAGAATTGCCATTACACCCTGCAAAATTTTATTAGTAACACTTCTCTTGAGCTTTTTTTTAAAGGGTAAAAAGTTATTGAAACATATGCAGATAAATAAACTGAAATGAATTGAAACTTGAAAGCAATACATAAAAAGAAAAATATTAGAAATATATACCAAGAAGTGAATAACATATTTTTCAAAGGCAGAGAGTGTACCATGAGATCCACAACAATCATTGCCAAAACAAGTATAATGATTGCTGAACTCCATAAACTGCATTTCAAAAGCAAGAAAATAGAAAAGGAAGAGAAACATCAGCACGTAAGAGCAAGAAATTTCCATTTTAAGCTAGATATAAAGATAAAACTAAGTTACGGGCTAGAAAAAAGAAGACAAACCTGGATGTCATAACCAGGCAAACAATGAATACAGCACCTGTTAAATCATTAAATCAAATAAACAACTGCTGCTTAACAACAATAGATGCAGAAATATAGAAATACAATTTGTGTTGTGTGAGATGACTTAAGCACACTAACCACATAAATAGAGAACAATGTTGCTAAATTGAAGTTACACACACTAGAAAGGTCTAGAAAGGTTGAAGAATAAAAATTCAAGACAGTAATATCCCTGCAAACAATATTACCTTCCACTAGAAGACTAGCAACAAAATTTTGAAGTCTCAAAAACTTGTATTAAGATAAATAAAATAAATAAAAATAAATAAATAAACAATCTCAATTAAATTTCAGAAAAGGAACTCTTCGGATTTTCGCTTACTCAAATAATATGCAAAGTATTCTCTCTACCAATAAGGGCTTCCTATCATAATTAGGATAAATTGATCATATCATACAGCGTATCTTGAATGTAGCACCAGAACATCAAATAAAACAGACAAAGAAAAGCAGAATGAAAGGATTGGACATAATTTGTAGCAATAAGCAGGACAAATGACTAAACTAAATAATAGAACCATTATCTATGTTAAACTGAATGTTCAAAATTTATAACATACACCACTATGGTTTCAAGAGTTTAAATACCAACCAAGTGCTATAACAATGTTGATCAAAGCTGTCTCCCATATATCCAGATATTGCTCAAAAAAAATATAGAACACTGAATATGGAAAGATATGGATCTGCATGAGAAAACTCTAATCAGTGTACTAAACAGAAAATTCCAGCAAAAAGTACAAGAATAGATTCTTTAGAATAAAATATAAAAAATTGCTTCATTTTATGTGCCCATGTCCGCCGCCTTCCAGTTCTAGATTGTTAGGCATACAGGAGAGAAGTTAGGAGATCTATTCACTCTTAATATGAAATCAAATTTATCGGGGAAAAAAAAAAAATAGGAAAAAAGAAAAGACATGAACTTCTACCAGGGCCAGTTAATCTGACAGACTAAATCTTAGAGGACATTCATTAGAGAGAAGAAATACTCTTTAGATACTACTTTTGCATCCCATATAAAAGAAGTTAAATGTATTCTGGCTTATGCCTGACCCATCTAAGCAAAAAAAAAAAAAAAATCTAATTTTAAAGGTTAATTGTTTACTGAATTCATTTTTCTTGCAGTTCGTACAGACCATGTTTGAAGAATACATGTGAACACCATAACAAAACCCAATTGACTACATAATGGAACAGTCAATTAATCGTGTGGTCCGAGATGCTATGAGTTGCCTTAATGGGAAAAATTAAAGCTGCTACTCCAAAAAAGAATAAGAATGGAACACAAATTATAGAAGATCAGAAACAGTTCAAATTGTAAAGCATATAGGCTACAAAAATTTGCAAAGTTCGTAAGAGGGAATTAATAATTTCTAAAGTCTGATACTAATTGCAATTAGTACCATAACATACAAAAAAATGATTTCACAAAGCCAAACAACAAAATGTAAAAGGCCTACAATGCCTACCAAAGGAGAACAGCCAGTAATGGTTGTCAAAATCCTAACCTGAATCTATGATCCTAAAATTAACAGGATCAATCCAGATCATAAAAAATACGCAGGAGGTGCAATCCTTGTGAAATCCCTTCAAGATGCAAGAACCGTGGGATCCCCATTACAATTGAGTAGACTGATCCTAATTACAACTTTACATTTTGTATTCTTTTTTGATAAGTTTGGGCCGAGATCCAAATGATAATATAAACGAAGAGTGTCCACTTTATGTGTGCCCTGAATATACAACTACTCTAATTTATTTAACTGTTTTCGGTAACTAATTTGAGCCATTAAAATATCATTTGACTGATACAAGTTTGATATACTTTTTTTCCTTTTCCAATTTTACTTATGGTTGGTCATTTTGCAATGATATTTAATGCAGAAGGGGAAATAATTTTGCTTTAACAGCATTTCTTCAAGCCATTAACTTCGATCTCCCTCTCCGGCTCTAAACTCTAGGTCAACCAGCTAGGACACCAAGTATAACATTCAACCACCAAGGTCCAGCCAAAAGAGAGGGTTGAAAGATCTGTCTCAGAAGGGCGGCGAATGCAACCTATAATGCAGTAAGTTTTCTTCAAACCAATCAAAACCGTAATCTACACAGATCTTAATGCTCAATTTTGTTATTTTTGTTATGCAAATAGAATCTGCTCTCAAGTCTTTCTTGGCCGATTGGCCTGTGAACAGAATATTTTCATATAATCTTGGATCATTGTTGAATTATTGTCCATGATAATATCATTCATCTTACATTGCATCTAATGTAATAATGTTCTACTAATTTTAATAAATCAAACCTGTTGAGAGTTTTATCATCTTAAGTCTTATAATTACAATGACTTTTGAACAAGCTTTTAAGCTTGTTCATGATGTGCACTTTAAGATTATTTGATATTATCTTTTCCATTAGCATGCTCAAGTAGTAAACTGACTCTGTATTTCTAAAACACACAGATCATATGCGTTATTTTCATCAATCAACAAATACTGCTGGTCTATCCTGATAAATAAACCATTCTGATCTCACAAAAGTCTATAAATCCCTGGTAACAACATACTATCACTAAATCAATCAGCATGTTTATGGGATGATTTTACGCTTTGCTGCAATGTTGTGTGGCCTAACCTCTTCATCCAAAACACGCAGAGAGACGAACATATTAATGCGTTTACCCTAGCGTTATGCCTCGTGATTCTATAGCATTTCTCAAATTTAGGATTTCGTTTATTCATTCATTCATTTTGTGATATAAACTTTAAAAAAATTCGATACATGAATAATATTAGATATTATGTCCATTATAATCCTTTTTTTTTTTTTGGGGGGGGGGGGGGGGGGAGGATAATTAATTCTAATCATTAGAATCTTATAATTCTCAATCCTATTAATGATCCGATCTTGAAAAACTTCATTCGTATTTTCTTATGCTTGGCACGAAAAAATGGCAATAAACATAGATAAGAAGCCAGGCATCCCCAACTTCGCTAGATGCATTTAATTTGCAAGTGATTATGTGCACAGAAATGGATTATTATTATTATTTGACAAGCAGAATTAATTTGTTAAAGTGCACAGAAATAATTATTGTTGACTAAAAAGGGTTGGATGTCTTGCGGTTAAAGAAAAAAGAAAGCATTACAAAAACAGTTGTTAATAGAAGACAAAATTCCTGTAAGCATCTGTTAAGCTTTACATTTAGGAACTCAGGCATAACTGTACGACTCGCTAACCAGTAACTATACAATTCAACATGCATCATAAGAAGGGGAAACATTCTATTGATACAATGCCGATGACCATTTTGTTGCGTATATATCAACCGTGTATGTAAATGGGAAACATTCTAATCATTAATTTCCATTTTGATGCCAATACCCCATAGTTTATTTATGCAATATGGCTTCTGAAAGGTACTGAAGGATAACACAATATGGATCAATTCAAACCTTCAAGGCCTCAGAAACTCTTGAGCTGAACTCTCGTGCAGCACGTATTGAACTAACATAATCACCCTGTATAAATGACAGCCACCACAAAGAAAGATGTTAATATGAGTGATGCTAAGCATATCACCAACAGTATCACTCTACTACAAGGAACCTTCCTTACTTGTTTGTTAAGTGGTGTGTGATATGTACGAAACTCTGATGCGTGTATAACACCACTTTCATAACCTGGCAACAGGTCAAACACTATTAAGAATCCATACGATAATACTCAGCCAGATATGAGATTTGATGCATTAAATAATTACATCCAGATGCCTGTCACGAACAATACCAATAATAATAATAATTGCATAGATATTGCAAATCAGGTGGAGATTTCTCATTTGTTATTTGCAGATGACACTCTGGTTTTCTGTGATGCAGATGTATCTCAACTTAGATATTTGAGATGCATTCTGGCTTGCTTGGGATTGCTAGGTATGCAAAGAGGTTGGCAGGTTAGAAGAAGCAATATTTGTCAAAGGGGGGTAAAGTTACTCTTATCAAGAGCACTTTATCAAGCCTTCCCACTTATTTTCTTTCTATGTTCCAAATTCCATGCTCCTTTGGGGAGGAAGGGGAGAAGAGTTCAAGTATCACCTTATTAGATGGGAGCAAGTTTGCAAGCCTATAAAACTGGGGGGTCTCGGTATTAGACAATTGATTCCTTTTAATCAAGCTCTTCTGGGCAAATGGTTGTGGAGATATGGGAAGAAAAGACACCGCCCTTGGCGTAGATTATTTTCCTGCAGGTATGGGGATGATGTTGGTGGATGGACTACACGTCCGGTTTCTATTATGGGAGGAGTTAGGGCTTGGAAATCCATTCGGAAAGGATGGGATGCTTTTTCTTCTCATGCTAGATTCAGAGTTCGTGATGGTAGTTGCGTTCGTTTTTGGGAAGATCTTTGGTGTGGGAACCAACCTTTATGTCATACTTTTCCCAGATTATATAGTATTGCAGTTGATAAACATGCCATCGTAACTAACTGTTATCAGCTTGATAATAGTGGAATCACATGGAATGTTCTTTTTCGGCGTTCTTTTCAGGATTGGGAGTTAGAAGATGTGAGCATTTTCTTGGATTAATTGTATCGGCAGGAAGGAATTGGCAGGGGTTATGACAACTTGATTTGGATTCCCTATTCTCATGGTCATTTTGAAGTAAGGTCTTTGTTCTTATGTTTGTCTAATTTTGCACCCTATGATTTTCCATGGAAGACTATATGGCGCTCTATTGCTCCTACTAGGGTGGCCTTTTTTGTATGGACTGCCGTTTGGGATAAGATTCTGACGATCGATAATTTGAGGAAAAGGGGAAATTATTTTGTTAATTGGGGTTGCATATGTAAGCAGGATAGGAAGTCAGTCGATCATCTCCTAATGCATTGTTCTGTAGCGCACGACTACTGGAATCTTATTCTTGGGCTATTTGGCATGTATTGGGTAATGCCACGTTCTACTAAGGAGCTGATTCATGCTTGGAGAGGTTGTCGTGTGAGTAGGAGTGTTCGTGACTATTGGAGATATGTACCACATTATATTTGGTGGTGCATTTGGAGGGAGAGAAATAGTGGAATGTTTGAAGGAAAGGAGTCGTCTACAGCGACACTGAAACTTTTTATTATTCGTTCTCTCTTCAGTTATGTGAACAGAAGTTCTTGTTCCTCTTCTGATGATTTAATTTGTTTTTTGGATTCTTTGGGGCCTTAGTTCCCGGTTTCTCTTATGTCTACGGGACACATTCCCCTATTGAACGCCTTTTTTTAATTTATTATTACTTATCAAAAAAATAATAATTGCATAGAACGTTCAAAAAACACCACACATTTCTTTGGTTTACAAATATATTATATGCGAGTGGGAATATATAAACATACATACATGCATATAGATACATGCATGCATACATTTAAGCAGCAGTACAAACCATTCAGATCCACACTGTTTGTGTAAGCCCCATGACCACCCTTCGCACAGTCAGCAGAGGGCAATGCATTGAGGAACCATGGCAATTTCTCCCTGAATTGTAGTGTAGATGGACGATCATTGTCCAAATCTGAGTGACGGAAGCACTGGAACCATCACAAAATGTTAGTTCTTAAGACCAATTTCTTGACATGTAACAGTTCTGGCTTGATTTGCAAGATAGGCCCCACAAAAGAAACCCCAAAAAATATGAACAGTGTGTACTAGGACTTGTTTCAGACATGCAGTAGTGAGATCTTACAGTTGTACAATCTTTGCATGGACCTCCCAGGCCACAGAAACCTTCATCAGGTGAACAGCAAGGCGGCTATAGAAAGAAATAAGTCTTCTTCAGTAATAGAATGATACATGAAAGTAACCTAATGAGATAATGATAAAAGTCATACCAGATAGGTCAAAGAGAAGTCAGCACATAAACATGTCAAAATTATGTTACTACAATGTGAAAATTAAAAGCTTAGATGAACTCAGTAATAACAACCACAACAATTGAACCATATATATCAACGAGAAGGGTGAACAGCAAGGAGGCTAGAGAAAGAAATTTGCATGATTCAGCAATGGTATGAAACATGATAGTTAGGCAAACACCATTTAACAAAAAGAAAACACTATCAATCAAAATAAATAACAATTCCACCAAGCATTAGCTTGAGTGGCATCTGCTCCATCTCCTATAGGGAAGGTTAAGAGTTCAAGTTCCCACTGGGACGAAGGTCTTGTGTGTGTGTATGTTTTTATCAAATAAATATTGACTCAGGGGCTGGTAGAACAATTCAGCACATACACTAGTCAAAAGATCATGTACGAACAGGATCATGGTATCATAAGCTTACTAACAAAGTTAATTATGCATAACACCATAGACAACTAAACAATATATATCAATAGCTACTTGAGTGAGAGATAAGGATTTAGAAAAGAAAAGAAAAATAAATAAATAAATAAAAATGTATCAACAATAAATACAACTACAAAAAGGATCAGAGGGGGAAAAGCAAAGATACCAATAATAAAATAAAAGTCCAGATAAAAAATCTACAGTGCAAAGTTCCCACTAAATATGGAAATTAGAGCAAGGTATAATCACTAACCTGATCATCAGGGGGACAATAACTACTATTTACAAACTTCCGACAGCAACCAAAAGCCTCAGGTGATATCCATACAAGAAAGTCATCAAGCCACGAGGCTGCGGGCTTTGCGATGTAGCTTGATTCAGGTACCAAAGATGCTCTTGAAATCTGCGAAAGAAGAAAAAATAATTCATCTACAGAGAAAACAGTCATTGTAAAGCCTAAAAGTGATCAATCATAACTGATCATATAACTAAAGCAATTAATATAAGTATTTTGAAATAAGGATACCAGTTGAAGGGAAACAAACTACAACTGAAAGTAGATATATGTAATGAATTAGCATACAACAAATAAAAGGAAGAATGAATTTCTTAGTAGCACAGTTAGTGTTCACAGATCCAGAAATGAGAATCTAGGCATGTCAGAGATATACAAGAAACATTTCATCTTGTGACAACATTTTTTCTCATTAACTACACATTACATTGCTGGTTTCTTGTCCCTTTAAGATGACATCAATTGGGAGTTTTTTTCAAATTCTGGAGTAAGAACAACTTTATATTAAAATAAATAAAAAGCAGCAGTTCATGTGGAAAGGCCATATGTAATGTGTGTGTGTTGTGTTGGGTTTGGGGGGGGGGGGGTGGTGGTGGGGTGGTGTGGGGGTGTGAAGAAGAAAAGAGATCCTAGGATAATGAGAGAACCATAAATGGGTTAGCCACGTTATAAAAAAAAAGAAAAATTGCTATGACATTCCATGTTTGTTCAAAGCTCATATATTTCATGAACTAAAAAAGATCCCAATCAGAGCTTGTTTTGGTTGGGTCCCTAAGACGATCGTATATGGAAAAAGGGAAGAAACGAGAAATAAAATGGAAATATATAGGTTCAAAGGATGATGATGAGGTTGCTTAAACAATTCAAAGAACTTCGAAATTAATTTCACACTCCTTTTAGTTTTTACCCAACAAATTGGAACATGTAGTTAAAACCAAGGAAATTCAAATTTGCTGGAAATTGTGTATCAAATTCCTATTCTAATTAGGTTCTATTTTAGAGTTGTATTCTGTTAGATAATTTCTTACTTGGCAAGTCTTGGCCTCTAAGGAATTGTAATCTTTGTCCAACAAGGAATTGTATTTGTAACTCTATAAATAGGTACATATGTTGTGGGTTGAGACTTGTGAGATTGAGAGAGATGTAGTCACATGAGAGAGTTGATGGGTTGAGGTAGTATGCGGGTTGGTAGAGTAGGAAAAATACCGGTGACACTGGTAGCGAGGAGATATGCTCTTGGAGTGGTACATGGTGAAAAGACATGTACGTGGTGTTGGTACTCTATTGTTGTAATATCTCTACGAATCATAGTGGAATCTAAGGAATTGTAAGGAATTGTAATCTTTGTAATATCTCTTTAGTCTTGGCCTCTAAGGAATTGTAATCTTTGTCCAACAAGGAATTGTATTTGTAACTCTACAAATAGGTACATATGTTGTGGGTTGAGACTTGTGAGATTGAGAGAGATGTAGTCACATGAGAGAGTTGATGGGTAGAGGTAGTATGCGGGTTGGTAGAGTAGGAAAAATATCGGTGACACTGGTACCGAGGAGATAGGCTCTTGGAGTGGTACATGGTGAAAAGACATATACGTGGTGTTGATACTCTATTGTTGTAATATCTCTACGAATCATAGTGGAATCTCTTCTCATCCATGGACGTAGGCCGGTTTTGGCTGAACCATGTATATCTTGTGTTTGTGTGTGATTACTCTGTTTGCTTTCATTGGATCTTAGCGTTCGCGTGCTTCCGCTAACCCAACAAAATTCATACACGTCTAGTTGGTCAAATTGGATCATTTAGTTCGCAGGCTGTTCCAAATTAAGTTATGTAAATCAAGACTATGTCAACATTCCTTCATTCTAAATCCATCCTAACCAAACCATCTTGAAGCAAGTTGCAACCGAGTATCAACCCAAGCCTAACTCCCCAGCTTTTACAAGAAAACCATATGTTGGGATTTGTGTGTCAAATTCCTACTCTAATTATGTTTCTATTTTAGAGTTGTATTCTGTAAGGAAATTTCTTACTCCCTCTGTCACAAAAAGAATGTCACTTTTGGGATTAAACAAGTAATCCTTGTCTAACAAGGAATTGAGTTTGTAACTCTATAAATAGATAACTTATGTTTTGGATTGAGACTTATGAAATTGAGAGAGATGTAGTCTCACGAGTAAGCTGATGGGTAGAGGTAGTATGTGGGTTGGTAGACGAGGAAAAACACTGGTGACACTGCTAGCGAGGAGATAAGCTCGTGGAGTGGTAGATGGTGAAAAGACATATACGAGGTGTTGGTATTCTATTGTTGTAATATCTCTACGAATCAAAGTGGAATCTCTTCTCATCAATGGATGTATGCCAGTTTTGGGTGAACCATGTATATCTTGTGTTAGTATGTGATTGCTTTGTTGGCTTTTACTGGATCCTCATTGTTCGCGTGCTTCCGTTACTCCAACAAATTGGTATCAAAGCCAAAGGTGAAGGAGATCCAGAAAACACAAGAAGTCTCAACATGTGCTACAACGGGCTTCCGTTGTAAGTGGAGTCAATCAAGTTGGTTACATGGCATGGAGCTCAAGATTGGCCGGATGGAATTTGAGCCAAGGTAGAGATTTTTAGGATTTGTGTTTCAAATTCCTACTCTAATTACCTTTCTATTTTAGAGTTGTATTCTGTTGGGTAATTTCTTGTTTGGCAAGTCTTGGCCTTTAAAAAATTGTAATCCTTGTCCAACAAGGAATTGGGTTTGGAACTCTATAAATAGATACATAGGTTTTGGGTTGAGACTTATGAGATTCAGAGAGATGTAGTATGCGGGTTGGTAGAGTAGGAAAAACACCGAGAAGCATTTAGAAGTGCTTTGGCAACATACCCTTATAACCCCCTTGCCTTAAAAGATGACTTCCCGACTGCATTGCCCCTAAAATGCTAATTTAGAAGATAATTGAACACATTCTTTTTGATCAGAGAAAGATTCATCGCGACCCTTTACTAATAACTAGTAACCAGCCAAATAAACGACTCTAATAAAATAAGGCAACTAGAACGCTTACTACTGGGCCGTGAAGTGGTACATAGTGAAAAGACATGTACGAAGTGTTGGTACTCTATTGTTGTAATATCTCTACGAATCATAGTGGAATCTCTTCTCATCCATGGATGTAGCCCGAGTTTGGGTGAATCACGTATGTTGTGTTTGTGTGTGATTGCTTTGTTGGCTTTTATTGGATCCTCATTGTTCGCGTGCTTCCGTTGCTCCAACACCATACATGTTAATCAAGGAGAAGAAAGTGTTGAGTCCATCATAAAAAACAAATCACGTTATTAACAAAAAGATTAGGTCAAATGTGGCATCATTAGTGCCCATCTGTAACAAAATTTTGATGTAACCCCCCTGGTCTTTTGATTTTTTAGAATAGGTCACAATTTTTTGCTAGCATGCATAAAAAATTAAATGCATGTCACATCAAGTATTTTGTACACTCATCTGTAGTAGGGGAATTCTTACATATCATGGTTTGACACTATTAATCAACTCAACAAAGCATTTTTCCAACCACTTGGGATCGGCTTTTTGAATCATATTTTCCCATTCTGTTCCATAGACCCAATCAAACCACATGTTATCATATCTTTCCACTCATGTTAATTTTGGTGTTTTCTTTTTCCAAACATTACCCTCAATGTGGACCATATCACTTCTCCTAAGTATGGTGCACTTAATGGTCTTCTTTGCACATGTCCAACCCTTCTTCATTTTATTTCCTCCCAATTTATCTCCTTTTGGTGCAACTTTAACCATGTCATAAATGTGTTCATTCTAATTCTATCATTTTCTCTCTTGCTGCACGTCCATGTCCATCTCAGCATCCGCATTTCCACCACTAACTGTTGTACAACTGACAGCACCACAAAAACAAGTCACAGGGAGAAGGTGATGAAAAAATAGGGATAGAAAATATTTTGATGGGGAAATTCTAAATTTGACTTAAAAAAATTTGTTCTTGAAGCACAGATCGAGATTGACACCAATAGCAATAAAGATACCAAGACCAGCACTAATAATTATCGCATAATTTATAAACTTAATTAAGAAAAGTTTTTGACCTTCATGCTGTCTAACACTACATACCCTCAAGTCTTCAACTTCCACATTGCATATGTAATGCATCTCTTGTCCTCTTACTTGCATGAAGCTTTCTGTAGCTCCATTTTCCACATTATTGAATCCCACACTTCCAAATTATCACCACTCCAGAAACTATATTTGATACCCAGATGTGAAACTGTTGTTGGAGGCAAGCCAAAACCATGACCAACTTCACAAAGAATCTCTTTGCAGTATAGCCTGTAAGCTTAATCAACAAACCACTACTATAGAAGCTCCTACAACTAAAATTGCCTAGCGACCGGAATCTCCACGTCAACGCTGCTGAAGCTTCATGCTATGCTTGTCCAGCAAGTGTGACAAAAATTTGGTGCCTAGCTGAAGCTTTGTGATCTAAAGGTGCCACTCTTAGAGTAAGATCATTTGTTGGGGTGGCAATACTTAACACGACTCCAACACGACACAGGATAAGTGGATTCAAATTTGAGTTTGGGCTTGGCTTAATTGTATTGTCGTAATCATATCGACCCGAATTAACACGCTAATTAAGCATGTCGTTTTCATGTTCGACCTGCCAACCGATTTATAACCTGATTCGAACCGTTTAAAGTAAAAATGTCATGTTCACGTTAGCAATGAGCCCGTTTAACTAAACATGTCATCTTATTGTTAAAAATGACCGTAATAGTATCAAATTTTAATTAAACATGTCATGCCATATCATGTCGTGTCAGGTCTTGACCTATTTTATTAAACAATGTGAAGCAAGTTCCAAATAGCCTGAGTGACCAGTTTTGCAAACACTAAAGTGACATCATCAGACGATTCAAATTAGGTCGCTTCGACAGCAGACTCCTGTACCTCACGTTTGAACTTGTGAACTGATTTGTTCGTCTTTGCTTCTCTTTTAGCACTAAAATCAAATTTTGAAAGTACAATTGTGAAAAGCAGAAGTCTGGGACTGCAGAAAATATTTTATATTGCAGATGAAATGACCCTGAATTGACAGTAACGTTCTCTAAGCAGGTCAATATATTAACATCACTGTGCTACCCACAAATTTAGAACTATCAGTGACTCCTTGTATATTAATTAGCATATTCTGGCAATACTCAACTTTTGTCAAGCAAGTAACTTCGAAAGCTTGAGATTTTATTCCATAAATCTCTGTAACCCATTATGGAATATAAGTTTCAGTTGGTAATTGTATCATCATGATATCTCAGCCGTGTTCATGATGTATATATGAATATTATTCTACCAGGCATTATCGACATTTGATACAATAGAATCGGATATCTAGTAGTTCATCAAAGATTCCAAAGCATGATAAGGTCACTTGATGCCAAACTATAGTTTTACACTAATTTCCTGTCAATAGGGAAAATTCCATGGTGTAGCACCAATTTAATGTGAAGGACCGAAGGTGACAATTTTATACTATGGTGATAAAGAATAAGCTTGTCTACCTGTTAGAGATGCAGATTTGTAATGTCAGCCATTAAAAAGAAGATGTATTAACAAAGCACCGTTTTGTAGTCCCCCCTCCCCCACTGGGAAAAAAGGGGAAAATAAAGCTCCATCATGTCATCAATACTAAGAACACAAGGAAAATACTCTTTTAGAATGGTGATTTAGTTATTCTTTCTTTTCCCCGATTAGAGAAGATAAATGTCGGTAATATACACCAGAAAGAGTGCAAGTGAGGTATAATTGTATAGACCAAGTATGCAGGAGCAAACAGAAACAAGTGTGTAACGTGAAAAAACAAATCACCAATAAGATCAAAAGAATCTTTTCATCGTCATCATCCTTTCTTTTATCCCATATGGAAGATCGAAAGAATTTTTTTAATGTGAATTTCCCCAAAAGCTAAAACTGAAGTATGTTCAACATCAAATGCTTCTATGCTTTAATTTGATAAATGGAAGTTCAGCATCCTTTCTAAGATAACTTATTTCAATCCTTCCAAACACAGCACATAAGGAAACAAGGGCACTATCGTCCAAGCCTGTATAAAATCTTTTTGTGATTGAGTAAAAAAAAAAAAAACTTTTTCTGACACACTCACCAATATGCAGGCAACTACAAAGCATCATGACAAAATCCAATGTGTACCAAAATGGAAACATAAAATGCACCAAATATATCCAGCTTATAAATCAAGAGGTGGTTAAATTGTCTCATCTACTTCCTCATATACAACAGAATACATCCCAAAAGGCTCAGTCAAAATTGCCTCCAAAACTGTAGTCCATAACACACACACAAACAAACAAACAAAAAAAAAAAACACTTTGAAGCCATTTTTTTGACCTTCTGACAGCCTTTCTAAGTCCTTATAAAAGTACCACCCCTCAAACTTGCTACTCTCATCAGCTCTCCACCTCAACCAATCCTTCTTCCCCGATGATTAGACACTTTATATAGCATTTCAAAGACAACATCAACGGACAACTCCAAATCGAAAAAAGGTCTCGTAAACTGCAATTCCCAAACCACTCAACTCTCAATGGGGGTCTGACAATCAATTTGTGATTGGTGGCTGGCCATGCCTATAACTTGGTTCTTGGCTCTACTACCATATCAACCACCTAGTACTTTTGAAAATTTAAACTGATAGTCAACATTGTAGCTTATTTACTCAAAATGGGGGTCTGGCAATCAAAAAAAGGTCTCGTAACCTGCAATTCCCAAACCACTCAACTCTCAATGGGGATCTGGCAATCAATTTGTGATAGGCGGCTGGCCATGCCTATAACTTGGTTCTTGGCTCTACTACCATATCAACTATCTAGTACTTTTGAAAGTTTAAACTGATAGTAAACATTGAAGCTTATTTACTCAAAATGCCCCTCATGTGGATCTACACTAGTACACTCCTCACAAGAGGTCTATACACATGAATGTATGACATTTCGGTAAAGAGGGGTGGGAATTTGAGAATGACTATTATTTGACCAAGAAATAGTGAAGAAGGCTATCCTAAAAGAATAAGCCAATACTAATCTGTGTAACTTGATTTTTCTTTTTCCCATTTATCACATCAGTAGGCCATACAAGTGAATGGAACGTTGTTTATGATAAAGGAGTAAATTTGGCATATGAAGAATTTTCTGTTCACCACACATTTAACGTATTCATGTTATCCATCCACTTGACACAACTCAACTTTTCAAAACCTCGTTCCAACCATTTAGATTGGTTACATGAATCATGTTTTGTCATTCAGCACTATTTAAGACCAGAATTGAAGTTCAAGGATATGCTATCATATCCTTTTTTTACTATTTCAACCTAAGAGGCATGGACACCTCCAAGGAGTTGTATCCATGTTGGATATGTATCGGACACTCCGGGCATACATCCAGCTTACTCTAAACATGTTCGGTGTTCCTCAGTTAAAAATAAAATTATTGATTTCATACAAATGGCCCACACTTAAACATTTGTCAAGAGTAAAATTATTAATTTCATACAAATGACCCACACTTCTTAAACATTTGCTAAAATGTAACTAATGAATTTTAACGCTAGATAAAAGTTTCTTTAGTATGAAATGGTACAATTATAAGAAAAATCAAACAATAAGGTTCATATCGAATTTATATAAAGTTTGATTATATTCGAAAAAATAAAAGACGAAATGTCCAGAGAGTGGGCATGGGAGCAGGAGAGATGTCATCAATCTTAGGAATGCAGCACACACACACACACAAAACATGCATACAGATGTATGTCATGTCCCTGTTATGTCTTTCTCTATGCAACAAAAGTGATCACAAGTTATTGTCTTAGAATATTTAATTGTTATATACAATATCAGTTTCTATATAAATATATATATGTTATTTTTGTGTCCTCGCAGTATCCATGTTATATTATTTTGAGATTTCTGGTGTATGATCTGTGTGTCCTGTCTGTGTCCCATGTCCATATCCATACTTCTCAGATTTCAACCATGTTAATTCTGGTCTTTCCTTCTCCTAGCATTATCCTCAACAAGGACCTCGTCTTCTTTTTTCCTAGTTGGTACTCACACACCCCCCCTCCAAGGAATTGTTTGCACCTACTAGGAATTGATCCTGAGACCTGATGCTTCATGAGACACCAGGGCCCAAGTCTTTTCCAACAAGGATCTCTTCATTTCCCCAACATTACCTCAACAAGGATCAATGGTGCAGTTACTTATATTTGCAGCAGATAACACACAATGGATAATTATTGGCTCATCATGTTGGCTCACATGCAATGCATACAAAGAGGCCTTCTTAAAAGCAAGTAAATACAATTCGGCATAATATATTGTTACCAAGCAGTATCTTTTGAACAATAATGTAACCCAATGTGAAAACTCATAAATGCATTAACTGACCCTTTTTTGGGTAATTAATGCACTAACCGACCTTGTAAAGGCAAAGAAGTGATAGTTTACCTTGGCAAGTGCAACGTATTTAGAGAAAATAGAACAATAAAAAATACATGTTAAGGTTCAGGACATGCAAAAATTAGACAAAAAATCTCATTCAAGAAAATTGTAACTTTCTGATAGAAGCTTAATTTATAAACTATAGGGGTATACAAGTTTTTGATATGGATAGACACACGTGGACATATTAAGTAATACTTAGCATACAGTAATTAAGCAAAAAAATGCCAACGTTAATCCACTGTATTACCTCATTTAAAAGAGAGTTTGAATCACACTGGCTTATAGAACATAACTGGTTTGTATGCCTTGATTCTGAGCTGAAAAACCAACCACCACCCAAAAAAAAAAAACATTAGTTATGAACTTTAGCACCCAACAGGACCGAGAGAGAAAGCATCGAACATAACATGAAGCAACTTCATGATATTTTTCTAATAAAAAACAAAAAAGAACATCAACAATATTGAAAAATATTCATTTCGGGTTGAAAGAAGCACAGAGAATTAATGATTGACAACTGATTAGAATATGCATTGGCTAATATATGTTCCGGATACCATGATTGAAGAAATTACTCGGTTCAAGTTTACTTCCACATGGACATACAAAACCACACTACTACTTTAAGTTTAAGGGGGAAACGATATGAACTGATTTCTATTACCATGAGGTAAAAATTCTTCTCTTTCCAAAATTGGAAACTCCATGGATCTAAAAGCAATGGAGCTAGATTGTCATGTCCATGCACTTGCTATATATACCTGTGTTTTAAACCTGAGATGACACTTCTATGTGATTAGCTACATTGTGGCATCTACTTTTCTAAAGATGAATGCCTCCAATGATAATTTAAACCATATGATAAGATATATTTTAAGTCATACTGATAACTACCAGAAAGTATCCCACTCCAAATTATATATTCTCGTGGATGGGGGCTTCCATTTCAGCTGAATTAAAAAAACTGTGTATCTTCACTGCGAACTTCCATCCTGTGGATTAAAAAGATCAGACTTTTTTCTACTTGGTATAACTAGAACGTGGGACTACTCCATTAGAGCTTAACACTCTATACTGCATGATGAAGGCTGTGAAGGATTGATTCCTTATTAATTTGATTAATTTAATTAATTTATATCTTTGTTACATTATATTCCCATTCTTTATGTTAGCATCTAAATTAAAGAAATCAAAAGCGAGGAATTCTTTAACAATTCGACAGTGAAGGATTGATTCCTTATTAATTTGATTACATCAAGATCACTATGGAATAAATTCTTAATATAGATGGTCATGTTAGTTATCTTAATAAAGATGTTCATGTTACCTCAGATATGACAAGGGTTGACGCATTGTATGGAAGCAGGTATATATCTGTAGATATCTTCTTACATTCATTCATCTCTTTAAAGTTTAACTATAGAGTTGTTTAATTGACCTTTTTTTTATAAGTAAAATTTTATAAAAGTGCTCAGGAGCAGAACCCAAAAGAAATACAAAAACCCACAAAGGGCCGCTAAGCCTTCAGAGAGGCCAGAAAATCGACAATCTCCTCTAAAGATCTATGATCTCTCCCTAAAACCCAACAAAAAGAAGTAGAAAGAATAGAGAACTTAAGCATAGAAATCGACATCTCCTTCCCCTCAAAATATCTCCTATTCCTCTCAATCCATAAGCACCACCACACACAGAGAGGCGTAGCCCTCCAAGCATCCTGAATATGGGCCCCCACATGGTTACCTCTCCAAGCCTCAATAAACCCTCTAACGATTCCCGGCATAACCTAGAGAATCCCAAACAAGCCAATCATCAAGTCCCAGCAATCAAGAGCCATGGTACAACGAATAAGAAGGTGATCCACTGTTTCCTCATCTCGAAGGCACATATAGCAATGATTGACCACCACTTGGTTTCTCCTTCTCAAGTTATCCTGGGTTAAAATCCTTCCCAGAACAGAGGTCCATGCAAAGAAAGCCACCTTGAGAGGAGCCTTAGAGCGCCAAACAGACTTCCAAGGAAAGCAAACTCTAGAGTCATCCAAACTCTAGAATCTGTTTTACCATTAGTCGAGGGTGCTGGAGGGGTGGACTGCCTTGAGAGCAGCTATTTTGTGCCAATAATGCCAAAGGTTAGGTTTGCATCTAGTCCATCCCACCCAGCACCCTCAACTAAAGGGGACCACATTGGTTATTGGATAATGACCTATTTCTTGAGATAAACTGAAGTCATTGAATGAAAAGTAGTTAGTACATGACTCAGTTTCCATTTTTCTCAATTTATATCTCAAGTTACAGAAATTACTCAACTTCCACTCTTCTCAATTTATGACTCTTAAGTTAGAAAATATTATTTAAAATCTTGATTAAACTGCAGTGGCCATCATTCCAATATTACCACTAATGACCATTGACCAGTTTTCGAGACAGAAATTTATTACTGCAATCATCAATATTGGCACAATAGATTTTCATATTAAACAAAAGATAAAACTATGTCCATCTACCTTTATATATTGTCAATTATTCTAAAAATATTTTGTGAACAACAAACTTTCTTCCACCAAACTTTCTTCTACCAATTCCTCCATTTTTTTGTTTTGTTACAAGTCCAATATGAAGACAAATATGCGCCTTCAGATGCTTTCGGGGAATTTTTTTGAAATTCTCGAGTTTGTAAAATGTTTTTATGCCCCAAGTTTCATTTGTAGAAACTGCACGATCATGGGATTATTTCAATTTCTTTTGTTTTATCTTATCACATGCATCACATGGGGTAATCTCCCAATTTTGGAAATAGTCACAATTCTCCTTCAAATTGAACTTAGAATACAACAGGATCAATGCATAAAAAAATAATGTTATAAGAATGGATTTGAAACCTGTAATTGTAGTCCTTAACCACAAAATATAATGGTGGTCCTACTCTGAGATGCTCTGTAATATTATTGAAATATCCCTGCAGCAGATAAAGCTTTGTTGCCACATAAGACCAGATAAATGGTAAAAATGTTTAATGTAAGGCAACACATGAAATAGGGTAACAGATCCACAAAGTTAGACCTGCAGATATGAGTCTCGGGGAAGAGCAACCTGTTGCTCCAAACCAGGTTCAATCCTTGTACACAATGCCTAACAGGATAAAACATATAAATATATGTGAAATGATACAGTGATACACTCAATTCCAAAATTAACAAACACAAAAACCAGCAAATAACAACATTTAGATATAAATAAGAGCAACTTACAATGCTCGCCAGGGAAAACGCAACAAAGACAGCGATAACAACTATCTTGACTCCCCAGATACCAAGAATGCGTGCATGAACTTCCTAGATAATAAAAATTATGCAAAAGCTATATCAGCTCACCAAGGACACCCTCAGAAGAAGTTAGAATGCTCAAATATCTGAACAAAAGATTAAAAAATTTAGTTTCAACAAAAAGCACGGCACCCTATCACAACATTTTGGAGGCTTGGCCTGCCATTCAAACACTATTTTGTTTAGCCCTATTAAACACATGGTTCATACTAACATGCTTTGCATATATGATATCCCAGACTCAGCCAGGTTCTATTTCACCTTTTTCTCTCCTAAATATATATAAATAAGCTGGACTGGGGCACATCCAAATCAGGTCAAACTAAAAGCAAAATAAGAACTGGCCAACTTAAACGCAGGTCCACCCAATTATTGTTCAAGTTTAGATATCAAATTTGTTATCTTATCGATCCTTTAGAGCCCATCATTGATTTTGGGATTTCATGTAGCTCTTCTGGTTAGAGAACTGCCACGGCGGATTAGTTCTCAAAAAGATTGTGTTCCTGCATTCAGGTGACTTTGCCATAATACGAAGCACCAAGATAATAAAAAATAATAATTCAATCACCAATCTTCAAGGTGTTTCATGAAAATGATGCAGACGGAAAAAGTAATAAATTCACAGTATGATCAGTCCTGTAGGAGATTAATAGGTCTTTCCATTTTATATTGATTAAATTACTTTGGCAATTTCAATTCAACAAGACAACTCAATCACAAGTAAAGCAGTAAAAGTAACAAAGAAAGACAGATTTTTTAAAACCCAATTAGATTTCTATTTGAATTGCATTCAACTTTAAGTCGATTGTTTTGCTTAAACAAGCCTTTCCTACTTAAAGAATTCGTCTTCTGTGCAATTCCTTTACATGATTGTATTTATAAATGACTTGTTTTTTTTGTACATTAGAAGGGATAACACATTCGCGTCTGCATAAAAAGCGAGTTTTCATTTTCGAATTTTGATTATTTTGTAAATTACAAGTGCTTTTTATTTCAATTCATATATAAACACACGTACTTTGTGAGTTAAGTTGTTCTGTGCTACTAATAGTGAATCTTTTTAGGACAACAAAGCAGCAGTCCACTCCCTATAACTGAATTGTAAGGATCTACCATTAGGAGTAAGGTACTAGATCACTGAACAAAGAAACAGATCATCAAGAAGGTGACTGCATCACGTGGATAGCTGTCGGTTTGGTAATTCCAAAGGCACTAGAGTCTGGACTTACTAGGTAACACAGTATGTTGGAAGTAAATTGACTATGGGTGATTCTAGGGGTTCAAAATCTGTCTTAGTCAACCGGTTTGCCCATCGGAAGTCTTTGAGGTTTTTCCCAATTAGATTTCCACATAAAAATTCTACTCTTTACCATACTGCGAATTTGCTATTGGTTCTTTGTACATGCCACTCCCACTTGACATCAAAGCACATCACTCAAAAATTAAGAAATAATGATTTGATCTATTTTCGGAAAGTTTTTTCTTTGAACCTTTTTCCAATAGATTCAGTAGGTCTCAACTTCCTTTATTTGAAAATGAATCAACTATGGCTATTGGAAAGCTAGAGTGAAAGTTATTTAAAAAACCTAAAGAAACTGTATCTTGCATTCTGTAAAAGTAGGTTGGTCCGATGGACACAAACCATGAAACTGAGAAGCAAATGACAAAAAATGAGCTAGAACCATTTTGAAACTAAGGCTAAATGGTCTGAAGAAAAACTTAAGTTGTGCAAGCACTCAATTTTATATTCAGTGTGATAGCAGCATATTGTTGACCTCCATCGCCATCCGGCTACCAAAATGCTAGAAAATGGGATAACTTGTCGTAGGATAGGGAGATTTTTGGAAAATTAATTGAAGTAAGGAAGAATCTATCAGAAATCCCCCAAAACAAGAGTTTTACATAATTAATTCTCAAGAATTTCTAACGAATTCTCTAGAGTGGCTTAGATTACTAAGAGGTTATACATAAAAAGAATCAATGCAATTTAGCTCAGGAAATTACAATTGTTTGCAGCGAGGTTTGAGAAGAAAAGAATGGAAGAGTATGAAACTTTTGACGAGTTTTATGACATACTACCTCCGTCCCTTATTAGTTGTCCATCTTTGATTTTATAACTTTTTAAGGGGACATGCAATTAATGCATTGTCCCCTTTTAAAATTGCTAAATTGTCCTTTTTAATTTAAATATATATAGTTACAAAGTTTGAAATTTTTTAAAAAGATAAAGGACAACGATGGAAATATAAAGAAAAGATGTTTTGACTTTTCAAAGAGGACAACTAATTTGGGACATGTAAAAAGAGAAAAATGGACTACTAATAAGGGACGGAGGGAGTAGTGAATAACTCATTCAACCTAGTTGAAGAAATTGATGATGACAACACCATAAATTTTTTGAGATTCTTACCTGATAGAATCAGCCCAAAACTCAAGTCCTATTAAAACATCATTTAACCTAACCGCAGTAAAAATTAAACTACATAGGCATATGAAAAATGACTTAGAACAAAAAATCACTCTTAGACTTGCACAAACACTGACACGCTAGTACCCCCACCAATTGCTCCAACTCCACCATCAGATTCATCCTCTTCTTCATCAGTCGAAATTCCCAATTTCTCTTCTATGCGATAGATTTATCATTAATCTCATCTAACCCTTTGTAGGCATTGTTCAATCACTTAATCAAATTACATCAAAAGCAATCAGGCTTGATTGCTTTTGATGTAATTTGAAGCTTGATTGCTTTTGATGTAATTTGATTAAGTGATTGAACAATCAAGCTTGATTGCTTTTGAATAAGGTTTGAAACTAATGTATCTAATGATGGTTGAGGGGGAAACTTTTTTTATTCATTTATTTACTTTTTGTGTTGATGGTGGTATCGAACCTCTTAGGTGTCTCCAATGATGGTTGAAGGGGAAGAGGGAGTTTCAGTGGAGGGGCTTTGTGGTTCTTGATTAGGAGTGACACTGAGAAACTTACAAAGCAGCTCCAAGACCTAAAATGCGTTAATGGACTTGTTTAGGGTAGTCATAGTAATAGCACAAAGCGGCTTTTGCATCTTTAGGTGCTTACTCCTCAGAGCACCATGATTCATATCCACCAAATGGAAAGTTTTTTTTATACAGGGAAAGGAGTACTGTTTTATGACAAACGCTGTGAACCAAGAACAAATCAAGAAACACGATAGAAAAAGTAAACAGGCCACACACAAAGAATTACATGCTTTGGCAAAGCCTACGTCCACTGTGAAGTTCCAGCGAAAGATTTCATCTCCAAAACCCTAGCTCTCACTCACATTCTCACTCTCACTCTCTTTCCTGCAATTTTCAGTGTTCTCATGTTTCTCACTCCAAACCATGAATGCCCTTATATACTGGGCAACAAGAGAGTTCTAAACAGGGTCCACAACCCACACAAAAGCCATTTTGTTGCAACCCGGGCTGAAACAAAATTCGGGCCACAACATAACAAATTCTAATGTTACAAGGATTTTAATTTGAATGGGAAACTGATTTTCGAAAGTTTTTACCAGAACACTATTGTACTTCTATGGTGCAAACTTACTCTAGTAAGTCTTCCAGCAGTATGACCGAGTTCGAACTGAAATATGACTTCTAAGAGCTTTCATGCAACCTTTGCTCATTGGTTGCTTTCGCAAATGACAATTGACAAGTTTTCAAACCAAAGTAGTACATCCTTTTGTCTTTTATACAAAATAGAGCATCATGATACTATATCTAATTCCCTCAAAACTTCAAATGTCTATCCACAATGGATCAGGATCCTAAATATGTTCACGCAGTGCCACAGCAAAAAAACCTGACGACTCGCTGCTACTAAGGGGTGCACAAACTTGAATAATAATTACACTTGTATCCAATCTCTAAGTCATTTCAGTAAATACAAAATCATTTTTTTAGTGTTTCAATCCACTTCACTTTCCCAATGATGTGCTGGAGAAATCCTACGCTGATTTACTAAAGCTGTAGATCGTCATTGGTTACTTTTGAGTTTTGACACCGCACTTAAGCTGGTAAAAGGTTCATGAGTAGGAGGATAAAAAATAAAATAAAACAATAGAACATAAATACATTCCTGAAGTAGAAAAAATTCTGAGTAAGACATTAAGTGAAACAAAACTTCCATTTAGATGACCAAAGAACTTACCTCCATATATCGAGCCAGCAAACCAGGATTCCTGTGGCTGATGCCTACATCAAATTCAAATGCTTTAATCAGAGTATATGTACAAAAATGGAAAAGATGCAAATTAAACTCAGAAGTGTACAGCCAACCTAGCCTGACATAATAATAAAAAATAAATAAATGCAAAAAGATAAAATAAATAAATGCAAAAAAGACAAGTGAGAGCTTATGCACACGCCACCTCCATCAGATTCCACAGAAGACTTAGGAATTTTTATGCATGGAAAACAGTCAACCCTGTTATCCTCGGCTCTCAGTAAATCAAAAACTATCAAGGCAACAAAAGCAGTAACTTGCAGAAGGAAGTCCAACAGAACCGCCAATGCTACAGATTTAAAAAAAATGAAACAAAGGTTTAGAAAACTGCTAATTCAAAGTTAAATGCATTAGGACATCACAGGGAGGGGGGGAAAGAATGAAAGAAAAGAAAACTACTCCACCAGCAAACATGGAGAAGACACGACATGCCGGCATAGAAATGAAACCTCCAACAGCAAAAGCCAGAACTTCAGATAAACTAGCTAGTGTTATGGAAGGACCAACTTCAACAAGTGCATTGCTTATTCGCCCTTCTAGAGGCAACTCCAAAGGCTGCCGTTTTACAGCATGTACAAGTATGCACATATTATCCACTCCAACCTGATATAACTAATAGTTAAAAAGATGTTTTTTATAATAATTTAACTCTCATGGATACAATGCAACACTTGAACCAATAAAGAATGAAATTTCTAAACTAATACAGGCATTAACTATAAATTAGTTCAAATAATACTGAACCAAACTGGGGTGAACTATTAAATTTTTTAAAAGGTAACAAAGTACAGAGAAACAAACATATGATGAAATAAGAATATTGCACCTCAAGAGTAACATCAATTGAACTATGGATGTCAATATTCATAACCAAATGCAATTGGTAAGAAAAAGGAGAAACTCACAAGAATATTGCATTTCAAGAGTAACACCAATTAAAATATGAATGTCAATATTCATAAGCAAATGCAACTGGTTATTCTGCTTCTTCTTTTTTCCAGTAGGTGATTTCATATTTCCGTCATGATCATCAAATATGTTTCTTTCATTTTTTAATAAATGCAGATGTGTGCAATGTATACATCTGCAAAAGGAAAAGGGGGAAGGGATAAATCTCAAGGCGAGAAAGGATCACCATTCACCTCCGTGTAGTCTCCACCAATCCCAACCTTCTTCAGAAGCACTTAATACTATCTTGAGGAACTCCTCTCCTACAGATAAGCCTCACTACTAACATAAAAAGCTGGCAAGGGCCTCTTCTTTGCGGATAACCGTTGCCTCGAGGAGCTACTATCCAGGCATAATCTCGACGCCTTACTAAAGAGGCACTCAACAGAACCCAACATGGATAGCGAGACTGAGACCTCAAGGAACTCCTCTCGTAAAATAAAACCTCGAGGAAACATTGAAAACCTTGAAGAGGTCCTCCCATACAGAAGAAACTCAGAAAAAATAATAATAATTGAAGACCATGAAGAGTTCATCTCTTACAAGGAAATTACTAAAGGCTGGAAAAAAGGCTTAGAGGGCTTATGTAGCAATAGGGCTCGCCTAAAGAGATCCTAAGGGCATTTGACTTGGATGCTGGACTCCATGGATCACCAAGGAGGGCTTGCTGACACCCCTAGATCGACTTGAAAGAAGCATGAGAAGTTTGCATGGACTACGGACTACCAAAGAGATATGACTTGTGACCAGTAACACACAAATATCTCACACGATTTGAGCTATATAGAACCACTATAAAAACTTGGACATATCACAGTGCAAAATAATATCTTTTAACAAGAATTGCCAGCTAGAAGATTGCAAAAAGGAGATACGGGAGAACAAATGTTAGTAACAATTGGAGATTAACACCATATAACCAGCTAAACTCAGCATGTTACTGTAATAAAGCTTAATGGAAGAAAATATGTGGTTGCATTAGGGCATCACAGTCAGATCATAATTATCATTGTTCATAAGGCTGCTAAATTTGGTGTGAACTCGATCCCAATTTAAAAAATTAGGCACTAGATATAGTCATATAGAATTCATCAATGTCAACTCAGTTTAAGCTAACAGCATGTGGTATCATTTACAAATTGTTAAATTGTTTGCGACTCCAAGTCAGGGCAGCGCCAACCAAACCCCATGTTGAGTACATACAAGATCATGAAATTAAAGGAACTGGAGTGAAAGCTAAAAGGTGAAATGCCAATAGTGTAATTCATTCAACCCAATTTCATATTAACCAATCAATCATCTTTATTACTATGTCAAAAGTAGGATTCATGATACTTTATACAACGTATTTGAGTAACAATTCACTACGATACACTATTATCAGTACATTTTTTTCACATGCAGTCTATCAATCCAAAAGGTATATATTCTAACTTTCAGTTCACAAACATGAAATATATTCAGCATGTCACATGGTGACAGAGAAACAAATTAAAGAATAAGAAGAGCTCATCCTACAACATCAGCGCCTTAGATCAAAATAGGACACATCTCCAAAAACAACCATAATAAACACAGCTCTGACAGCCACAAATAATTTTATGAACAACTTACAGCCAAAACTAGGAACGGAATGACTTCCATTATGATCAATGTAGACTTTACTCCAATGGCACTAAAAACTCCTACAGATCCAAGGACAGAAAGCACGACAATGATAATTCCAGAAAGCCCAAGTAACACCTGAAATTTGAACCGCCAAATATAAGGTATGATCAGAGTAAACACTGGCAGATACATGCCTAGCAACCCATATTTTGTAGATCAGTACATGACCAGAAAAGACCAAAAGAAAGAAAGAAATAACAATTAAAAACTCAACACTACAGAAATCCTACCCAAAACCTCATCTTTTAGCAAATGAGGGAAAAGTACAGAAATGTTTCCAAAATGAAAAGAATAAGAATGTATTGATGAACAACAATCAGCATTTCTTCACATCAGACATAATTCTTGAGAATGTATGGAAATGAAGATGAAGTATTAAGATTTGGTTGCCTTTACCATAGTCATTGCTAGCATTCCGGAAATAAATTTATGAAAAACAAAAGTAGAGAAGACATAAAGAGGATTTTAATAGCAGGCAGAAACAGCATCAGCAAGAGATGCATTTCTTTAATGAGAAATATTGACGTTCATATATTTTTTGCAGCAACTTATCGACCAAAGTGGACCGAAAGATGCAAAGCAGGCGCATATATATATATATATATATATATATATATATATATATATAGAGAGAGAGAGAGAGGGATGTCCCATTCCAAGACATCTTTAATACAACTCACAATTTGTTTCACTATCAGGGAGCATTTCACCAGAAAGATATAACAACCAATCAGCATTGACGACCTATCCATACGATAAAAGGACTTCAGCATGCACTACATGCTCTCAAGGAACAAATCGTGCCACTTGGAATGATGTTATACACAAAAATGTCATGTAATCATATCTTGATATGAGAAAAACTCATACAAACTATAACAACAATTGATGGGAGAAACATTTATCTGGCCAGAGTAGCACACTTGGCATAAAACAAAATAAATACAATATTTACATAGATATAATGGGAAATTATACCATTGTTGTCTTACCTTGGACGAAAGGTAGAAAGTAGACAAATGTGTTGCATCTCCCAAGGTCAACGATATGTAAGCAAACATTACAAGATAGCTTATCTGATAGGAAGTTGGCCAAGAAGGTTAAAGACAAACTCAGAAACAACCCACTTTAAATAAGCACTTACTATTATTAAACAATGACCCAATTAATTAAAAGAAAGTACAGGACAACAAATTCGACAAATAATGGCCCATAACCAACTAAAAAAATATGATAATGACTTACTAATATAGTTATAACATCTGCAGTACTTTCTCTTTTCAATTCTTCCTCAATTGAGCTTTCAGATGAAAAAGAAATTGTGAGATTGGTAGACTGTACCATTGGCAGCAGTTCATCCTGTCATGTACAAAGCATTCCATAATAAATATTTAAGCAAACATTAAATTGGGGATTTCAGGGAGAGTTCCTTATTTTCTGTTTTAGGATGAGGATGAGGAGGAGGAGGAGGAGGAGGAGGAGGGGGGGTGGGGGGGTGGGGGGTTGGTGTTGTTGAGGAGAGAGGGAGAGAAAATACTAAATTAAAGAAAAAAACAACCACATAACAACCTGGGAGGAAGTTATCTCCAAAATTTTAATGCACAGACAAAGAAATGCAGAGGTAGAAATGAAATTTTTAATGATCAAACCCCAAAAAATTCTGGGAGAGAGAGAGAGAGGAGGAATCATCATGTAGCCTTCCTAGAAAAGGGACTAGGAGTAACACACAAGTTACTACTGCCTCGCCTTTTTTAGAACCCTTATCAATGAGATTCATTGTCATCGCAAAAATAAAAAAAATAAAAAAAAAATGTTGCTAGAATCATTTTTTTTCCCAGAACGCAGAAAACACCCACCTCCTGAGTGTCTACATGCACATAATGGTCTCCTGAGTGATTTTGTTGTCCTACTTTAAAAAACCACAAACTTTAGATAGAGACCAACACAAACTTCATATTATGCGAAAATAAACATGACCACATACACATACAGGGACATTATGGTTCCAACTTGTAGTTAGAAAATCTTCACACTAATGTCTTGCCATTTGCTGGATGTGGAATTTGACAAAGCACTGCGGCGATATAGCAACAGTCATTGATTAACTTCACAACGAAATTTAAGACCCTTTTCATGCCCAACAGTAAACAGCCCAAACAAATAAAAAGTTGAAGTCAATAATCCACATGGTTATAGCACATCATCAATCCAGTATTTACGATTCGAAGAATATCTGACTTTCTAAGTGTTAATTACCATCTACTCTAAAATCTTTGTGATTAGAGAGGGTGTAACTTTAATATTTAAACTCACTAACACGCTCCCTCATGTTAGCCTTCTTTTTGGTCCAAAACGTGTTTCAAATTTAATTATTATGGTGATGGTGAGATTTGAACTCAAGACCGTGTCTGCTCTTGACCCCATGTCAAGAAACCATCTAGTCTACAAGCTTAAGTTATTAGAGTGTGTGTATCTTTAATATTTAAATTCTCTAACACCAAGCAATTCAATAACAGTGAATGGAGAGACATCAAACTGTATTAAAATAAAAATGCAGATAATAAGTGCATCAAAACCAAATAATCACACCAAAAATGAAGATGATAAAATCATTTGGAAAAATTTTAAAAAGAAAAAATTACAGAACCTTCACTAACTGTATGAAAGCCTTTTCCCAAGCCACCGCCATCTCATTTTCATTGCCCACTTCATCAACTGCATTATTGACTGGGTAGGTTACGATAAATGCAGATGCCTGTCATTGGAATATCATCAAATGATAAGTATATACTCAAATAACCAAGGCAGGGAATGACATAAATGCAGAAGCCTTCAATTGGAATATCATATGATTAGTATATTTTCCAATAGATAAAGCAAGGGGTAAAATATTACCTCAGAATAATTATTTCCTGAAAATCCCCCCAACGCAGTGCTTGGATCAAGGGGAGCCTTAAATGCGCTCAAACATGTGTCAGCAGTAGTGTAATGCTGCAAAGCAGGAAACGCGATTACGAAAAGTAAAATATGTATTCGACAGTATAGAGCAGTATGTCTATGCCAACAATGATAATGTGGTTGCAACCATTTTAGATGGACCACGAAGTAAGTGACCAATTAACTCTTTGATTCGTGCATTGAATAGAGCAAAAATGTCATATCGTACTTGGTTAAGAATTGTAGCAGTCCTTATTTCATCAGAAAGTCACTTCCCCTTAACTCCCATCTTAGGAAACACAATCTAAGAAAGAAACCCGCCTTGAAGTACCTCTTGAAGAAAATTATATTTGTGGTGGGGGGGTGTTTTCTGTAATTTCAGTGGGGGGGCAATTTCAAATTTTTATGGGTATATAATACAAAAACAAAAAATTCAGTGGGGGCATCTGCAATAGATCCATGCCTGCTGCCCAGCAAGTTCAAAGCATAGGCATTAAAGATCTTGTTGAATCTTGTATCCACCACCGTGTCAATACTATAGCTCCTTGTTGATTGAAAAGAATTCAGGTCATATATGACCACAACTTGATCAAACTTCAAATCAGCACAGAAACAATGTATTCCCACTTGGCTGATATAGCTACCATTACTTAAAACAGTTTTACCATGCACATCAAGGAGAATTTCTCTAATACATTCTACGGATGTGTTTGCTTCAAAATTCTGGCCAACTAAACTGGCTACACAATCCAAGATTCTGGTAGGGGTGAATGGTACAGATCATACATACTTCAAATGCTTAATTCAAAGGGCGTGTCTTGCTTAATTCTAACACGGGAGAATTAGCACACTAATCTTTCTCACTTTGTATCTTTTACTTATTTTCCATCTCTTTATTCCTCTCTTTCGGTTTTTTCTAAGAGCTAAGAACAATATTTAGTAGTTGCAACTCTGTCTTGTGCATTTTCAAAGTCATCACCACTTTCAAAACTACACCTTAAATGTATCATCATTAAACGCAAACCCTCATTTTCCAAGCCGTTACTCCGTCAAAATCAAACCATAGGATCCGGGAAACTATTAGAAAAGTGATTTCAACCCAAATCGATGCTAAGGAAGTTACTAGATCAGCTGCTAATTGAGCAGCTAAAAAAGACAGCCATCTGAATATATAAAATGAGCATAATTCCCATTGTAACAATTCTCTCACAGTTAATATAGAACGCAAAAACAAATATAACTAATTTGAAGAAGCTGATTAAAAAACAAAAACAAGATGGAGATTATACTTGTCAACAACAAAGGAAAAAAGAAAGAAAGAAAGATGGAGATCATAAAGCACACCTGAAAGCAATACTCAGCATGTTCCACTCCCCCATAATTGTCAAAATTTTCAGGATCCATTTTGAAATACTGTAGGAAATACAACTCTATCTCAAAACTTGTAATAACAGCACAGCATATGTCACAGTTTCAACAAGGAAGACAATGTAAAATATAATAAAATAAAAAGAAAATGAATTCTAGTAAGAGAAAGTTTTACCAAGTTGATATGCCTATTGCAAATATGACAACAATCAGAAGTAAATTACACAATTACGTGCTAGAAGGAAACAAGTGTCTGAATGGGGGAAAAATGCAGTACTAAGGTACAAATTTAAATGATTTTTGAATCTTGATAATTCAGGAAGAGAGCAGACAGGAAGTCTCAATATCCCAGAAGAAGCACTTGGCGAAATTAGGAACAAAAAGGAAGCAAAACATAATTTAGTACCTCATTTATGTTTGCATCCTCGCATTACAACAACATAATTTCCAGAGTAATGAATTTATAGAAAGAGAGAGAGAGAGAGAGAGCTCTCAAAAGCTAAGAAATGAGTAGAAATGCAATAACTAAAGTCCAAATGGCACCATACAAAAGAAAAATAAATAAGTTAAAAAACACAAACTGGCAAGTCCAATGTCCTATATTTATTTGTACTTCCACTTCCAACAACCTTAACTCAAGATAGATGTACAAGCTTCGTTATTTTGAGCTAAATAGACCAAATGAAGCTCAAAGAAATCTCAAAACTTTGCTGTATGTAGAATCAAACACACTATTGCTCAACAAAATTATATTTTTTTTGAAGAATTTCCACTTATCCATGGACAATCAAAATATCAAGTAGTTAACAACTCATCGTCAGTCAAAATGAGGTTAAATTGAACAATGGCGGGAATGTGGCATACGCCTCTTCTTATTTTTACTGATTTTCAGATGGGGGAATGGAGGAAAGAGAATGAAGACTCATAAGAACCGAAGAAGGTCACTCCATAATTCATAGAACCTGGACGCTGAATATGAGTAAAGAAGGAATAGGATTTGAACTTATCTTGGAGTCTTAATTCAAAAGGAAGGAAAATAAATTAGATAAAAATATATATATATGAATGCACACAAATTAGGAGTGCAAAAAAAAAAAAAAAAAAGCCATAAAAAAAAATTATTTACTTATTTACTTGGGACGCGTTCCACTCTTGAACACTTTCTAATACTTATTTACTTATCAAAAAAAAAAAATTTAGGAGTGCAACAAAAGCCAGTTAGCAATGGAGAAGAAAATAAATTAAAATAAAATAAAATAAAATAAAAAATTGTTTTGACATAAAGAATAGAGGAATAGACATGCCCATAAACTTACATATCCAAATTACAAAGCAGCCAGTTGGCTGAAACATGTCCAAATTACAAAGTAGCCAGTTGGTTGAGTTAAGATAGACTGAAAATAAGTAGGTCAAAAAAAACCAAGTACCACCAAACCCAAAATAAGCCCACGACCCTTTGCACAAAATATATACATATATTATATGAAATTGATTTTACATTTGAAAAATACTTAAAATGCAACTGAAATTTTTAAAAGGGAAAAGATAAAATTCAAGACTGGAGCATCCAATAAATACTCCATAACATCCCATACCCATCCCCATCAACCAGGCAGCTCTAGGTCAAACTCTGACACCAGTTATTAAGCAATTTCACCTGCGTAGTGCGTATTATGAATTATCTATTCCTTTTTGTATTACATCGCAGCATTTGAGTCTTTAAGGTGCTCAAGATGGCAAACCACCATTATTATGTTGATAGGGGGTAAAGGTGGAAAATGAGCTCATGGGGAATGGGCCTAGACTTTCACTCCGTTTTACCACTCCTGAACCAACAATCTAAACTCTACGTGTTAAGAATTAAGCTTAAAATAATACAACAAAGAGGAATCTATTCCTGCATGTGGACAACACGATATATATACATGCAGGAGAATACAAGACCTGTAAAATACTTTGAGTGGCACAGTCCTGGCCAAGAGGCTTCAAGCAAATGTCAGTCAGAGATACCACAGTTCCAGAATAGTTTGCCCGAATTCCATCAACCTGTCAAAATGAGCAAAGAGCAGACAGTCATCATCTTCCCTATACAAATGGAACAAACAAATATCATTCGAACGGTAGCAGCAAGCAATAAAAGCACCTTCTTTTGTATTTCAAAGAGTAACTGGATATTGTCCTCTGTTACTATACTGGGTGACTTGCCATACTTCGGATCAGGCATGGTTGCCAATATGAGCTGGAAAAAAACACCTAGTAGCATGTTATAAGTTGCATATGGAAATTACACCATGTGTGTAAAAGATGGGAAACAATACCTAAAAGAGGGGGGAGGAAATCAGTTATTCAGAACAACATCAAAGCATAATCATTTTTCAAAAAGGACATTTAGCGGTGGCCTCCCTGCATTCCTTAGGTAAAATATGGATTGATAAATCTCGTTAAGTGTGCATGGCATCAGCATCATCAAGACTACAATATCTTACACGTGGCTGTCTAATCACAACTCATAACTAACTTCAAATACGTGAGCTATTAGGAAAACCAGAAAAATGACATAAACATGCAAGGCCAGTTTTGTTCCAAGAAGTAATAAGAGCATAATCGTAGAACTGATCTTATTTTCTATTTAACTTGAGTCATTCTCAAATCAACCCAACAAAAACCCAACCCGAACTATTTGGGACAGCTACACAAATCCTCTTTCCCCATGTAGCTTAATCAGTGTCATATCCTCCACTGCATCCTTGAAAAAAAAAAAAAGTCCTCTTTACCCACAATCTTCTCACTTAACAACCCGCTCTTTAACCATTTCACCAAGCAATGGCCCCTTACAAACAATGCGAGGGAATCTGTTTTTTACCCAGTCCACCTTTCCGAACACCCAGTATCAATGGACCAAAACTGGATTTTTTTTCCTTTTTTTTTTAACTCCAGAAGAACCCTATACTTTTCAATAGACCATCAATGTGGAAAGCTAATTGTCACGATCCGATTCCTAACGACGCCATGAACATAGAAGACACGCATGCTGGTTGGCTAAGAACATTCATTGACTGGGAATGGTTCCAGGGAAGGGGCGTGCAGGACCACAGGATGGTACCTCTTCAGAGTTCAGGCAGGTCGACTCGGTTCAGTTCGAGGTGCTTGTCGCTAGTCTTGGACTTGACTATGAAGAAGGGAGTTGGCCATCTCTGCACAAACTGGTCGGGAGCTGGAGCCGTTCCCCTGACGAGGCCATGGCAGGCCGAAACCAGTCAGCATGTATCCTTGGGAGGGCAGGTCGTGGTGGCTGACCAGGGCGCTTGCGCGAGCTGAAGCAACGCCTTGGTGCCGCACGGGCCGTGCCGCTGCGCCAAATCTCTAGGCCCGTGACAAATGGTATCAGAACAGGACTTGGGGAAAAGCACAGAGGTGTGCCCCCTTGTCGATCCGGGGGTCTTGAGAATGAAGACGGTGCACTGAAAAAGCGTCGGTGGGCAATCAATGCCGTTGGAGGAGAGCCTCCATCTCCCCATGAAGACGCGTCCTTTAAGCCGGAGGGCCGCGCGCACCAAAGTTCTTGCAAGTTCAAGAGGCGTGCAAACCGTTGTGAAGGGCGGGTATCAAGTCAGCCGGAGGGCGCTTGTTTGCTCGGGGTGTCGCGGAGGCGGCATAACGTGGGGTTGCGTCCCGAAGAAGTGGGCGTCCCTTTAGCCCGAAACCCTATCATTGGGCGAGTGCAGCCAGGGGTTGTACAAGGAAGCGATGGTGGGCAGGCGAGCATACCACTTGGAGGAGACAGGCTTTGGAATGTTGGACGCAGCGGAGTCAGCGCCGCACTGCGACGAGGGCGTCGCAGGATTTGGGTGGGGGAGAATGTCACGATCCGATTCCTAACGACGCCATGAACATAGAAGACACGCATGCTGGTTGGCTAAGAACATTCATTGACTGGGAATGGTTCCAGGGAAGGGGCGTGCAGGACCACAGGATGGTACCTCTTCAGAGTTCAGGCAGGTCGACTCGGTTCAGTTCGAGGTGCTTGTCGCTAGTCTTGGACTTGACTATAAAGAAGGGAGTTGGCCATCTCTGCACAAACTGGTCGGGAGCTGGAGCCGTTCCCCTGACGAGGCCATGGCAGGCCGAAACCAGTCAGCATGTATCCTTGGGAGGGCAGGTCGTGGTGGCTGACCAGGGCGCTTGCGCGAGCTGAAGCAACGCCTTGGTGCCGCACGGGCCGTGCCGCTGCGCCAAATCTCTAGGCCCGTGACATAATGGATACTATGAATTATACTGAACTTCAACTATTTCTACTATTCTTCAGGGCGTAATACGAAATAAATAAATAAATAAATTTGCTGCTAACTCATCAAGTATCAATTAAAAGTCTTGTCAAGAGGATTATCCAGAACTAGCGGCCAAGGTTCATCCTACTCGCTACAGTTATAAGGAACTATATTAAGTAGCAGCACTATTCATTGGGAAAAAGAAGTTCAATTGCATTAACAGTGAGGGAAATTGGAATTTGTCCATCACATATCCCAAATGATGACGATACAAATTATGAAACAACCAAATGGAAAAAAAATTATACAAAGTATAGCAAGGACACCTGTTCAATTCTGTAAAAAGGAGCTAAGTGGCTGTCAAAAAAATGCTTCTCTTCAGCTGCCTTACTCCCATGACCTACCCACAGCTGCAAGAACAGCCAATGTAAATATTTAACTGAGATTCAAGCATAATAGTCTAAGTCATCAAACAAGTATTCCGATAACATTTTAGTAAGAATTAGTAAATTGCACATCTAAATCCTAAAAAAAAAAGTAGGTGCAGTAAAGTAAAGAAATATATATATATAATCAACTTCTGGAAGCCATCATCAATAGTCAGATGTCGCAATTTAAAACATCAAGCAGAAAAAGATGGTATAATTATATTCATGTTATAACAAAAAGTTCGGAATTTTATCATTTTAGTAAGGGGACAACAGACAATCACAAGAGAGAAGTATTTCTGATTACGAAGCAAACAGGTCCATATAACCTCTAAATCAAAATATTTTAAATAATTTTGAACACCTTTATATGAAATGCTACTTCTGAAAGCAGAAATTTCATTGAAATGAGGTGAAGAAAACTGTTCGCTAGCAAGAAAACATGATGAAAATGTCCTTCCATTTTGATACTGGCAAGAAGCAATGAGGTAATTACTAAGCACAGAAAAGCCAAAGTGCTTTAATATGCTTTTCTCGTCTTGAACAAAAATATGTGGAAAATTTTGGCCCAAATTTTAAGAAAATGATTTCTACTCAAGTGGACAATTTGATATAAGACAGTAAATTTTAACAATGATTTTTTTTGCATGCAAATTATTGCTATACTGCAAGCTAAACCGAACGAAAGAACATTTCCAGCCAGGATCTTACCAAACATCTTGAATGCTAGATCTTACCAAACATCTTGAAGCTATAGTCGAGCATACTACGACGACAATACACAAATTGATTTGTTGGAACAAAGTTGTTGAAAATGATAAGAAAAAAACTCCTTGGATACTCTGAGAAGAGAAAGGGGAGAGAGGGAGAGAGACAGACAGACAGACACAGAGATGTCAATATCATACCTTCTCAGGCCTTGTTTCCACCTTGAAGCGTATTAAACCTAAACAAAGTACAAGAACAACTGCCAACGATGAGAACAGCACAAGTGCAGGATATCTAGCAACCCATGTTCCATATCTCCTGAACATAGTACCAAAAATTACTCAGCATGTACTGCCAAATACTTGGGTAACTAAATATTAATGGTATAGGAGCGAACCTGAAAAAACTTGACATGTATCCTTGGACAACTGAAAGATGGACCTCATCTGCCATTTGAGGGACCCTCTCATGCACCTGATAATTATTAAAAAATAATTAACAAATGTAGCATTAGCAAAAATAAAAGTACTTCTATAGATATTAGAAAAATAAATAAATAAATAATTGATTAAAATTACTGAACATGTATATATAAGCATGACTTCATATATGCCAACTAAGAAGTACAGGCACTTCTACAAACGTGCCGTGTTCGGGTCGGACACTAACACATCACGGACGCTCCTGGACACGTTTCCGACATATCATGGCCATGTCCATAATTCTTATTGTATCGGACACTTGGCCGACACATCTTGGACGAGACATATGGGACACTTGGTCAATACATTCCGAGCACTTAACTAACACATCCTATACTCTTCGTCTTACATAAAACAAACACATGAAAACCCTAAAACCATTATAAACATACATCAAAGTGTCCAACCTCTTTTTCTTTAAAACTGACATGAAACCATTACATGGCCTCGGGTACATGCGTCGGGTGCAGGTGTATATCCAAGGACCTGATATTTATTAAAAATAATTAATAAATGTAGCATCAGCAAAAATAAAAGCACTTCTATAGATATTAATAAATAAATAAATTATGGATTAAAATTACTGAACATGTATATATAAGCATGTCTTCATATATGTCAGCTAAGAAACACGGACACTTCAACAAAGGTGTTGTGATTATGTCGGACACTCGTGGACACGTTTCGTGAAACGTGTCCACAATTTAAATATAATTTTTATTATAACAAACACTTGGCCGACACATCTGGGACACTTGATCAACACATTCCAAACACTTGACTAACACATACTACACTATTCGTCTTATATAAAACAAGCACATGATAGTCCTAAATACAACAACTACAAACATACATCAAAGCGTCCCAACCTCTTTTTCTTTAAAATTGGCATTAAATCTATGTTACATGGACTCAGGTACGTCTGTCGGGTGCGGGTATATATAGATGCATCGGTTGTGTCAAATCCCCAAACAAAAAGATACATTAAAACTGTTAAATATTTATATTATATAATATTTTTACTTTATTTTCTACGTAAAATAATGTCTTTATGTAACATAGTGTGCACTATTGGCATTTCACTCATTTTGAAGCAATAATACAATAAAACTGAATTATTAGACATGGTTTTTTCAAATTCTCACATTTTACATGGTTGGACCATGTCTGATTTTTAAATTTAGGATTTGCTGATTTTTTCTGCAAATAATTTGCTGTGCTCTAAATGAGACTTAGTTCATGTTATCATTTCCTCTTTAATTCATTGTCAATATAATCTGGTTGGACATATAGCTTTCTAAGTTCACATATACCTTCTTTTCTTTTCTTTTTTTCGTTGGCAAGAAACACACACCCACTTTGCCCCTTTGGGGACTCGAACCCTCACCATCCACTTTGGGAGGTAGAGGAGATACGACCAAAAGTTCACATATACTTGATTGAACTTATCTAAATATTTCTGTGTTAAATAGCTCTTTCTTATGTTTGTTTGCAACTCCATGTGCTTCTAATTACTAAGGACCTGGTGAGCTATTCGAAATACACCGGTAGGTTGGCTTATTGAAATGACATATGGCGATCAATTTTTATGTATCTCACATTTTCCTTGGTGGTTGTGGCTCCATTTTGCAATATATTTGATTTTAAATATACCTTGCCACTATAGTTTTTTCAATGAACACACAAACAAACTCCTACTATGGTCTTCCCAGTACGCCAACACACACACACACACACACACACACACTGGCATACTAATAAGCATGGACCTGGACACAATTAGGACACGGATACGCCAACAGGTCAAATTTTTAAAAAGTAGGATACGGCGTGGGCATATCTAAATATAAACATAAATTTTCAATCATATATCTATTGGTTAAAGCAGTTATAGAACTTTAATTGATTTATAATTTCTATACTAAAGTTACATAAGTTAGAAAATTAAGCTATCTAATTATTAAAAGAATATATTATATTATATATGATATTACTCTCCTATCTTATCATTATCATTATGTTTTTGTTCATTGCATACTATGACGTGTTTAATGCTATGCTAGATGGACTTTTCCAAGAGTAGGTGAAGTACCCACGTCCGACACGCATTGCTCGGGCATGGGTATTGCATATGTTTCTCACACTTTTGATTAGATATGCACCTAAAAACCATGTCTAATGATTCAGTTTCATTATATTATTGCTTCAAAATGAATGAAATACCAATAGTGCACCACTATGTTGCATAAAGACATTATTTTACCTAGAAGATAATGGAGCTACAACCACCAAGGAAAATGTGTGATACATAAAAAATTGAATGTCGTGTGTCATTTCAATAAGCCAACATACCAAGTATTTTGAATAGCTCATCAGGTCCTTAATAATTAGAAGCACGTGGAATTGCAAACAAACATAAGAAAGGGCTATTTAACACACACAAAAGATTTGGCTAAGTTCAATCAAGTATGTGTGGACTTAAAAGGCTATATGTCCAACCAGATTATATTGACGTTGAATTAAAGAGGAAACCATAACATGAACTAAATCTCATTCAGAGCATGCTAATTATTTGCAAAAATAAACAGCAGCATATCCTAAATTTAAAATCAGAAATGGTTCAACCATGTAAAATTACAGGAATTGTTTTAATAAAGCAAACAACAATAAAATTCCAAGATCTGATGACATGACTCGTCATGGTTACAAGTATGTGGATCTTTTTTCCTTTCTTTTTTCATTTGGGCTTTTAGCTATGTGTATCTGACACCAAAACAAATGAAGAATATTTGGAAATTAGATAATTACAGCATCTATACACACACACATCCATTTAAGTGCACTGTAAATTAGCAAAGATCAATAGTTTCCAGGAAATATAATGTTTCACATATTGATAATTAAACACAGCATGATTTACAGAACTAGCCCACAGTTTAGAAAGAAGATAATAATAGATCACAAGATAAAGAACATAGAAGTCAGGAAACACCTTCATATCATGCTTCTGCACATTGACATAATTGATTTCACCTTCATCCTTATATTCCAACAAAGGTTTCATGGTAGATGCAGCTCTCCTCCTTTCTTTTGTCCGATGGAACAAACCCCATCCAAAAAATGCAGAAACCAAAATAATATAGAGGATTGCTAGTGAAAATTCAATGCATCTGACCTGCAAACAGCAACCAATGGTACCAAAACCAAGAAAAATATATCAAAAGGCTAAATTAACACACAATGCTACCAAAAGATAGAGCTTCAAGACTAATGTAGAGCAACTAATTAACCAATGTAGAGCAAAACAAAAAGGGAAAAACTATGTTGGTCAACTCTAACCTTAAAAGACCCAATTTTGACCAAGCAAGCATCCTTCTTGTGTGGAGAAGGAGGTTCTGAACTGGAACACACGGGAGATGAAGGACAATCTCCACAAGAGCAGCCCAGTGAAGTATCCCCACAAGAATAAATGGACACATTCATAAGTTCCATTCCAGATGACTCAGGAATACTTGGCTGAAAGTTAATGGCATAGGGTGAACCAGGAACACCAAGGTCTGCTTGCTGACCAATAAAGGCAAACCATTCTGGCAAATACAATTGGAAATAAAAGCATCAACAGTTCAACACTTGGAGAAAAGCAAATGTTTGTCAAAAATAGAAGAGGTAAAACATTTCATGCAATATTCGGCTCAAATATCAGCTGCAAGTAACTTGTACTCAACAAATTACATAAGCAAGATCATTACGCACTTCTGATCAACCCTGATGCCCTCACCCTCCACTGATAAAAATATTCAGGCTTTTATAGAATTTTCTTATGAAGGTTTATCGATTATGAACCTGCACAAGTTGTTTAAAGTATGACAAGGGTTTACCAAATGAGACTATGACCAGGACTCTAGGGAATACATCGTATGTGCTTGAAAATTACTTCAGTTACCTCTTTGTTTTAATCATATAATCCTACTATTTGCAGATGATACTCTGGTTTTCTGTGACATTCTGGCTTGCTTTTAGGCAGTATCCAGGCTAAAGGTGAATGTGGCCAACCCGGTCGGGAATGTACAGGACATCTCTTCTTTAGCTGCAGTTCTTGGATGCAGGGTGAGCTCCTTTCCTATCCCTTATTTGGGATTGCCCGTAGGGGTTTCTTCCAGGTTAGTGAGGAGTTGGGATTCTGTGCTTCATAGGTATGCAAAGAGGTTGACAGGGTGGAAGAAGCAATACTTATCCAAGGGGTGTAAAGTAACTCTTATCAAGAGCACTTTATCAAGCCTTCCCACTTATTTTCTTTCTTTGTTCCAAATTCCATGCTCCGTTGCTGATAGAATTGAACAAATTCAAAGGAATTTCCTTTGGGGAGGAAGGGGAGATGAGTTCAAGTATCATCTTGTTAGATGGGAGCAAGTGTGCAAGCCTATAAAATTGGGGGGTCTCGGTATTAGACGATTGATTCCTTTTAATCAAGCTCTTCTGCGCAAATAGTTGTGGAGATACGGGAAGGAAAGACATCGTCCTTGGCGCAGATTAGTATCTTGCAGGTATGGGGAAGATGTTGGTGGATGGACTACACGTCCGGTTTCTATTGCGGGAGGAGTTGGGGCTTGGAAATCCATTCGGAAAGGTTGGGATGCCTTTTCCACTCATATCAGATTCAAAGTTCGTGATGGTAGTTGCGTTCGTTTTTGGGAATATCTTTGGTGTGGGAACCAGCCTTTATGTCATACATTTCCCAGATTATATAGTATTACAGTTGATAAACATGCCATAGTAACTAACTGTTATCAGCTTGATAATAGTGGAATTACGTGGAATGTTCATTTTCGGCGTTCATTTCAGGATTGGGAGTTGGAAGAGGTGAGCATTTTCTTGGATCAATTGTATCGGCAAGAAGGAATTGGCATGGGTTATGACAATTTGATTGGATTCCCTCCTCTCACAGGCGTTTTGTAGTAAGGTCTTTGTTCTTTTGTTAGTCTAATTTTGCATCCTATGATTTTCCATGGAAGACTATATGGCGCTCTATGGCTCCTACTAAGGTGGCATTCTTTGTATGGATTGCTGTTTGAGGTAAAATTCTGACGATCAATAATTTGAGGAAAAAGGGAAATGTTCTTGTTAATCGGTGTTGCATATGTAAGCAGGATGGGGAGTCAGTCGATCATCTCCTAATGCATTGCTCTGTAGCGCACGATTGCTAGAATCTCATTCTTGGCCTATTTGGCATGTGCTGGGTAATGCCATGTTCTACTAAGGAGCTTCATGCTTGGAGACGTTGTCATGTGAGTAGGAGTGTTCGTGATTATTGGAGATCTGTACCACATTGTATTTGGTGGTGCATCTGGAAGGAGCGAAATAGTAGAATGTTTGAAGGGAATGAGTCGTCTACAGCGACTCTGAAACTTTTTATTATTCGTTCTCTATTTAGTTATGTGAACAGAAGTTCGTGTTCCTCTTCTGTTGATTTAATTTCTTTTTTGGATTCTTTGGGGCATTAGACCCTGGTTTCTCTTATGTCTACGGGACGCGTTCCCCTATTGAACGCCTTTTTTAATTTATTATTACTTATCAAAAAATATATATAATTCTAGAAAATATATGATAATAGATTTTGTTTCTTAGGTGAATCTTATTGTTTCCAAGAAAAACAACAGATTCTAAAACTAAGTAATGGAGGGAACTATTATGAAAATGACGGAACCACTAAGATAAAATCATGAAGCACAATCTAAATCTCTGTGTGCATTTTTTTTGTTGAATAAGGAGCTTTTGTGTGACATTTATCCATAAGATATTACAATTATTTGAAAGCCTGAAAGGTATGCAAAAATGAGCCGAAAAGGATTTATTTTCCTTTCTTTCCTTCCTTTTGGTTGTTTATTTATATATATAGAGAAAGTATACAAAAGTCTACTTTACCAATAAACGCGTTTGTAAGTGTAAAAAAGATTCAGATATTATGAATAGGTATATGAAAATCCAAAATTAATGCTCATAAAATATCACCAAAAAAAGAAAGAAAATTCAACATAAAATTTTCCATATTTAAAATTTTAGAGGTTCTTCTATTAAAAAATGGAGCATAAATTTAAACTCACAACAGAAATCTATGCATTTCATAAATTCGTCCTTGATTGAGCATATATATATGATTTTTCTTCTCTTTCGTCCCCCCAAATGGAAGAAAGTTCTTGGAAAAATCAGTTGGTCGTACATAACCAACGTATGGGGATCATGGCATAAAATGCCAGAGAAATTGGCTCATTTAGCAAGATTCTTCATCTTATTAATGTTACAGTACACTCCAAGAAAATATTAACCAAGAAAGTTTATACTTGTGCTCTTAAATCTTGATACCGAAAAGGAGTGTTCAACTCCTCACAAATTTGCCCTTTTTTTTTTTTTTTTGATAAGTAAGATTTTATTGAAAACGCTCAAAAGGGGAGCGGAACCCAAAGAAACAAAAGGCCAAAAGGCACCTTAGACCTTCAAAGAGGCCAAAAAAACAATAATCTCCTCCGTAGATCTATAATCTCTCCCTGAAATCCAACAAAAAAGAGTAGTAATAATAGAGAACTTAAGCAAAGAAACAGGCTTCTTTTTTCCTTCAAAATATCTCCTATTTCTCTCGAGCCAAATACACCACCAAATACAAAGAGGCGTAGCCCTCCAAGCATCCTGAATGATAGCCCCAACAGAGACGCCTCTCCAAGCCTCAATCAACCCTCTAGAGGAACAAGGCATAGCCCAATGGACTCCAAATAATCCAAGCATCAAATCCCAACAGTCTCTGGCCATGCTGCAATGTAAAAGGAGGTGATCAACTGTCTCCTCATCACACAAGCACATATAACAATGATTGACCACCACCTAATTCCTCCTCCTCAAATTATCCTGAGTTAAAATCTTACCCAAGATGGAGGTCCAAGCAAAAAAGGCGACCTTGCGGGGAGCCTTGGAATGCCAAATAGGCTTCCAGGGAAAGGGTCTCCAGTAACAAACGGAAGGCATCTGAAAAAAGACCTAACCTCGAAACGGCCTTGCGAATTAGGAACCCAGAACCAACAATCCGACTCCCCAAAAGTGATCACCTGGCTATACAGAAGCTCCAAAAAACGAGAAACATCATCGATCTCCCAATCCTGAAAATGCCTCCTGAACTGAACATTCCAAGTCAGTCTCCCTTTATCAAGGTGATAACAGTCAACTACCATAGCCTGTCAGTGAGAAGCAATCCTATAGAGCCGTAGGAAAGCGAGAGCAAGAGGAAGCTCCCCGCACCAAAGATCCTTCCAAAAACTAATCCTCCTGCCATCCTTAATTCGAAAACGAACATGCTCGCCGAAATCATCCCAACCCCTCCGAATGACCTTCCAAAGCCCCACCCCCCTTGGACCACGCATCGCAAGAGAGCACCACCCACCACTACTTTCCCCAAACTTGCTCGCGATAACTCTCCTCCAAAGCCAATGTCTCTCAATCCCAAACCTCCAGAGCCATTTACCAAGGAGAGCTTTATTGAAAGGCAACAACCTCCTTAACCCTAAGCCTCCATACCGAAATGGTCGGCACACATGATCCCACCGAACCAGGTGAAACTTTAACTCTTATCCCTCCCCCCAACCAAAAGAAAGTTGCACCGCAATCTCTCAATTCTCTCAGCCACTAAAGAAGGAATCTGAAACAGAGAGATGAAATAAGTAGGAAGGTTAGAAACGGTGCTCTTAATCAGAGTGACCCGACCCCCCTTGGAAAGGTACTGCTTTTTCTAACCCGCCAACCTCTTCTCGAATCTATCCACAACCGGATCCCAACTCCCCACACATCTCGAAGGAGCTCCCAAAGGCAATCCTAAGTAAGAAATGGGAAAAGAGCCGGTACAACATCCAAGGATCTGAGCAAACATCTCAATCTCAGGAACATCCGCAACAGGCACAAGAAGACTCTTGCCAATATTAACCTTAAGACCAGAAACAACTTGAAACCATATCAAAACGCATCTCAAATATCTCAACCGGGACGCGTCCGCATCACAAAACACAAGAGTGTCATCCGCAAACATCAAATGGGAAATCTCCAGTTGACTAGCAACATCCCTGCCCACCCGAAAACCTCTCAAAAAGCCCAACTCCATGGCCCTCTTCAGCAATCTGCTAAGAGCCTCCATCACAAAAAGGAACAAGAAAGTAGAAAGCGGATCCCCTTGTCTCAAACCCCTCAAGCTGGAGAAAAAACCCATCGGAGCACCATTCACAAAGATAGAGAACCGAGCGCTAGAAATGCAAAAAAGAATCCATCTCCTCCAACGCCCACCAAACCTCATCATCTCCGATAAATAGAGAAGGAAACTCCAGCTCACATGGCCATATGCCTTTTTAATATCCAGCTTGCAAAAAACACCCGGAACACCGCTACTAGCAATAAGAACTGAATCCAAAATCTGACGACCTCCCACAAAAGCATTCTGAGAGTCAGAAATGACGCCAACCATAACCTTCCTCAACCTAGAGGCTAAGACTTTCGCAATCAGCTTGTAAAAACATCCCACCAAACTAATAGGGCAGAAATCTCTAACATCCATTGCCTCTCCCTTCTTCAGAATAAGAGCAATAAAAGTGACATTCAAACTTTTCTCAAAAGAGCCCTGCACAAGGAAGGCGTGAAAAGAGCCTATCACCTCCTCACGGACCACCTCCCAACACTCCAAAAGGAATCTCATAGAAAAACCATCAGGACCAGGGGCTTTATCCCCATTACAGCTCTTCAAAGCAGAGAAAACTTCCTCTTCTGAAAATATCGCTTCCAAAGCAGAGCACTCCTCACCCGAAATAGAGTCAAAATGAAGCCCATCAAGTAAAGGGCGCCAACCAGCTGATTCAGTGACTAACTTCGAAAAGTAGTCAGAAAAACCCTTGCAAATCTCCTCCTCTTTACTGAACATCACCCCATCCACCCGAATCCTCCCAATTTGATTGCCCCTTCTGTGAGCATTGGCAAGTCTATGAAAGAATTTGGTGTTATTGTCACCTTCCTTGAGCCACAAAGCTCTAGATTTCTGTCTCCATGAAATCTCCTCTATGACAGCGATCTCAGCAAACTCTGCTTGACACTCCACCCTCCTAAGCTTCAATGGAATCGTCAAAAGACCCTGACTCTCCATTTTATCAATATCAGCAATCTCAGAGAGAACCCGATTCTTCCTCCAGGCCAAATTACCAAAAACCTCTTTGTTCCAAACTTTGAGATCATTCTTCAAAAAACGCATCTTGCCTGCCAAAGAATGACTAGGAGTGCCAACCACTCCATACCCCGCCCACCAGGATTGGACTTGCTCTCGAAAACCCTCAACCCGAAGCCACATATTCTCAAATCTAAAAGGGGATCTTCTGCTACGCAGCCCACCACAATCCAACATCAACAGAACATGGTCAGACAAAGGACGAGCCAAGGTGGCCTGAACAACATCAGAAAACTTCTCCTCCCAATCACTCGACACCAGGAATCTATCAAGCCGAGAAAGAGTAGGAGGAAAACGTCCACTGGACCAAGTGAAAGGCCCACCCACCAAAGGCAAATCAAACAAACAAAAAGCATCAATAAACTCTGAAAAAGCCATCATGTCAGCCGTCCACCTGCCCCCTGTCGACCTCTCAAAAGGGGAACGCACAACATTGAAATCCCCCCCGATACACCAAGGCAGCGACCATCACCTACGAATCTCCCCCAACTCCTCCCAGAGCAAATGGCAAACACAATCCTCCGAAGGCCCATAGACTCCAGAAAAGACGCAACGAAAACCATCCTCCACCATAGACAGAACACAGGACGCCGAGAAAAACCCAACCTGAGAGTCCAACAAAGAGATCCACCGCTTATCCCACATGATCAGGATACCACCCGAAGAGCCAATCGCATCCAAAGCAAACCACTCCACAAATCTCCCTCCCACAAACTTCGAACAATCACATCAGTCATCGATGCTATCTTGGTTTCTTGCAGACACACAACATGACCGCCTGTTTTCCAAATCACCAATTTCACCACTTTTCTTCTAGCCGGGTCGTTGAGACCTCGGACATTCCATGAAAGAATTTGTAGCTTCATAGTGAAACAGTAGAGTTGACAGTCTCACCCCTCCTTTCATTGGCCCTCTCCCTAGCCCCCCTCCTCCTCCTTTCATAAGTGACAAGAGTCGAGGGGCTTGGAACCCCCCTCTCCTCTCTCCCCACTAGAAAACTCCCCCTACTACCCATTTTATCAGCAAACTGAGCATTAAGAATATCAAGGAATAAACTTGTCGCCTCCTCCATCCGACCCTCAAAAGAAACACCCAAAAGGGAACCTATCTCAACTCCCTTTTCCCTCACCCAATCATCCTCCAAATCAGCCAACCCTGCATCAAATCCCGTCCCTTCAGCAAAATTCCCATCCGGTCTAACAACAGCCAAAGGGGTAAGCAAATCAAAATCAGACTCACATCCGTTCCACAAAACAATACCCAAATCCCCATGAACAAAGGAACACGACCCATCCTCCCCATTCTCAACAAATGACAAAGATGGAGAGCAGCTAGAGAGCGGGGTCCCAAACACCTCATCTGCCAAAAGATCATTCTACTCACTATGAGAACCCTTCGAGACAAGATGAGCCCTCAAAAGCACAGCAGCGGAAGCATCATCAATCCTAATCTTCATATCCTGGCCCCCACACACAGTAATTCCTTCACTGCTAACATCACACAACCGGGAGGATCCCATCTCAATACCACTGTCTCCACCAGGTCTTTTCTCGAAAATAGGCACCGGTTCCCTTTCAAAAACCGGGGACAAGCATTTTGAAACAGAAGACACCACTCCCTTTTTCAGCCCCAAGCTCCTTCGTGACACCCCATAAGGGTGAGAAGAGGAAGAAGAAGGGAGAGAAGGAGAATGATCATGCAAAAAAAAAGACATACCCGAACCAGAGTCGAGCTGCAAACCCGGAATCCACTTCTGCTTTTCCTTTCTAGACCATCTTTTGCGAAAAGGGGGAAATAACACTTTCTTCTTCATACGGTGTCCCTGCACAAGCCCTTTAGGACGTCGACCTCTTCTAGATCCTTCAGGGAAAACACCGGACGGATGAAAGTCAATGCCTTCCACAACATCACTTAAAGGCCCGAAGCGGTTGCCCGGCCAGAAATAACATTGGGCGAAACTGATCCTCCCTTCATTTCACAGCCCAAATCTACAGGTCCTTGGCCAAGACAAACAACATCTGATGGGTGGGCCGCTTTACCTCCATCCGGTCCACAAGATGACAAACTGCCAACATCCTTCAATCCAGACTTGCCAACCACAGACCCACAAGAAGAAAGGGAGTTCGATCCAGAAGCTCTAACCACCGGCCCAATATTAAGCCCAACCACAGACTTAACCCCAGAAGAGGCCTTCACATCTTTCGGAGCCCAGGATTTTGAAATAAAAGTGGAAGCAGCTGTCATCCACTTTGAACGGCCAAGCCCTCTGCGCCAACCACGTGTATGGGCGTCAAGGCTCCCCCTCCCACGCGCTTAATTGACGTGAGAAACACCATGGTGACTCCCCCTTTTCCACATCTGCACGAACGCCGGACGGCCAAGCCCGATGAAACCTCCACCCTTCTGCCTTTCCCGGGAACCCTCTTGCCGGCGAAGATCAAGCCCAGCCGAAGAGCTTTCATTCCTTCTCAGAGTGAATAATCTTCTAAAACATTCCGAATTGCGCTTCCATAGATCATCCCTCCATTCCTCCCATCTCTTAAAATATTGTTCATGAGAGAGGAAAGAGAACTCTCAAAATCCATTTGATCCAAACAGAAACACACTCTACGGATACACACACAAGAGGAGGGGTATACAATGAAAATAAGAAATAAAAAAAGGAAGTCCTGTTCTTCTTCCGAAGATTTAATTATTTTTTTGGCTTCTTTGGGATCTTAATCCCTAGTTCCACTTTTGTATAAGGGATGCATTCCCCTCTTGAACGCCTATTTTATTTCAATTATTACTTATCAAAAAAAAAAAGGAAATGTTCAAGACCAAACAAATCAATAAAAAAACAGTAACATAACGACAAGACAGATAGATAATGATGCTAAACAATCTATAGCCAAAAAAACCCACCAGACCCAAAGACACCTCAAAGAGGAGAAATAAGATTCTAGTAAATAAATAAATAAAATGAATCACCTATGTCATCTCTCTAACAAAAGTTGTTCTCTATCTTGTTTCTAGCCGTATTCTAATAAGATTTTTCTTATTTGAACTATTAAGCCACATGAGATACTGCTAAGCATGATGCTTACAAGTGCACACTACACCCATATGTATGAATAGAGAGAGAGAGAGAGAGAGAGAGAGCAATGGAACATAAAAGGCAGAAGTCACCTTTAAAATTTCGAGCACCGGCACCAATAAATTCGATGGCCCGCGTATTCATAGTCCCAAACTTTACTTCCTTGCATGAGTTATACAACCCTTCTCCAAAGGTATCAGTTATTAAGAAGTCTATGCCATCCACAGTCAGGTTCCCATTAATCTGAAACACACCAATTATAAAAAGAGAAGTCATACAATAGGTGTTACTAACTTCATAGTCGATATCAAATCAAAAGTAATAACTATTTTTTCTTTCTGGGAAGTAATAACTATTAGCAAATGCTGTCAGCCTCCTCTTCTAAGAAATCTCCGATGATGCTCTTGCTTGTAACACACTTTGTCCATTCTCAGCGTGCTAAAGCAAGAACTAACTCACCCACATTAAAATCAAGCACATGCACAAAATATTTATCTAACTATGAATCACAATCTCATATGCCAGTCAACTCAGAATGCGAGCTGCCCACCCTACACCATCTCCCACTCCTTAAATCGGGTAACAAATAGTATCAAATGCACAAACCTCCATGGCACAAGCAAATAGTCTGGAGTTATGATGTTATGAGGAACACAGATTGAAGTCATTTTCTGGGAGCTTTCCTATAAGTTTCATAGATAGATTTTCTGTTCATCCATTTCTCTTTCATTTTTCTTTTCAAGTAATTGTGGTTACTCCATTAAATGTGAGTTTAGAGAGAGCAAATATGAGGTTATAAGCATAAATAATATCAAACAGAACTGATACACCATATTACTTAAAACAAGCTCTGAGCACTAATCAAGTATGACTCACCTCAGAAACAGAAGTCACATTGATAAATAGACTCTGATTTGGAGAGCAGGAAAGCTCACAGAAAAGATTTAGGAAGTTCCGTAAGCACGCTGGGCAGCCCACAAGGAAAGGAATTGCCTGCAATAAATAGAATTCATTAAGAAATATGCAAGTGGAAATAGCTAGACAGATATTTAGCAAGTCAAAAGAAAAATTCATGTCTGTTCTTGGCTCAACGGACTCGCATAGAGTCTCATTGAGAAGTCTCAATCATGGCCCACATCATAAGTAGTAACACAGGTACAAATCGAAAACTATCTCATGTATGCCATGCAAACGTCCTATAGCCGGATAGCCACAAAAGACAGTCCATCAGAAACAATTAAATAGAAGCAGCAGCTTCAATCTAATCAGCAGGCCGCATGATATGCCCTCCTCATTCTTCATATAGAATTTAATGAACAAGAGATTTAACATAACACCACGAATTAAATCATAAAATTTATCTAATAAACCACACAAGCTACAATACCAGCATTCAAGTATCCAAAGAGCTTAGGCAAACGTGACAGATGAGGCAAGGATGTGTCCATGCTACTTAGCTCACAGATACATGCCTGAAACTTCCTAATGTATTCATATTTATTATTTCGAGCACATACTTGATACTTCTCAAATCATGATACATTGATACATGTCTAACAACTATTGAACATCAAAAGTAGCATTTTGATTATATTATCATCCAATTGTTAGAAAGAGAAAGTGAACAAAGGTTTCGAATACTTGGAAGTTCTTAAAGGAAAAAATAAAGAGATAGAGAGTATATATTGTGTAATTTAGTTTCAAGTTTATGTCAATGCAATGTAATTCTCAACTTCTCGTATGATCTTTAGTATTATAAGTTAGAAATACAAAATATAACAGATTCATAACAATTTTCTTGGTCATATTTCTTTTGTAAGCAAATGTTAAGACATAAAATATGCATATAACATATAAAACAATCAAATTTATAAATAGAAACATATGTATAATTTTGACACATACGTACATACATATATAATGTCATATCCTCGTCATATCCATATACTATGTTTTGAGAATTTTTCATATCAATGTGTCATATTTATATCCACTTCTTAAAAGTGATGGGGCCAGTAAGATAATGGCAAGAATTTGTCATATCAATGTGTCATATGACTCATACTTATATCCCATATATGTGTCCAAGCTTCTTAAAGTGTTTTTTGTTTTAGTAAGCTATTGGCTAATTTCCATAATCAATAGAGTTAGATACCTATGGCATATCCTCGTCATATCCATATCCTATTTTTTTAGAATTTTTCATATCAATGTGTCGTATTTATATCCGCTTCTTAAAAGTGCAGGGCCCAGTAAGATATTGGTGAGAATTTGCCATATCAACGTGTCATATGACTCATACTTATATCCCATATATGTGTCCAAGCTTCTTAAAGTGTTGGGCACAGTAAGCTATTGGCTAATTTCCATAATCGATTGAGTTAGATACCTTCTTAGTTGAGCCCTCCAGACTCCTCACTTTAATAAGATTAATTTGAGGCTGCTTACTAATGGATTCATGTGGTCATTGTATCATAAAGGTATTTGATAATTAGTTGTCAATTGATTTGGTTGTTACCTTTGTTTCATTTGGGATTTCCAGCCTTCACTTCATTTATTTCGGGAAACTATCATTAAAAGCAAAATTCACAAACCCTAGCCTATTTAATTTATAAACCCTAACCGAACAAGAAGAAAAGAATTACTCGATCATACACCACTTTACTCACCATTCACGAACAGCTAGTCTACAATATTACATCTTCAACAATTCAACTTAATTTCCGCTAAATTTCAAAGGTGACAAGCAAGCATATTTTTGCTTAAAAAACATATTTAATGTAATCTTGAAGCATCAATCACAGGCTTTGTTTAAAACTTGGAAGCATGAGGAAAATAAGGAATGTGCTCAAGCATGGTGTCAAATATGAAAAAAGAAACGCCCACAAACCCATAAAATCAATATTAGTTTCTCATTAGAGAAAATTATAACTGCAAAAGAGGCTATCAAATACCAAAATGTTTCATATTAGGTCACCCCAGATAAATTGTTCATATAGGAACATCTATCAAAAAATAAATAAGAAAAAAAACAATCCCATAAAATGGTTGTGTTAGCAGCAGCAAGAAAATTTCTCTCTTTCACATAATGCATGAAAACATATGTTGGTAGCAGCATAACCCTTTCCAAGCAAATAATCTTAATCATAGTATGCGTGAAACCAAATGTCAGTGATTAATTTCAATTTCAAATAAACAAATGAGAAGAAAAAATCTTTACTTGTTGAACTTGAACACGCAACGTATCAAACTGCGTCTCTGTACAACAAACATTTCCACTTATTGTCGGACACAAACTTTGGATTTTTGCAGAGAATAACTCGTTAGGCTGCAAAGCATATCAAATAAAATCTTATGAGCCCAAAATATGCAGGATGACTGCAAATGAAAATAATTCAAGAACAAACACAGATATCATATATACCTTCACAGATGGGGAACCATATGGGCAATTCAATGCTTTCCCATCACTTCGTTCTCCACAAATATCATACATTGCACAGTATTCTCTAGAATGTGTTTCTCTGATCGACAAATCAAGCACAGGAAATTTCAATATTTTCAAGAAAATTCAGCAATCACATGGAAATCAAAAGTGGTCATATAAGTCTTCAACTCAAATATTGCAGTTAAGAAATGGTCAGGACAATCAAGAATGCGAAGATAAAACGGACAAATGGCTATACAATTTCCATACAGGTTAGTGGACAATTTCCATACAGATAAAGAAGCATATACATCCCATGTGTAAGGAGAAAATTTTCCTAGAAATTAACTGAGGAAACATAACAAGTACAGCAAGCAACAGTAACATATCCATCAAAAAACCCTATTTAAGATAAAACAGATTCTTTAGATTTTTTTTTTTTTTCTTTCAAGAAACTATTTCATCAAAACAACACAGAGAAAACGCATAAAAACTGTATCTTGCAACTGGGTAACAATGTAGGTAAATTAAAAGCCCAAAAAATCAAAGGAGTCCAGAGTCAATCAAGCAGTACCAAAAAAGTGCCGTAATCTGAAATACATGTCTACATATATTTAACCTACAAGAACCAATCAGAGACATAAAATTCTACATATACATATAAATACATTCCGTATGTATGAATAGGTAAGGATTAGTGTTTTGATCTAATTTCATCCTCATATGCCACCGTCCCATACTGGTGCATATAACGCATATGATCCGTAAATGATGTAACACTCGTTTGAACATCCAACGCATCCAGAAACAATCATAATAGAAACCAGATATATGCAAGATCCTATTATGCATCCAGTATATGTTTATAACCATATATCCTCCATTTAAATTGCTAGAGTAATGATAAACAATTTAAACTATTCAAGTGCCCACATCATGACATACCTAAGTGGCAACTAGTTCAATATTTCTTTGAAAGTTTACCGGATAGTCACAAGGGTATGGTTGATGCATTTATGAGTGGATCTTCCCTTGATAAGCATGAGGATGATGTGTGACAATTGTATGAAAGTATGAGTGAAAATTCAATGCATAGATCTTTGTCCTCTAAAAAATGATAGAAATCTAGGTGGAAGGAAGAATATTGGCTTATATCAAGTTGACAATTCCAATGACATAGCCGCCGAGATGAAATCTTTGTCTCAAAAGTTTGATCAATTTTTTATTAACCAAACTTCGGCGGATCAAATGTCTTCCTCCCCTAACCATTCTCATCGTGCATCTAATGAATCTTGCATGACTTATTCAAGTATTTTACATTCTACTTCCAATTGTCCCCATGGACATGTGCCAAGTGAAAACCTTGAGCATGTCAATGCTACATTTGTCAACCAAGAAAATAATCCCTATGGCACTCATTACAATTCAAGTTGGAGGAACTATCCAAACTTCTCTTGGAAAAGCCAAGGCGAAGGCTCAAACCCTCCCCAAGGTGGTTTTCAAAACAAGTATGTTCCACTTCCAATGCAAAGCCAAGGTTCCCAAGATTTTAGATCTTATTTTCAATCATCACATGGAGATCAATTCTCTAATTCTCATTTCCCTAACCAATCATCGTATTCCCAAGGAAATTCTAGGAGTCCCGCTTTTGAGGAGAAAGTGTTAACCGCTCTAGGTACTTCAGAGGCGAATACTCAATTGTTTCATTCCCATTCTCAATCCATTACTAAGCTAGAAACCCAAGTCGGACAAATAGCTAGTACTTTGACTGCTAGAGAGAAAGGGAAGATGCCTTTGAATGCACCACCAAAGGAAAGTGGTCTTGACCGAGCAAGTGAGCTCCATTTTGCAACATAACACACTCCCAAAGTTTAAAGACCCCAGTTCACCTACTACTTCTTGCATCATTGGTGACCATTCTAGACTTAGGAGCAAGTGTCAACCTTCTTCCATATTCGGTATATGTCAAATTGGGCTTAGGAGACTTAAAACCGACGTCGATGGTTTTACAACTTGTCGACCGATACATGTCTACAACTTTATACAACAAAAATCCATTTGCACATCAACCATCTCTCACACGCAGTCACTCTTATAAACAAAGACTCAATAAAAGCAAGAAAACTGCAAAAATAAATAGTTATTGACTATCCCGTTCTCGTATGGGTCGAATCAAGCCATCACTTACCCATTAGGGGAATCGGAAAACAACGGAGCCTCACCCTTCTCTGAACTGGATAAACATGCGAACCCAGACACCTAACAAAAAATCAATAAAAATTAAGTCACTAAACAAGAGAAAAAAAAAAAAAAAAAAAAAAAAAAAAAGACCCAATAATGTGGCACATACATTGACCAAGATAGCATACGAGTATAATCTCCATTTTTTTTTTTTCTCTTTCTTTTTCCTATTTTCAGAAATTGAAACAGAATAAAGCAAGGTTTCGTAAAACTTTTCTTTTCCTTTTCATTCCTTCCTTCATATCTGTTTTCTTTCATACTCTTGAAGTTTTTCTCGGCAAACAAACGGTAATAGAAGTGCAAGTAGAAGATTATGGATTCTTGCCTGTAATAGAAAGATAACGGCGAGAAGACCTAGAGAGGATAGCGATTTTGTGTGTGAGAATGCCATGACCGTGTAATCGGTGGATAGAACACGAAAATTGATCAAACCATCAATTCTATACTTCCTAATTTTTCTCCTTTATTTCTAATTTCTCTCTCCTCCCTCTCTCTGTCTAAGTTGTAGTTGAGCGGTGAAAGCAAGCGAGTCAACAAGAAAACAAAGGTAGTGATCTTCTGCGATTCGGAACGGAGGCGGTTACTTTAATTGTACATGAAAAATGGACACCTGTCACGCACTCACCCACCATGAAGACGGAAGAATATTAGGATCATTTTTCTTGATTCTTTAAGTTTTAACTGTTACTGTATTACGAATTTTACTCTCACTCCCTAAAAACCTCCCTAAACTATTTTTATTACCATTAACCCTCTAAACTATCAATTTTTTTGCAAAAATTATCCATCCCTGAAATTCCTTTGTTTTCTCCGGCCAATTAGGCGCGTGATGAACACATGCCAACACTCTATTTTTAAAATGACAAAGCTACCCTTATACTATTAAATGTATAAAATCAAAATTAAAAAATCCCAAATTATTGAAACCCCAAAAATCGAGACTCCTTTCGCCGTTTTGGTTCTCTACGAGCCACACAACCATCACAAACCAAACCTGTACACAGAGAGATAAATATTGTAACAGAGCTACTTCGGCAACGTAAAAGAGCTTATCTACCAAACCAAAGATAAAGAAAGCTTCAACAAAGCTCAACAAAACCTTAGTTTCTCTCACTATAAATCAAATAAATTTCACTTATAAGGGTTTGTAGATCACATACAGTGCTTCAATTTGTGAATCTAAAATGCCTTGCAGTTGCAGAGAATCAAAACGGTGAACATCGACGATTTGCAAGCTTAGGGTTCGAATGGGCAGAGGCAAGGCTTCAATTGCTGCTATTGATTTAGGGATTTCACTTTTATAGCCTAAGCAACGGCGACAAAACCCTCTGCAAATTACTACGTAACTATTTTGCGTTTGCCAGGAAGAAACAGAGGACACCCAAATGGTTTACAGATAAATTAGAGGTATAGATTAAAGATTAGTGTTTACTAATTTGGCCCCAATAAAGTAAGATGGTAGCTTCGATGGATTCTTTTTTGGGTCACCGGTGCAGCATGGGATGGTGTTGATGAATTCTTTATTTTTGTTCACCGGTGTTGATGGATTCTCTCTTTTAGGTCAATGGTATGGGGATGCGAATGGTGTTGATGGATTATTTTTTGATAATCACACTTAACTGTACCCGCCAAAGACTGTACCCGCCAAAGGGGATAAGATTGGAACTGTTTTCGGCCACTCCAATCAAAATGAAAGCTTTTCCATTAAAACCGGTGAGAGCGCAACTTCAAACTCCATTACCGCCGACGCCGATGAGAAGCTTTAAGAATCAACAAGCACCAAAATTAGTGAGAGCCAACCTCAAACTCCATGATGGCCAGCACTGCGAGCAAGCCAGTGAAGTCTCATTCCAGTGAACCACAAACAAACCTTTTTTATAAGCATCATACAAACCCAAGGCGAAACCTTTTTGGTCGACGGTGGGAGAAAACTAGAGCATAGAGAGAGAGGAAGTCGTGTGTAAGGCCGTGTTTGGCGCTCTGAAATGAGTGTTGGTTTGGTGATAAGGATGAGGTAGATAAGGCGTGCTGTCACAATCCTATTGGATGGTTAAGATTTGTTTGGCAAGTCATCAGCTGAGGGTAAGACAATACCACTAAAAGGTAATATTGTAATCCTCTTTTTCCGGTGCTGGAGACTTCACCTGATGTCCTTAACTACAACTTTATCATAGTTTAGGGGGCAATTATTAATTTAGGGGGGGTTTGTGCAATTGGCTGAAAGTTCAGGGGGGTTTATGCACTTTACCTTATTTTAAATATAAAAAAAAAATTGTTTTAACCGTTATGACCATTTCACGCTATAATTTTTCTTTGTTTAACCTATAATTTTTTTAAAAAGATAATAGAAAAAAATGTGTTGTTTGTTCAGCAACTGGTCAACCAAACAGTAAGGGCTGTTTCGCTGACCGTTGTTAAAAAAGATCAGTAAATAAATATTATAGTCGTTAGGCACTTTGACTAACCCAGATAGCCCCTAATTTTAAAAGGATGGTCTCGACATTTTAATAAATATTTTATTGCATTTTATAGTTGTATTTGCCTATTTATTTTAATTAATTGTCTAATTGTTTTTAATTAAATTACTTTATTATTTGGGTTAATTCTTGAATTGTCTTGTTTAAATAAATCGTTTTATTTAATTGTATTTTTATTTGCTTTAAATGGATTATTTGGTTTTAATTGTTTTAAATGGTTTACTAGGTTATCTAAATGAGTTAATTGGGTTTTGTTTTAACTATTTGTTTTCTATATAGTTAGTTGTAATTATTAAGGTGCTAATTAGGTTTTAGTCTTTTGTATCACGTATGGGCCGGCTAGGGTTTAATTAGGGTTCTGTCTCTAATTATACATGGACTAGGGTTTTATTTTAGCCTTTATATATAGAACATCATGGTCTGCTAAGGTTATAAAAACCCTATTCACGGACCAGAGAAATAGAGAGAAACAAAGTGAGGTTGTGAGAAGAATAGAGAGGTTACAGTCGGGGTTTCGGCTGTGGATTAATGGATCATTATAACACCACTTTGTAAGAAATTGTATAGTTAGGGGATTTTATATTAACTTTTTCTTCAGGGGCGTTTCTTACCAAAAATTTAAAGTAGAGGGGTTTTTATGCAATTTGCCCTATATAATAAGAATAATGCTATTTTCGTCTCAAAAACATAGGGCTGATTTCCATCTAACTACTCACCCTTAGATAACTGAGGGGGGTTTTTTGGTAAAAAATTAATCGAGGGGGATTGCAAAACACCCTAAGTGGGCTTTATTGCACTTTGCCCTTTTAATAAATTAGAAACAAATTATGGAGTATTGGAAAATTAATTCTTCTAGAGTGTTAATATATAATAAATTAAAATTTAACAAAAAAGTTGAAAAATAAAAGAAAAAAGATAATTATGATTTGAATATTTTATTATACAACAACCACTTTTTTTTCCTCTCCTCTAAAATTAATTAAGATGACTCTTTTGAATTATTAAAAACATTTGCACTTACCACCTTAGTTTTAGGTTTTTGAAAAATGATATAACGCATGGGCGGGGGACCTCATCTTGTTTTATGACAAATTAAACATAAAAGTACTATGAGTAAGATACTTTCACCGATTTGTTGTACCGAATTATCGCATGGAATGTTTCTGATTGGTTATTTATATATAGTACATGTAATGGAAGGCCCTATTTATTTATACATAAATGAGTCGATTAAAATAAATAGGTTTGACAATTCATTACAACAAATCGCATAAATAAAGAAGTGGGACCTCCCACTATGCATAAATAACCAATCAGAAATATTCGGTGCAACAATTCGATACAATAAATCGGTGTAAGTACCATTACTCAAGTACAATTCATCACTTTCTTTTTCTTTTCTTTCCAATTCCATCGATTGAAGTGCCAATGGAAGGCCACCAAACTACCGTTCAAATAATTACTTTATATACAGAGAGAATGTATGACAGGATTGGACCTTAAACAGTCAACTTTATGTTACACCGTAAATGATGGGAAAGAAAATAATAAAAAAAAAGAAACGGATAGATTACCCGTCCAACATACACGCCGAAATGATGACGTCTATAAACCCCGAGCCAATATGCATGCTATACGATTTTTTTTTTTTTTTTCCTTGACCCAATTAAAGTACAAATATGTCCCAAATTGTTTATGAGAATTAGTACATGTCGCAAAAAAAAATTTCATGACATTATCATGAAACTACATATTTATGGCAAATATGCAAATTTAGTCCTTTTATTACTTTATTTTTCTCATATTTCCCCTAATTTTTTTCTTTAGCTATATATACATATATATATATATATATATATATATATATTCTCATAAATATATTATATATATGAGTTCTATTTTTCATAGCTTTATCTACCTCTTTTTAATCCCATTTTAAATTGAATAACAAATTATACACTTAATCTGTAAATATGTAAGAGACTTTGTAGAAAATTAACATCAAAACTAATTTAGAGTTTATTACTAATTTTTGATCCATGCAACCTTTCCAATTAGATTTCATTCAAATTCAAACGTCAGCATTCATCTTATATATATATATATATATATATATATATACACCTTTGACACGAGGATGATAGTCTTGGCATGATCTCCGAGTAACTTTCGAGCCTCCACAAGGTCTGAACCTTAAAGAACAAAGGATAAAGCAATAATGTCAATCTTATTGGGTATTCGATCCCCAATTCAAGATATCATCTTTATCTTTCTCAGTCAAGGTTGGGAGATCCACGATAACTCCTGGAAGATTGACATTCTTTCTCTCACCAAGCAATGCAGAGTTGTCACAACGACACCGTACCAAGCCCAATTCGTTATCACAAGAGAGAATTGTGAGTGAAATAGTCCCATCAGAACATAAAATCACACTCTATGGTTTCAAATCCTCAGCCAAGTTCTTGTAGCTTATACATATGAGCTTATCATCACCCTTTATGCTGTAATCTGTGGAGATGGTGATTTATTCACCCTGCCTCAGTTGAATGGGTTTTCCATCCGTCAGAAATCCCATTCGAATCTCCGGACCTTGTAAAATATCAAACCTTGTTCTTAATTCAATAATGCTTTAAAAAATTTCCCCAAGTGAGGATACTAAAAATGGACTGGGCCGGGCACGACCCAGATTACTAGGAACGGGTCGGGTAAAAGCAATTGATCAAAACCAAGTCTTCACTTATCAGGCCCAGGACCGGAGGATCAGTTTGGAAGCCTAATCTAAGATAAAAGGAAATGGACCTATAACCAAGATGAGCCCAGAAGGTCAGTCCAACGTAAGGAGTTAGTTAGGAAGCTTCTAGAATGTTGTAACAGTTTATAAATAGACTGAAAAGAGAGGGAAAAAGGGGTTGAAATATTTTTGAGGTGGAGAACTATTCTTTCCAAATTAAGAGAGCATTTTCTTGCATTTTCAATGGCACCGTCTGTGGGAAATGATTGAGATTGATTCGTGAATAAGAAGCTCGATCTCTGGAAGTCGGATTCAGATTGGCGAGATTATAATCTATCT